GTCCGCGGCGGCGGCACGGCGACTCACAGAGACGAGGGGAAAAAATATAAGAACGAGCGAGCGCAGGGCCGAGATGTCGTCTCTAGATAAGATGCAACTAATACCTGGTGCGTGAAGAATAGTGGCTGCCGATATCGAGGAGAAAAAAACCCGGCCGCTTTGGAGTTGACGATGAGGCGGCTGGCGATGACAAACTGCGTCTGGAAGCTAGAAGGTGCAATCACGTGCCGCTGGTGCTCCGCATCGCCGGATCCGCGAGCTGCCCGTCACGTGCCTTATCGGTGGCGTTGGTGCGATAAGACAGCCTCGACAATGGAGCTCGAGGCTGGATTGTATGTAATGATATCGAAGCGACAAGAAAGGTGGCAAGAACTTAGCATTGCATCTCAGTGTACCGACAGGGCAAGATATCGTAATGTTTACTGACTGTAAATGTCCTTCCAGATTGCATATCAGTGTCTCGAAAACATGAGTCCGTCTGTCGACCTGGACGTGGTTGCATCGCTATTATTACTACGAGTATCCAAGGTACCGGGCGACATCAGCCGTGCATGGAACGGGACTTGCCTCTGAGCGATAACCGGCACACGCGTATAGCAGCAGGTCGCATCTATGGCTGAAAGAACTCCCAACGTCCGTTTGTGTACTGTTGTCATGTTTTCTGAGCGAGGAGATCGTCTGGCTCACGCTCTGTTGAAAGCATGTGGAGAAGACATGAGAGCATGGGCGCCTCCAGCCTTTGAGCACAAGTAGGGAAGATGCCCGTTGAAACTGAACTGCGGGCCAACTGCGCATTGATTCATTGCATGATACCTTAGCTGCAGCCAGCACGACATCTGAACCCCAGTGGTTCATGGACATGGCATTGCCCTCGGCATCCACAGCCTCTTTTTTTCTCTCTGTTTTTTTCTTTGTTTTTTCTCTGTTTTTTCTGTCGTCTTTTCCTTCACATGGAAATATGTCTTCAAAGGAAGCTCTCCAGTGAGAATGCCGCTACGGGTCTTCTTCCACATTCGGCTCCGGTTCCGAGACTTTTTGTCGCGATGCACGCTCTACTTGTAGCCTTTGTCCGCTCGCTTGCTTTCGACGTTCCCCAACCCCTCCATAATGCAGACGGAAACTTTTAGGTAATAGAACAATGTCCAGGCCGTGGCAAGGCTCTGCTGTCAGATCGACAAGACCCTCGAATCTAGGTTGTTGTGTCAGTAAGCAGATAGAATAGTCGGTGACGGCTTGAGCTGGTTGGCTTAGATTTCAGAGACAGGTCCCGTCATGTCTCTTGCCGGCAGGCACATGTGATCATCGGCTAGCTATCCGCCTCTACCGCTCGCCTGCCTGTTCCTGGAACATGTCCGAGAGCGATGGATGGAGCTCATCAGCCAACAGGACATGGACAGGTCTGCCGTGGTTGGCTGGGCCAGACAAAGGAGGGTCTTATCGGCCACGGTGAGAGATCCCCGGATTGTCACGAGGCTACGCTCGGTGAGCCGCTGATCCATCGAACCGCAATGGTAGCACCGATAACTGCTGGGTTCATGACATGGCCTGGTGGTTTGTGCTCGTAGTACTAGCGGGCAAGCTGTGCGGAATACGCGGCAAGCTGAATCTGCTGTCCTCATCCCTTTCGTCTGAAGGGGACATGATGAAAGTGCTCTCCGAGATAGAGACCAGAACCCGCCACGTGTGATAGTTGGTTTCGTGTACTTAGCCCAGAAATAGACAACTTCTTGTCTAAATCACTGACAGCCAGCATGCTCGCGTGCTTGAATGTCTCCTGACCGGGCAGCCATTGGTCAAGGAGGCAGGAAATCAGCTTGGATGTCGGGCGGATCCAGGCGGGAAGAGCCAAGAGCTTTGATGAACTCACTAGAGCTGCAGCCAACCAAAAGGGCGAAGCGAAGTGCTGCACGGGCCCTCCGTTTGGACACTTTTGCTAGTCGCGAGTATCGAATTGGCCGAGAGAGCCATACCAGGAGACCAAGGACAAGACAAAGGGTTCGGAGAGACTCGACGAACGCGGGGAAACGCTGGCGGTTCTGCTCCACATAATCCTCGGCGGGCTGCTGCGCTTGTGAGATAGGGATCCATGGATTCAATGGCGAACCACTGCATTTGTTGTAGGTACTATGTTCAGTAGGTAGTAGTTGCAGCGAAGAGAAGCTCCTGGAAGCACGCTCGCTGTCAAGGGAGCTGCATGCAGTGGCAAAAAGGTCAAGGCAAAGAGACAAAGGAGTTGTCGTATAGGAGTCAAAGAGAGGCAGAGAAATGAGGTTCAATGCACTTTTGATGAGATGGCGAAATGGCTGCAACGGCTCGACACAACACAGCCCAGCTCCGAGCAGCCGCATAAACGGTGGCGGCAGCAGGGACGGGGCTGGTTGATGGATATGGATGGGCTGAAGAGCATCATGCCGAGATAAGCAGGCCAGCCGCGGCCCCGGACCAGATTGCATTGAATCAAGTTGCGGACTCGGGAGGGATCTTTGTTATTTTCGTCGTTGGCATATGTGATGTCCTTTTGAGCCGGAGCCGCGAAAGAACGGTGTGACGTCGGGTCTGATAGCGATGAGGGAGAAGGCAGTGGAAGTGGTCGACTCGAGGCTGGCGGGAGCGGTAGGTAGAGCTGGAGCTTGCTTCGGAGCTTGTTTCGCCGCCTCTTGTCCTTCTCCAGCTGGGCTTCTATTACTTGTCCCTCCAAGCCAATCTGCTGCCTCCTACTCTCCCTCTCTCCCTCTCTCCTCTCTCTCCTCTCTCTCACCCTCACCCTCACCCTCACCACTGCTCATGTCGCTTTTATACGCATAAAGTCGCCGTGTCCAAATCATCTGCCGCGCTGACTCGAGTGCATAACGACGACTTGTCGATCAGATGCGGCAGGCTCGCTAACGGGCTCAGATACGACTCGTCTCCACACAGAGGCCGGTCGGCCAGAGACTGACTGCCCTGAGCCTGGAAATTCCCGCGCAGCCCTCAAGGTTGTGGCAGCAGACTGGAGAGAGCATCCAGGACGAAGGATTGCTCCGGACGCTTAAAGCATACGGCATCCCCAGAGTCGACGGCGAGCCTGGAACAGCAAAGGCCAACCACCACTGCTGCGTGGTGACGGGTCGAACAAAGACGGCGCGGCCACCTTATCATTCCGACAAAGAGAGACACCGAGTCCTCCGCCAACGGGCCTCATTTGCGCCGCGGCATCGCTGGATCGTTGCATCGATCGTTGCATCGTTGTATCATCGACGTGCACACTACCGTGCGCGACTTGGCACCTCGTCTCACCCTCTCTTTGTCCCAGTCTGTCGCCGTTAAGCTTCTCACGGGTGTCTGAGCAACTTGGGCTGCCAATCCGACGCACGGCTGGGGGTCCATGCTGGCTGTTGGATCACCGTGATGGAACGAGTGCTGCCGCGCTGCTCAGGACAAACGGCCATCTGACAAGCCGTCCGGCACACGACCGAGTGATTGGGGTGTGACGCCGACAGCTTGCAGCAGGTTGAAACGCGGAGACGCTCGGTGTACCCTGCGGCATCCGGTTTGGCGAGCATTCTTCAGACTCGGCCGGTTTCTGGATACGTCGTTCTTGTCGAAGCGTTTATTACTACACCAGGACGTGTTGATACTTTGGCATTTGGCTGGAGCAAGGACGTCGTACACTCTACATACGGCTACATCCTGCTAGCACCAGGCCAGGGCATCTCTACCAGGGCATCTCCTGAGGGAAGCGAACGACAAGGAATACCGAAGCTGAACCCAGACAACGCGTGGCAATTCCAGAGGCGAAAACCAGCAAGCGAACGGCCACGTTTCTCGCCATCGCGGCAAACCATCAGGCCGCCAGAAAGGAACTTGCGCAAAGGTTTCAATCCTGCTTACAGCCAGCTGCCAAATCCAGGCCCTTTGCGCACATCGCCATCACCACATTGGGTCCCTCATCGCGTCTGCACAGACGACCGAGCGCCAGGTCAGGCCGCACATTGCGAGTTCGGCACACACAGCTACCTAGAAGGGCATCCATAATACCGGCCGTTTCAGAACGACAGGCCCGGGGAGGCGATTCGCAGTTCCGACGGAACAGGCTCGAGGGTCAGGAAATAACAGCACCACAGGCACCAACAGAAACGGACAAAGAAGGACAAAGGAGCAGGATCGGCCCATTTGCTTGGCCGGGCGCTTGTCGGCGCAAACAACGAGCAGTTTTCCGCTTGCGCGCCGGAACCGACTGCCCTTGTTTCCGCGGTCTCAGAAGCGTTCTAGAAGGCCGGATCAGCGTCCCCTAGAGGGCATCGCCGGCGTTGGTGAGCCTTGCTTCAAACCAGCAGGCGGCGCTGATTGGCCCGCGCAGCAACCCGGCAAGGCCGTGAGCGGAGTCTGGGTGCATGGGAGAGGCAGTCCGGGCAATCAAAGACAATTTTGGAGTTGAGAGATTTGGCTTGACAGACGGCTCGAAACACGGCGAGGAACCGGGAGGACACGCGCCGAAAGAACCCTTGAGCGCTGGCTGTCGTCGCTTGTTGAAGAGGTGCTCGACAGCCCCGGCCCGTTACTTTTTCATCCATTGCCAAGAAGCGCAAAACCTGCGTTTGCCGTGCGCGCCCCTGGACAGGACCGGAGATACTGAAGACAGGACTGGCGCCACAGCGGGCGGAAACCCCTTTGGCCTTGCAGCAACAAGCCCAGGGGTGCAAATTGCGGGCACCTTGGCCGGCATCGAGTCGTGACGAGTCGCCTTTTTGCGAAGCGGTTGAGGCCGCGCGCGAGCCACTGACGGCAGCGGGCACCGTACGAGGGAATCGCACGACCCGACTGACATCCAATCCTCGTCTGCCGCCTGCCCAGTGCACCCAGGCCTGTGCCGCGCCCCCCCGTCTGTCGCTTGCTGCCACCTGCGACACAACCCAGGACACGACAGGATAATACGACAGCCCGGATCCAACACGACAGGTCCCCCCCCCCCGAACCGCTGTCACTCACTGAACCCTCGCCCCCAAGGCCCACCGCCCACCATGTCCGACTACACGTACGCCGCGCTCTACCTCTACTCCAGCAAGGTGGCCGCGCCTGTGCCCCTCGACAACAGAGCCTCGAGGACCGCGCGGCGAGACAAACACGCCCGGCGCCCCCAATCGACGTCGGACGCTGCCACGCTGCCCAGCTCCAGCTCGCAGCGGCACTCGCGCAGCTCCAGCAGCCACTCCAGCTCGCAGCTGTCCAAGACCAGCTCCAGCTCCAGCGCCCACGGCCCCGCCGCCAGCGCCTCCGTGGGGCTCGACAGCGCCAGCCCGCGCCTCAGTCCAGCGACCTCAGCGGCCAGCGCCAGCGCCAACACCGCTGCTGCCACCGCTGCAGCCACCAACACCAGCACTGCAAGCGCTGCTACCACCTCGAGGCCCAGCGTCGGCAAAATCAGCACCAGCGTTGGCGCCAACATCTCTTCATCACCACCAGCATCATCAGCAGCAGCAGCAGCTTCAGCTTCTTCCTCCTCCTTCTCCTCCTCCTCCCACGTCCCTCCCCCCTCCTCTCCCGCCGTCGCGCAGACCCCGACACAGTCCAGCAGCAGGGCATCGAGAACCTTTTCCCGCCTGCATCGCGCCAGGCTCAGCGGCAGCGCCTCTGCCGTCGTCGATGCCGCAGTCGCAGCCGCGGGAAGAAATGCAAACGCGGCGTCGCTGCCAGACCAGGACCCCAACAAGTCGTCCGCCGCCCTCAAACCAATGACGGGCTTTCCCACCAGCCGCGCCGAGTCCGTCTCGTCCGCCAGCGGCCAAACGACGGCGTCGTCGCGCACCATCCTCTCGACAGACCCCTCCGCCGCCGACGGCCTGTTCCTCGCGAGGCCCTTTGTCCAGCGCAATGGCCGCACCTTTCTCAACGACCACACGCTGGCCTACCCGCTGCCCTCGGACCTCACCGAGCTTCACCGGCAGGTCCTGCGCACGATGCTGCTGATCCAAGTCATTGGCGCCCCCGTGCTGTCACCTGGCCTGATCAAGAAGCCGCCCCAGCGCGTCCTCGAGATTGGCTGCGGATCGGGCTTCTGGAGCACCATGTGCCACCACTACTTCAAGAGCCGCGGCCACGGCGGCATCTCCTTCACCGGCATCGACATTGCGCCGCTCGCCCCCGACAACAGCTCCAGCACCTCCAACGACGCCATGAAGCCCGGCGGCGACATGCAGTGGAGGTTCATCCAGCACGACCTCCGCCAGATACCGTGGCCCGTGGCCTCGGACGAATACGACCTGGTCATGGTCAAGGACGTCAGCTACGCCGTGACCAACAAGTTGATGCCGGCCTTTATCGAGGAGTGCGTGCGCCTGGTCAAGCCGGGCGGAACCCTCGAGGTGTGGGAGTCGGACCACGCCATCCGAAGCCTGCGGCCCCATGTGCCCACGTCCACCGTGTCCGTCGAGGACGCCGAGGAGCAGGCCGCGGCCGCCAGCCTCGGCGCCTACGTCATCAACCCGCAGACGCCGCTCTCCGTCCCCTCCAACAACTATATTGCCGAATACAACTCGTGGCTGTCGCGTGCGCTGGAGCGGCTCGACATCAACCCTCTGCCGTGCACAGTCATTGGCCCGACGCTGCTGCAGGAGTACGAGACCCTGGGCGACGTCCGCTCCAGGAGAATAGCCCTTCCCCTGAGCGAGTTCCGCTGGGAAAAGGAGGGCATCGGCGGTGTCGTCACCACCGACGCCAAGCCCGCCGAGTCCAAGGGCAAAGAGCCGCCGACGCCGAGGCTGGAGAAGAAGACGCTGACGCCGGGGCAGATTGCGCTGCGCCAAACGGCCCTGCTGACCCAGGTGCAGGAGATTCAGGCTCTGGAGCCCATCTTGCGCGAGGTCAGCGGCAAGAGCCAGGACGAATGGGACATGTGGCTAACCAAGATGATGAGTGACCTAATGGACGAGAGCGGCACGGCGCTGGGGGAGTGTCTCGAGTTTGGGGCTTGGTATGCAAAGAAGAAGAAGGCGTCTGCGTAAGAGAAGGAACAGCGGTAGCCCGATTGTATCAAGGCGCAACCATATCTTGCCATTTACTTTTTTTTTTTTTTTGGTCATTGATTCTGGCGGAGGAAAAAGAACTCTTTTGGATATGATTCTCTACATTGTGTGCATTATTGGCCGCAACTTTAGCGGGAGGTATTCTCTTGTTTTATTACATACGGCTCTGCAAGTTCCAACACTTATTATTCCTTACAAGGAAGATGCATACGTATTTATCGATTTATCTTCTCCTCGAGCTCAGGCATCGCTGTCATATCGTTTTCGCAATGTGCGATATCGCTTCAAGTAGTACCTAGGTATTATACCCCACGAAAGAGTCAGCTGCTGGATACTGAGCAAATGATAACACATTCTGGATGTAGTGAGTATCCTTTGATGGGGCGTATCAAAAGAGGCCCCATCCATACTAAGTAACCTCCTGTTATGCCTGATTACATGTATGCTTGTTCATGGTGCGGTCTTTCATCGTGAGGTTGGCCACAACGGTATTTGGGTAGTCCTCACAGAGCTTCTATTTCTGCAATCATTGTCAGTAAGTACTTGATTTTTCACGCTCGACGTGGTATGACGGAGAGAGTGTATGTAGTGTGCAGTAGTGGTGCTACCTTTCTTTACGTATTCGGCCTGTTTGATGCCCGTCCGGATCTTGTCCTCGTCTGTTTCGGCGGCGCGGGACATGAATGCCTTGTGGAGGCGGGGACGGAAGTAGTTGTTGTATCCCAAGGGGTATTCGCGGCCTAGATAGAGCAGCTCTAAACGGAGAATTTAGTGCTCGAGGGTCGTCTGTATGGTGCGGTGTGGTTGTTTATTGGGTTTGAGCTGAGGTGATTTGTGATGGGGGTTTGTAGGTTGGTGGTCGTATGATGCTGTGAGCTTGGGAGATTGGTGGTGATGGGGTTGAGATGAGATGAGACGAGGATGATGGGGAGGATAGCCTCGGCAAGTTATGACGATGAAGAACGGGACCAACTTCAACAACAACGGGAAAGTAAAGGGATATAGAGATACTGATGTAAGACGGACCTTTGTAGATGGCAATGACCTGCCTCCTTAATTCATTCTTCACACTCATCGCGCAAACAGTCGTATCCTCATCAATGCTCGTAATGAGGAGAACCGTATATGTTAGTAGGTAGATGACGAGCACACCAAGTCGCAAGCAAGCTACCGGTACCTTATTCAAGCTGGAGCATGCACGGGAAAGGCAAAGCAATGTCATCACCGCCCCCGCTACGGAGCTAGAGAGCAGCTCCCGCATCAGCCTATCACAGCGGCTTGTATGCAAGGCTGAACAGGGCGCCACTTTCAATCCCGCATCAAACGTGCGATTTCGCTGCATCTCAAACAAAACATCTTTGACTCTTCCTCCCATATAGTACTCTCCTCCATCTTGAACGACCACATATTCAATTGCGCTTTCTGTACATATACCGGCCACCTTTTTCTACTCACTGTTCTTCCATCTCCGTTTACCAACATAATTCATTGACCCTTTCATTACTCTCTAAAGACGAAAAGAAGCATAGGAAGAAAGAAAGAAAAGAAGATGCCAAACCTCCCTCCGGCATTACAAGTCTTCCCAACCCTAGCCCGCTACGCCCTGCGCCCGCGCCGCCTCGCCGAGATCCCCATAGGCGGGCCCTCGACGCCGCAAATCTCCGCAAAGGCCCTCCAGCAGAGCGCCATCCACCTCTACCACGACCTCGGCGTGCTCGTCTGGGTGGGCTGCTCCGTCGATCAGGTGCGCAGGATAGGGGACGTGCTGAGGCAGGTTGTTGCGTGGGGAGGACAGGGCGGGCTGGTTGCGAGGTTGGATGCGTGGGAGGGGGATGTTGTCAGGAAGAGGGAGGAGGGTTTGAGAGAGGGGGATCTGTATAGGGCTTTGGATGAGAAGAGGGTGAGTTTTGCCTTGATGGGGGATGGTGATGTTGGAACGAAACGAGGCTGATGTGTTGGACAGACGGGGAATATAAAGCCTTCGGCGGTGCTGCGACTCGCAACGACACGATTTGAAGAGACACTTTACGAAAGAATACCCGAGCTCAAGACCGCAAAGGATATCGATGTGCGGGAGACACAGATCATTGTCCCGGGATCACCACCTCCACGCGGAATCATCAACGTACGATTACTCTCTTTAAACACAGTCTCTTTGGTAGAACTACCGCTCACGAGAAAGACAGAAAACCGTCGACGGACCACGGCATCTCCCCATTGAATCTTTCACAACAATCAGCGTAGACCGCATCACCGGGCTAACCATTGGCGAAACGCGCTTCTTCACCGTCGGATCGAGTAACTACGTTGGAGGCGCGCGAGTGGACTACCTGATACTCAAGCACACCCAAAACCAAAACAACGACTCCAAGGGCGCAAAGGGCAAGAGTTTGCAGGCAAGGACTAGTGTGATCCCGTACTGGGGCAACGGAAAGCTCAAGCAGCGGAGGAGAGCCAGCGACGAGGCGCAGGGCGCGATATTTGAGGACGTGGTGAGCAGGGTGATGCAGCCGCTGTGGGATATCGAGGGGGGTACTTGGGCGGACAGGGCGGCTGAGCTGGAGGCCAAGAGGGAGAAGAAGAACTGGGGGGAGAAGAAGAAGACGAGGCCGAGTACTACTACTACTACTACTGCTGTCTAGGCGCTCATGAAGAGGGACAGAGGAGAAAATCCCCACAAGTACGGATGGATGTTGTCAGTGACCGATGTGAGAGGATTTTCCATGCTGGACACGGAAGGGGGGAAAGCGTCAATTGGGATGGGACATGGCTTCAGCGAGAGCGAAGCGTGATGGTGTAGACACCGCGAGTCGGCAGATGAAGAACAGGTATCCGCATCGATTTACCGCGCTGTCGTTTGTGCACTCTGCCTCTCGAAGCTCGATGCAACACCCCTCATCTGCAGCCTGGATTCGAGCCCAGCAGAGTCATTCATTGGTCGACGGCAGATGGGCGAGCGACGTGCAGCAGAGAGGGGAGCATGTAGTACTCTGTACCACATCAACAAGGTAATACATAGCAGTCCAGCATGCCACTCTGAGAGGTCCAAGTGCCGGAATACAAAGTGCCGAGCATGACTGATCTCGACGGTTGTATTTGATGCCGGTATGTGTATTGATCTAGACTGATACGAGGTAGTCGTAGAAGGCAGCATTGAGTTCTGAACTTGGGCGAATAACGCGGGAATAGATCGCGATCTCTCTGCATGCACGGCAGTTCCATCGGAGCCGCATTCTTAATGCCGCCGTCTAGCCGGCTCAACCGCAAATGACACCATTCAAAGCAGGAAAGCAAAAAAGCCCACGATGAACGAGAACGACCATGAAGAGTCACGAGCCGCTTGTCCGGCGTTTCTGAGGAATAGACTAATGGAGGGATTGGGCAATGTCGACGATGATCAGTTTTGGAGGTCATCGCGGGGTATTATAATCCTGAGCCGAGGAGGGGCAAGTCAGCAAGTACTAAATCCAGTACCGTGTTGTGATCATTATTATCATCCCTGGTCTTCTTTCTGTAAAGTTCAGTGTGGTGACACAGCAGCCAGTCCATTACTTCACGCCGGCATGTCAGAAAGAGGCGCTCCGTAGATTGATTTGACTTGTGTGCTGCCGGATAAGGCGATGGGCATGCGGCAGGTAGCTGATGTCCGTTTGTGCTGCTGCTGTTGGATGTTGGCCATTGAATCTTTCCTCCTCTCTTTCTTTCTTTTCTACTGCTCTTTGTTTCTGAGGGATTGGCGATGACTTGTCATCATATGGTTTGATGTTTGGCGGCTGAGAGGCTGAATCAAAGTTGCGCCTGGAAGGTTGACTTGGTCACCGATTGCCGACGATGTCATAAACTGCCTTGCCGAGTCCCAGACAAGCACTCGAATCAACAGAAGCGGTCAGAAGTGGAAAAGTGCATTGTCATGGCAAGGGGAAGTTAAAGTCAAGCAGCATGCAGTCCCATCTCGTGATTCGACTCCTTTTTTTTTCCCACCTCGGTCAGGGATGCCCGCACGCCCATACTGTACGAGTACATTAGGTCCATACAACTTACAGCGGCTTTGCTGCTAGTAGCTGTATGTATAAAAGACAGTGCTAGATACCTAGTTACAGCAAAGGACAGACTTTTTGGTCGTCGTCGTCGGTGTGTTTCCGATAATAGTATCCGTACATGTGCTTGAAAAGACCCCCACTTTCTGCTGTGATCGCTGCGCAAAAGGCCGTCCAAGAGGGAAATTAGAGGCTCCATCGCGGCCGGAATTTTCCTTCATGTTTAGCGCTTGAAAGGGCGAGCAAGGCGAAGAAAAAAAAAACTTTGGCGTCAAACTTGGATGTAATGAGTGGTGGCGCAAGTCAAGATGGCCTTTTCGTTTCTTTTCTTTTTTTCGCTTCTTTTTTCTTGATCATCGTCTAGCTGCTGGTACCTACATTATCTTTGGATAGGTACATCACCAAGGCAAGACAGGGTCAGGTTTGGCTCCCGAGACAAGCGTCTGAAAGCGGGGGACAAGACGCACATGCAAACGGGAGTTTGAAGAAGAGAGATGGTGTACGGACGTCAAAAAGTACCTATCGGGTACATGCACGGAAGCGCTTGTTCGAAACAGTTTGGAGAGCGCGTGCCCATCAGCCCTTTTCTGTATGTACCGACTACCTACCGCTACCGTACCGTGTAGGAGGTATGTGTATGGTGGTGATTTGATTGGCTTGATGTCCTCTGGCTGGCAGCTGGAGATGGTGAGCGAATTGATGGGAAAGAGAGCAGCAGGTGACTTGACATCTCTCATGTCGGGTATCCCTCTTCAACTCTGCTACCTACTTATACTTTGCTCATCGTACTAGTCGTAACAAGCGTAGCAGCTGTATCTTGATTGCGATCCCAAGTATCAACTCACTTTATAATACTATGTCGTCTACCAGACATCTTCATCGTTGCCGTCCAACAGCAGAGACATGACTGGGGTCCCCCTTCGGCAGGGGCTGGCACGACGTCAGATCCCTTGCCGCTGGCCCTCCTTTCTGCGGTACGTACCGGGCTGCTCTGGGCCCCAAGTACCGCCTGGCAAAAAGCTTAACCTGCTGCTTGGCCTCCGCCGCAGCCAATCGAGAGTTTTTCCGAGCTGCAACAGCCGACAGCCTCAACCCCCCCAAAGTCCCGACGTGGCCAAATTGCCCGGCCATGAGACTTGCAGCTGCTGCGCTAAGACGCCCGGTGAGAATTTGACAGCATCTGGCTAGAAGTCCAGTACTGTAGGAACTACATGGACTACCATAGGTAGTTCGGGGGTCGGTTGTTGCGAGCTTGCGGATCCGGCAGCTCCGGGGCCTTGGACGCTGAAGCTGGTGCTGAAATTGAGAGATGAATTGACGTGGCACCGTCACTTGATACTGACTACGGGCTCGATGATTGTAAGCAGTGCTCGGAACTCGTCTCTGCGTAAAAGGTACCTACATACCTCCACGGAGACGCGGAGACGGACCACGGAGGTCGCTCGCGATGCCGAAGACGGGAGCTGCAGGGAGAGACCACCCAACCTTACAGCAGACGACCACGACCTCCCCCTGTCCAACTTTAGTTGCCGCGCTTGCAGCGAGTGGTCAGCCTGTGAAAGCCGGTAGTCAGTCTTTACTACATGTAGATACATGTAGTGCCTCTTTTCTCTTTTGTATTACAAGCCCTCTTCCAGCTCTCCTCCAGCGGACTATGCAGCTATTCCAATAAGTTCAGTTTCATATGTCGAAAATGATGAGGCGTCGCAGGAGGCGTGTAGCCGCGGTACAAGTACCTACCTACTACTTGACGTATGTACTTTGCCTCCTGGTACCCCTTAACCCGGATTGTGCACCTTCGCCGGCCCTAAGCAGCAGGCAAATGCCCCAGCCGGTGCTAGCAGCAGTATACGTCGGCGATAGGTACCTCCATCAGATGCTAATCGATGCAAGACAATCCCCGGGCATCTGCATCGCGGCTCTGGCATGGAAGGATTGCGTCAGCGCAGAAACAATGAGCAAATCCTCCGAGTCGTCCACTTTGCAGTCAACAATAACCCTCGTTGCCAATGCCCTCTGACATATCGCCTGCAGAATAGGGGATGAGGCAAAAGTCGAAGTGGTCTTCCGTCCGCCCCAAGCGCATCAAGTACATCCAGTAGAAATACAGGATAGGTACCTCCGCCTGCTTCGAGTTGTGACGCTCTGAATTGCATTCCATCCCCACAGGCCCCGTTAGCGCGCTGTACACGGTAGATCCAGGACCCGCCCTAGCGCTGCTGTGCCCTGGAAGACCGCCCAAAAGGCCCTGAAGCTCTAGCGCTGCGAGCCCTGGAAAACGACACCCGCCTCCCTCTAGCACGCTCTGATATTCCCCGGCTCGCGGGCAAGACCTTTTTTTTTTTTTTTCTTCCCTTCGCTTCCTTCCTTCACCACTTCCAGCAGCTTCTGGTTTGGGAGGGTCGGAATCTCACCTCACTCCTTCAACCCCGAATATCCTCGCAACAAGCCGCCAGCCTTTCGATCAGCGCCAGCGAGCGGCAGATTGTTGTTGCCGTGCACAGCGGTTTCCGTTGGCTTCTCGAGCCGCAGACCGATACGCACGGCCGAATGACGACTGCATACCTGGGAGAAGCACTGAGGGAATCCCTTTTCGTCAACGACTTCTTCGCCTTTTCCACCCCACCAACGCAAACGGTCCTACTGCATCCGCCCACTGCCCGCAGCACTGCACGCGCAGACTGAGCACAGCGAGAGAGAGAGAGAGAGAGAGAGAGAGAGAGAGAGAAAGGAGGAGGAAGAATTATACCGCCCTTCCCGCTGCTGCTGGCCCTGGCCTCGACACAGGTCTCCAGGGTTGCCCGGCAGTCAGTGGGGGAGAGAAGAGCAGCCGCATGCCTCGCGCATCGGGATCGAGCAAGCGACAGTCTGGCGCCGGTCATCGCGACACCAAGGAGAATGGGCTCGTAGCCCCGGCGAAACGAGTCACTGGCAGGAAGGGCCTCAACCACGCCGACGGCCCTGCGAGGCCGGCCGATCATGGCGCCGGCCACGCAGGGCCGCAGTTTGTGCTGCCCAACGGCGTGTCAAAGGCCGCCATCGACTTCCACGACCGCACGGCCGATGGGCGTAGGGCCTCTGTCGGCAACTACTCGGAGACGTCGACGTCGGAATCCTGCACCTCCCACCTGGGCTCTGCTGCCAATGCCACCGCCGACGCCGGCCACCGCCAGATCGATGTCAACGCCCTCAAGAACGCCGACGTCCACCGCGACTCGGGGCCCATCGACATGGTTGCCACCGTCCTCAAGACGCTGCCCATGCAGGACACGCTCGCCATCCTCATCATTCTCATGCAGCTGCCGACCCTTTCGCTCTCCATCATCTACGGCATCTTTACCTGTCTGACCTTTGTGCCCCCCGTCACCACCAGCTCGGGCATCAACCTCAACTTTGCCGAAATCTTTGATGGCCACTCCACCATGCCATCCCTCGTCACCGTGCTCTGCATGGACTTCTTCTTCCTCCTCATCTGGTTGTTTCTTTGGCAACCGATCCAGGATGCCATTCTGGATCTGGCCAAGCCCATCATTGCCATCACCCTCGGCGGCGGCACCACGTACAGGAACGGCGGCTCCCGCGGCCTCACCACCTGCTTCGTCTGGATCGTTGCCAACCATCTCATCCGAAGCACGAGAACCCACTGGTCCCGACTCGCGAGACACATCCCCGAGGACTGGCAGGTGCCTTCCGCCATCAGCAACACCTTTGAGTCGACGTCCGTCGTGCACGATAAGAGAAGTGCGTTTGCGTGGGTGCGAAGCGGACTGGCGATCCACATCCTCACCCAGGGGCTCGTTAGATACATCCGTGAGTGGTACCTGAGGCGGGAAAAGGCCAACGCGGCGGCCGGCCAGCACGACCCCGAGGCGGGCAAGCCCGTGGCCACCATCTCCATCAATGGCGAGGTTGCCCACGACACGGGCTTCAACACGCCGGACACGGAGGCGGGATGCCCCCCTCTGCCTCCGGCCCCCGCCTCCACGAACAAGAAAAGAAGAAAGCAAAGCACTCAGGTCAGGCTGCAGCAGCCGCTATGGGCCGCACTGGCCAGCACCAAGATTGTTGTCATGAAGGAGTACGAGTCGTCCCACGTGCCGTCGAAATCGCTCGGCGTCAACACGACAGACATTCACAACCTCGGAAACGCACCATTCAACACTCAGCCCAAGCAGATATGGATATCGTATATCGGTAGCGACGAAGTATGCTTTAACACCAGTCACTTTCCCGATTTCGACGACGAGCAGCCAAGCACCGCCAACGGCTCCGCCTCGACACGGCCGGCCGGCGTCGACACGTCCAAGCCCTTTTACGTCAAGGTGAACAACGCATTTTGGCAGCCCACACGCATCTTCCCCGTGGTCGAGGCCGACGACGGTGGTCGAGGTGGCACCCGTTGGACGGGAGACATTTACGGCCTCCGCCCGTTGTCCAAGTACGTCTGTGAGTTTGTGGACACGCAGACGGACAAGGTCATCTTCACCACGAGCATCAGGACCATCAAGGAACCCACGCCAGAAAACAACAACGCACCCGTCACCGTGACCGGCTCGCAGCAGTCGCTGCAGCCCGATTCCCCCGCCACCACGCTACGCATTTCGATTGCCGCCGCCGAAGTCAAGCTCAACGACGAGAAGAATCGCCTCAAGACGTGGCGCAAGGAGTGGAAGTCGAGGATCAATGCCATCAAGAAGGAGAACGAGCTCACCGACAATCAGCTAGCCTCAGCCGGCCACAGCGACGACAAGTACAGGCAAAAGATTCGCCAGCAGGAAACACAAAAGGCACAGGCCGAGCGCGAGACGGCAGCCCTTGCTGAGCAGCTCAAGAAGTTTGACGCGTCGCCGGAGCTGGTCGAGAACAAGAAGAAGACGGAGCGGTCGTACTCGAACGAGAAGAAGCTCTACGACGCCGCCCAGAAGAGCTTTCGCGAGTACAAGGCGAAGCTGGAGAGCGAGGTCAAGTCCAAGGACAACGAGAAGAGCAACCTCAACACCAAGCGGAACAAGATTGCCACCCGCATTGCCAAGGTGGAAAACGAGCTCGCCAACATTACGGATGCAAACAACCGGGGGCTCAACGAGGTGGAGCGGCGCAAGCGTGAGCGTGCCGGCTGGCAGGAGCAGATTGTCAACCAGGACAAGACGTACAATGACCAGCTGACGCAGGCGTATGCGTCCAACAACCTGAAGGCCGAGCATCTCCGCAGTCTCCAAGCGGACGTGCAGGCCCTCCGCAACTACATGAGCCAGGCCGCCGGCTTGCCCGACATGGGCATGCTCGATGCCGCGCCCGGCCACGTTGCCTTTCACTCTCCCCAGCCCCCGCAACAACAGCAGCAGCAACAGCAGCAGCAGATGCAGCCGCAGACGCCTTGGAACCCGAATCCGGCTGCTCCCGCGCACTTCCCGTCAAGCGTAAACTATTGGGGGGTCACCGACAACAACCACTCATCCACGTCTCTGTCCCACGCGCCCCCTGGGCTTGCCGCCTGGCAGTCGCCGCCGATGACGTCGTTTGAGCTGCGCGGAGCGAAAGCGCGCGGCCGCAGTTCTAGCATGCTCAGCGACGTTAGCGGTTTCACCCAGCCGAGCGACGAGGAGCCGCGGTCCCCCGTTGGCATGGGCATCTCGCGGAGGCCCCTGTATACGAAGCGGTTCGGCATGCACGATAGCCGAGGAAGCACTGGTAGTGGCAGCGGCGGAAGCGGCAGTATGGGCGATCCAGCGAGTCCTGCTTGATCCTGCTTCTTGATGGTTTTGGTGGTGCTGAGTGGATGGCGATCGATCTGGACAGTTTTGTGGTCAGGAGCATATGTAGTTTGGCATAGTGGCTTGGTTGAATGAAGCGCTTTGCAGAGCCTTGCCTTGTCTAATGTCCATGCTTGCGCCGAGTGATTGTCCTGTCTTGTTGGGTGATGTTTATGTTTATCTCACACAAGTGCAGGTCTGCGTGTAGATTATCAGTATACCCTCGTGACTCTAGGTAGGTCCCCCCCTGTTCGCATGTACATATCGTAAGCCTCCCGCAGATGAATGTACCTGGGCATCATGAACAGTCAGGATAGTCATGACTATGACTATGTAACATTTTTTCTTTCATCAAGGGTAGAAGCCTCAGGTGCACACTCGTATTCTAGCTGAAGCATGCCGATGGAATCTGACCCGTGTCAAACGTCTATCCATTGTCCCTCTACCTTGTTCCGGGGGGGGGGGGGGGGGGGGACAACCGAGGCCCAGTGATGTTACCTGTTGGCTCCCAAGAGGTAGGTAAGAGTACAACGTCCAAGTATGCCTTACACGCCAAGTCCTGCATGAAGTCAGTCACACAACGTTCTCCGCGACCAATCACCCCCAAGTAGATATACAAAGCCGCATTTTGCCGCCGAGGTTTTTTCTACGAGGCTGTCATGTCATGTTTCCTTTCAGGGTGGCTGTGAAGCAAGGGGCCCTGTGAGCAGGCCAACAGGCAGGCCATTGGTTTGGCCACAACGGCCTGGGCCCAGTCATTGGATAATGAGTTGAACATGTGTTGGCTATTTGAATTTGAGTAGGTCTGTTTTGTTATTGGGTGTTTTGAGATGGTTTGTTGCGTGTGTGCTTTGGGTGTGAAGGTGGGCAGTGGCGTTTGCTGCCTGATGGAGAGGGGGAATGAGGAGAAGTGAATCCGTATTTAATCTTCAGGTGATTATAGACTCTTTATCATCTCTCTCTCTCTCTTTTCCCTCTTTTGATCCTACAATCTCATGTCCTCTTCTATTCCATCATCATATTCCACTCATCATCGTAAAGTACACCTCCAACAAGCCTTCGCACATCCTCAAGCATCTCCCAAACCCACCCCTGATATCCTCCCCTAAAACACCACCCTCCATCAACATCGCCCTCTCCTCCCAACCCAATCAATCAAGCCATCAATGTTTCCATAAACCAACTTCCATGGCTCTCCCTTCAGAATCCCCTCCTAAAGAAGAAACCCCCCTCGACACCTTCTTCCTCTCCTTCTCACACCAAGGTTTCGTCCACAACCCTGCCAAATCCCCCGTCAACTCGTGGAAAGATCTCTGCAAGTTCCAGTCCTGGACCAATAAGCCAAACGACCATCCTCCCAAGCAGAAAGCATGGAAGAGGTATCAGGCTGCCCTCATCAAAGAGGTTGAGCTATACTTTGGCGATGTGGATGATATCACGGCTTGGAAGACGGTTTGTCGGGCTGTGGGGTGCGAAAATCCACCTGACCAGATATCAAAATGCAAGGCTGTATGGTTCATCACTCCCCCTTTTTTAGTTCTTTCCAGATGATGGATGATGATTTTACTTGGTTTTCAGTGAAGACGGGCTAATGTGTCGGGACAGATATTGAAAACCACGCATGTCAATCTAGTGGACTTAATCATCTGGGCCAAGAAAGGAGGCGAAGAAAGCGGCGATAAAGTACGCGTCTTCAAGTCCGTGGCACAACTAAGCGACTATACTCGGAAAACGGGAAAGATCATGTCAAGGAGCCGAACGAAGAATTCGGAGGGCCGAAATGTGGTGCTAAAGTTCCTGTTGAGGCGTATATTCAACTAACAAAGCCTTTGTGCAAATGGCAACCATTCGAAACCCAACATGTGTTTTTTTTTTTTCTATTATGATATGGCCTTGCAGAGACCTGTTGTCATGAGTGAATGCTTGTTGTATCCATGAGCTTGGATACTTATTATCTGCTCCTTGAAAAGCTTACCTGTGTACCGTATAATTATGGACAGCCTGGCAAGTGCTGTATACTTCTTGTTCATTCTTCCTTTGCTTTTGGACGTTCACAGTACTAGTAGTATAATCTCGGCGTGTTCTTGCATGCAGAGGTAACACACCAAACATCCAACAACAAATCCCCGACACAAATTGACCAATCGACTTCCCCTCTTATAGGCGCGTCACGACAAGGGCACCAGATGCATATCCAAGGCAGATTACATGCTTTGCATGCATCTTTGCTGCCTAACGTAAGGTACCTACGTAAGGTAGAAAGTGAGAGCAAAGTGAAAAAGAACAAGAAAAGAAAAAAAGGACGTGCTTCGCATACCTTACTGTACAGTATATATGCGCCCGTCTGTGCCTTCACCTTTACTTCTTCCTCTTCCGCATCTTCATCTCGTATCTACTCTACCCTTCTTCCACTTTTCTTCATTCATCATCCATATATAATCTGCGATTCTGCCCTTTCTTCTCTCTCTCTCGCCTTTAAACGTCGGCTTAGCAAGAGGTCTTTTCAGAATGGCTCTTCGAATCACTCACCTCCTCAAATCTCAAGCCAAATCAAGAACCAACCCGCTCGTCGTTTTCCATTCTCCATCCTTGTCCACATCTTCCTCGCCGCCACAACCACCAACTACATCGACATCTTCACCCACCACCTCAACCAAACAACCTCCCACAAACAGCACCACCCCAAAGGACACCAAAAAGCCCAAAAAGCCCAAAAAGCCCAAACCAACCAAACCGACCCCTCCAAAAACACCCCTCGACATCTTCTTCTCCTCCTTCAAAAACTTCAAGTACAAACCCTCCCGAGACCCAAGCGCGTCCTGGAAGCAACTCGCATCCTCCCAAGGCTGGCCGCCCAAGAAGCCCAAGAAGGATGCCCCCGGTCGTGATGCCTGGGATCGCTACCAAATGGCCCTGGCCAAGGAGGTTGAGCTCTGGTTCGGTCACGAGAACGACCCCAAGGCTTGGAGGACGCTCTGCCGGGCTGTAGGACATGCCGATGCGCCCGAGGACATTGATAAATGTGCATTTGTACGCTTTCCTCTCTCTCGACATCCCGTTAGTAGTCGGTGCAGGGAATGTACGATACTGACAAGATGGCAGATTCTTCGAAATACGCATGTCAACATTGTCGACTTGATCCACTGGGCAAGAAGAGGGGGTGAAGAGGCTGAGAGCAACACAGCTCCAGAGGTGTTCAAGTCGGTCCGAGAACTCAAGGATTACACCTTCAGAAAGCATAGGGTCTTTGAACAAGAGCAACTGATGGAGTACAACGGAGGAAACGTGGTTCTGAGGCATCTGATGAGGCGACTATTCTCTCGGTAAAACTACACGCCATCCACATCATGTATTTTCATTGACTCTAGCATACATGTACCCCATAAGCCTGTCTAACACATACTGTTGTCCTATACGTCTGTCACGCGACAGTACCTGTATCTAGAAAATGGTCACAATCCCCTTTCCCAGAGGTTCTTGCAGCTGTGGGATGCTCCGCAACGCAGGCAGCGTAAACGGCTCCGTGCCGTTCAAAGCCTGCACCCTCCCCAGCAGCTTCTCGAGCTGTCGAAACGCGGCTGCGCCAAGATATTGCGGCCCTTCATGGCCCGCCAGCTGCATTGCCACAAGCGTGAGTCCCCGCTCCGTATGCACCGTCCCTTGGACTCCCGATCCCGAGGGCAGGTTGTGGCCCCAGTAGCCGATATCGTAGGGATAGAAGCCGTACAGAGGCACGTAGAAGGGATCCTGAGGCTGGCTCTGAAAGCCCATCTCCCCACCCCAAGTCATGTTTTGGATGCCCAAGAGGACGCCTTCAGTGACGAGGATCCAGTCGAGGGAGCCCTGGGCGAGAATGACATTCTGTGTCTTGTCGATGACATACGGGAGTTGTTTCAGGCCTGATGGAGGAGAAGTATCATGGCCATCAGTCGTATTGAACACGTTGTTGTTGCACAGGTTCCAGGTTACGCCATCGGGGGCATTGATGGCCTTCTTCACGTCGTCGCGGTTGAAGTACGGCATATACCCAAGGGGGTTGAAGGGCGTGGGGCAGTGGTCGGTGATGCTGTAGATGTTGAAGCAAGGGTTCTTGACGTACACCTCGTCTGTGATGTAATCCCACAAGTCGTAACACGTTTCGTTGACGACGACAGTGCCATCGGGCAGCAGGTCCAGTCCAGGGGTGAGATAGGGTTGCGGCCCAGCAGGAGGAAACATGAGATACTGGTTGTAATAGTATGTAAAGCCGCACTCGTTGGCGACGCTGTCCACGCGGGCCTTGACGACATCGTCCAAGGCAAACAGCTCCTTGTAGCGGTTGATGTACGACTGTGCCGGGACGCTCATCTGCAGGTTGTCATCGAAAAAGATGCCGTCGTAGACCATGAGGCCTGCCACGTTGAAGTGGTCGGCGTCGTTGGCATCGATAAAGTTGCTCGCAATGTAGGGGCCGTAGAAACCGCCGTATGACTCGGCCACGATGTATACCTTCCAGCCGTGCAAGCCAAAGAGGTCGACAAAATTGCGCCAGAAGCCCATGAACTGGGCGGCCAGCTCGTCTTCATTGGTGATGCTCGGTGTGCCTTTGGTAAAGCCGACGCCGACAGGCTGCTCGACATAGATGACGTTAGTGAGCAGGTGCCAGCTCCAGGGGTTGGGCTGGGGGCCGGGCGTGCCAGATTGCCACAGGAAGGGGCCGTTTTCCTTGAGGAGGCCGAGAAGAGACGAGCAGCCGGGCTACATGTATTGATGTCAGCAACAGAATAGGGAAGAGGTACAGGAGCACATACGCCGCCATTAAGCCAGATGGTGATTTCCTCCTTTGTTTGATGCTCTGGGTTGGCCGTGGGGAAGAACCAGTAGAAGAGGCTGCTCTTTTCTTCCGTGTTGTTGCTGATTGGCAAAAGGCCCGCGTACGACTCGCCGACATCGAACTGGACATCGGGGATGGTGCTGCCGTTCACGGCAAACTCTGAGATATGATCAGCCGCGGCAGCAGTAGTAAAAGTACCCATGCGGGTAACAAACTCTTGGTGGCATCAGTCAGGAACCGTGTTGGTGGCAAAGGGGCTGTAGTCGCTGCCCTCTCCTTTGGGTGCTGGAACTGCCGGGCCTCGGGGCGGTTGCTGAAGGCCTTGATGAGTCTCTGGGAGGCGCCTCTCCAGGGTGATTGTGCAGTGACACTGCTGGCAGCAGCCAAGAAGGACAATGTCCAGTAAAACTTCATGGTGAGATGCGAAGAGTGCTGTTAGTGATGTGTTTGGTCAAGATATGATATGGTGTATCATGAAGAATGGCGTCTTGTTACTCTCTAAACAGGGTTGCCAATAGGTATTTATACATCGAGCAGCATTACAGGAGCATTCTGGTTACATGTAACCTGCCTGCACTTTTGTGCTTGTGACTGCATGTCTCTTGCTTCTCAATTCCGCCCCGGTGTGTACCCATACGAGAACCTTCCTTCTCATCTGGAAGAGCTTTCCATCCTTTGAAAGTACCTTATGTAGTCAACGGAATGCGTAAGTAGTAGCTGAAAGTAGCTGAGATGCGTCTTTCCGTCTAAGATGTTTGCCCTCGTATATCAGATGCTCCTTGCTGGGTCCAGGCAGGGGTCTCATGCCAGCAGCCGCGGCCTCGGAGACTTTGGCCCTAGATATCACATGTATAAGATACCTACATTGTTATTCAGTTGCAAGTATTTTGATTAGAAGGGCTGATTGAGCAATATCACACTTATACCAAGGCGTGAAGTGTCTTCAGCCTTCACGCGGGTCAAGTACAGGGGCAGAGGAGTATCTAGAAGCTTTGGCAGCGGTTGTGCTGAGCAGAGTGCGGCACGTGAAGGTACATATCGTATTGAATGGAACACTTAACGCAATACAGCAAATTTACTTTCAGAATCGATATTGTCATTGTCCGGATAGCCACATGGGTGAGGACTGTTCTACTGCTTCCGTTCTTGCCTGAGCGATGTTGTTTGCCTATATATGCCCATGCCAGCATTTAACATTCAGCCGCAGTAGATGACACATCACATGCCTGTCCAGTATACCCTTCATGCAGCGCGTTGAATACCCACAATGCCATTCTTACACGCATGTTGAGTTGTTCCATCCTGCAAGTCATCATGGAGGACTTACATCCATACCTACTTTACCGATGCTCGAGTGCCCGTCAATCTAACGATAGCCTACCCTACAACGATCCTGATTTTGGCTGTTTTCCTACATGTACTCGGGCCCTAAAGACGGACCGTTGTTAGCGCACGTGCTGGTGCTGTAGAGCCGCCCAACTGCCCCTGGACAAGATCGAGTACCTACTCGTACATGTACACGGTACCTGAGGACCCGCGGCCAGACGCGCGGACCAGCAGGTCCAGCTACCCCACCGCTTTCACCGCCCGCGATTCGCCAGGCTTCATCCCCCCAAGCATCGACAACGTGCTTAAGCGTGTTCCTGGTCTCTGTTCGTCCACCTTCTGCGTCTCCCCGCCTGTGATCGGACCCTCCCCGCGCCTCAGACGAGCTGCGAGGCATTTGGCATCGGCTGGAACCTGCTGCCGTCAGAGAGAGAGAGCGTCAGCCAGACATGACTCGGCCAGAGCCATGGATTTCGTGAGCAGCCCCCGATTCGACCCCGACGCGAGAGAGAAGAGGGATATAGGAAGGACGACGAGGCTGGGAACACAAGAAAAAAAGTTCTAACAATCCTTGTCTGTGCAGTGGTCGCGCTTGTTAAGCCCCCTCTCCTCCGGGAGCTCTCGTCAGGACCAGGCAAAGGACCCTGCCAAGCGTCTTCATCGCTTCGAGAAGGAGTACGCCGGCTTGTTGGTGAGTTCGAGCTGTTGGCTCTTGTGCTCCTCCTCTCCGTTGTGTGCCTGTGCCTGTGTGCCTGTGCCTGTGCCTGTACTGACGAATCCGTGCCCGTCTGTCCTAGTCCATCTGGCGCAAATCCACCAACCTGTCCCAAGACATTGACGCCGCCGAGACGGTCGAGATCAGGCTCCAGGAGCTCACCAACATCCTCAGCGACGAGAGCCGCCGCCCGCTGCCGCACCCCTGCATCCAGTATGCCTCCATCAAGCAGATATACGTGCCCATCGGCAAGATTGCCACGTCGTCGTACAACGAATGGATCATCAAGGAGGCCGTCCTCTTCTTCGCAACCCTCATCGAGAGCGAGGAGGAGGCCTTTGTCGAGAACCACACCTTTTCCGCCAGCCTGACCAATCTGCTGGTGCGCATCACCGGCGTCAACAGCGCGCGCCTCGGGCTGGATACCGAGTCGCGCGTTGTCGAGCTGGCCTTTAACATCACCACCAAGATCCGCCTGGATCCCGACATCCTCCCTGCCTGGTTCAAGACGCAGCAGGACGTCAACCGCCCGAGCGACCGCGCGGCGAGTGTTCGTGACAAGTTCGCTGGCCGAACCAAGAGAGCCGACTTCCCCCTCTTTTATATCCTGATGGACTACATCCACCACGAAGGCAAGGTGGGCGACTTTGCGCGCACGGGCTTGCTGTACATTATCGAGGCCGCCTCGAGCTCCGAGTCTCTCGAGCAATGGATCGTCGAGAGCGACCTGTCGACGCTCATGGCCACCGGGCTGGGAGCCCTCTACAGCCAGCTCAGTCGCAAGCTCGTCATCGACCACTTGCCAAACAACCTGCCGCCCATCCTCGCCCTCTCCGACTATGAACACCCCACCTCCAACTACGAAATCGTCAGCTCCTGCTCGGCCGAGTTCCAGTCCCACCTCGAGACGTTCTTGTCGCACCTCTTGTTTTGGCAGGATGTCTTGAACCACTGCAAGTCAGTCGAGGTCAAGTCGACGCTCCTCGAGCACTTTCAGGTCATTTTCTTACAGCAGCTCTTGTAAGTTGGTAAATGCCTCTACGCCATCAGATGTTTTTGCGCTGACCGACGATTGTTAGATACCCATCATTGCTAGAGTCTTCCGATATAGACGGAGGCTCGTCCGTGGCCGTCTTGACCTACCTCCGCCGCATCATCGAGTCCCTCGACCACCCCGACATGATCAATCTCATTCTCCATTACCTCCTGGCTTTGCCCGACGCCGTCATCTCGCACAGCCCCCCTTCAGAGACGGCGATAAGCGCCGCCCGGCAGCGCAAGTCCATGGATCTCGCGACCATGATGGCGGAGAAGCCCGACACGACGGCGACCCCGCTGCTGTTTAACCTGGTTGATCTGATCCTGGCCTGTCTCAGGTCGCGCAACCAGCAGACCATCTACGTCACTCTCCAGCTGGTTTCGGCCATCGTCAAGAGGCACCATCGTTACGCAGTCCTCACCCTCCTCCGGACCGACTCGTTCCCAAGCAATAACATTAATCGAACTGTGGGCGCCCACGAGCAGGAGATTGAGTACCTGATGTCGCTGGCGGAGAGCATTGGCGGTCGAGATGACTTTGACGAGACGTACGAGAGCATTCTGAAGGATACCATGGCCCGGCTTGAGAGCCACCCGTGCTCCCTCAGGCTGGTCGCCCCACGGCTGTCTCAGCACAACCACAAGCTGCCTACCATTCCAGACAGTCTACCAGGCGCACCCAAGGACGTGCGGGAACACACGCTTCGCCACGACGACCTCCTCCTCAACTCCATCCTGGACTTGATGGAGAACTTTTTCATGAATCCGGTGGAGACGAACTTGTCAGTCACCGACACCATCATTGACATGGCAATCTGCGGCTACATGAGCATCGAGGGCTGGCTGGCCCGGAACCCCAAGAGCTACGTCTACGAGGAGGATGAGCAGCAAAAAGCGCAGGCAAGAAAGGAAACAAAGCCACAGCAAGAGGAGGGAGAAGGCGAGGAAGCGACGGAGACGGGAACACAGACGGGAGCAGATGCCGAGACGGAAACCGGCAATCGGTCGCTGGCCGACGAGCTCAACTCGCAGGATGACGGCAGCTCGGAGGGCGGCTTCTCTAGCTATTCAAACAACACAGAGGCGGACCGGCTGGAATCGATGGAAAAGTGCAGGCGGCGCCCCAAGTGGACCCAGGAGTCTCTGCCCCGGATCCTCGTCGTGCTGAAGCGCCTTTGCGACCAAGTCGAGGCCTTTAGGCAGACGGTGCCTCGGTTTGACGAGCTCCTTCAGCAGCGACGCGAGGCCTTCCAGACTGCAGATTCGATCCTGGACAACCCCCCGGCCCCCGTTCAGCAAAGGACGCCAGAACGGCCCAGCTCCAGCCTCGACGACATGATCCGATCCGTGTCCCCGTCGCGCCCGTCGGGCCTCGAGGGATTCGCTCAGCGGTTGCTCTCCGAGCTGGGAAGCCCCAGTCGTTCTGTGACAACCAGAGAGCGCAAGAATAGCACTCGGGCACGGTCTGGGTCGTCGACGCCGGGCTACAACGTCTCGGACCTGCTCTCTCCCAGCCCCATGCCCAACACCTCCAAGCCGCTGCCCGACCCCAACAGGGGTGCTCTGAACCGGGGCTTGTCGCCCGCCAGTGCTCAGTCCGAGGCCGGCAGACAACACCGAGGCAGTAGGCAAGGCTCCGTGGTCGCCCAGCCGGCCGACTTTGCCGCCGTGGATCAAAGCATCCTGGCCCGGCGGGTAGGTCTGCCGGCCGAGCCGGCCAAGCCCAAACCGGTGGAGTCGGAGAGTAAGCAGGAGCCTGCTCCCGAGCCGGTCCTCTCCGGAGAGGAGCTGGCCAACCTGGACGGGTACGACAGCAGCGCGGACCGAAGCGAGGTGGCGACCGAGCCGACGGTGGTGACGGAGACGACGGACCATGCCGAGCCGACGAGCCCGGCGCAAGAGGAGAACATGGTGTCGGTGTCGCACGTCATTACCAACGTGCTCATCTTTCAGGCGTTCCTGATGGAGCTGGCTAGTCTGATGCAAGTCAGGGCAGGCTTGTTTAACGAGGTGCGCTTTGTTTGAGGCCATGTCCATGCATACGATGGAGTTTTTTTAATGTTTGTCGGAAAATCAAAAAGAGAGAAATTGTAGACGAGGGTTGTCCAATGATACCACGGTGTCTAGGGGGATTGAGTGTGTTGTATTAGCATTACTACCTATACCTTGGCTTTACGGTATACGTTACAATATACATTGCTCGAGAATCTGATTCCCTGAATATTGAGGACTTGGTAGACATGCTTTTCCAAAGTAGTGAGAAACTGAGAAGGTGGTTGATGAGGCATGCTTTGGAGGCCTGTTTGAACAACCCCCGCATGCAGCTAGTAGCCAACTTGGAGGATGGCAATTGCATGATGGGAGGGGTGACGGAGGGGGGGGAAGATGCCATTTAACCGCCGGGAGAGGCGGTGCCGGCTAGGCTTGGGGACGGACTTTGCTTCGGAAGGGGGGGCTTGATGATGATAGTAGGCAGGATGCCATATCTGTGGCGAGGTCTCGTGGGGTTTATACGTGAATGGGGAGGTGGTAGTATATGTGCTTTGTATGCGCTGGTGGTGATTTGCTGGGTTGAGATGGGATTATGAATGAGTGAGATTTGTGATTGTGTATTTCAAGTACAGAGTGGTAAGAGGTCGAAGGCTCTATAGGGGGGGTGGATGTATAGCTTTCGCTGGGAATATAATATAATAGTCTAGGGCTGTTGGGAAGACGCTGGGTTGCAGACATATCCTGACAAGAAGCATTTCTCAGGGGTTTGTTCAGTGAAGGGTCGTCATTGGATTCTGGATTTGCCGAAGCCCATCTTTATCTATATGTGCACAGACAAAGTATACATTGATATAGTATGCCTATATGCTTATAGGGCTCGCGCCGGTTAAGCTTATCAGATCCCTTCTTGACTATCATGTCGATCTCTACGGATGATTGACATGCCTTACCATAAGCATACCCAGATTGGCGTTCATTGTATGTACAGTACAGTACATGTAGCTCCAGAGTGCGGAGTCGCGGTATATTATCCCGCTGTCTGGGGTCTGGCCACATGCCCTTTCAGGCACGTCCAAGTCTCTCCGTACACAGACTATTGGATGTCACATGCACGTTGGCACCTACATGGTACATATATAGCCTGACGCTGCACTCCATATCTGCCGATTTCAAAGAGTGTTTAAACAAAAAAAAAAAAAAAAAATGTTGCCGTGTGTAGAAAGTTGGCCAATGCGGAGGCACCTGTTTAGCCGGTCGTGGTCGTAGTATGTACAGTGTTGTTCGATGGAAAAGGGCAAGGGAAGCTTGTTCGTTTGTGTTGTTTTGTGGTGGTTGGACGGCGGTCAAGACAAGCGTGGGTGAGACACGATCAAATTGAGACGAGACACGCTGATACGAGACAGGTGCACCTGTACGGCAGGTACTGATACTAATGTACATCAGGTACTCGTGCAGCAGCTGGACAAGGATGGTTTGAGATGGCCATTTGTTCATTAACAGCAGGGTCTTTGTAGTACGAGCACTGATACTTCTAGTACTACTATCTTGCCCGTCTCTCACGACTTCGTATCGTATAGCCACCAAAAAGGCAACGCCAGCCAAAGTCGGGGGGCCTTGGCGCGCGCCAGCCGGGTCTCTGTGCCTGTCGCCTAACTGCAAGTGGCACAGGCCGATACTCTAGCGGTTTCTTAGTTGTCATGATCCTCCTTGACAAGAAGTTTGGCGAATCCTATCGGGTCTCTCTCTGTGTGTGTTCAGCTCAAGTCGCCATCTTGATCGATTCGTTATACTCAACCACATCAAGAGAGAAACCAGGAACAGTGAGAGAGATGCTAGAACCAGGAAACAAAAGATGTAGGTAGACTCATTCCCCGGGACCGCAAGATTCACAAGCCAAGCCTCTCAAGTCCCGCCCTCTCTCCAGACTACTACTACTACTACAGTATCCCGCATGGACAAGACGCCACACCACCCCTGTCGACATGTGAACCCTTTATCCGTTAGCCGGACAATTTTACCAGCGTCAAGTGTTGCGCTTTTTTTAAGCTATTGGGGCACGTCAGCTTATGGGCCGGTTCTAGACGCGGCTGAGGCACATTTTAAACGAACGACTAAACAGTTCATTTCATGCTCCTCAGCGTCTCATGCTCCTCCTCCTCCTCTGCAGGGTCCACCGCCGGACATCTAGTAGTACTACTATTACAGTGGTACTACAACTACTACTACTCTAAAGACCAGCAGAGGGGAGGCAGACCCCAGACTCCGCTATTATGGGAGACATGAGAAGAGGCTTAAATTCAGAGTTATGTTTTAGCCAGATTGTGCCGGTGCGTGCTGGCGAGGCCCCCAGATGGCTCTCAAGCAGGGCGAAAACCCCCCTCCTCTCCGCCCCCCTTTATTCTTTCTGACAGAGACAGATGCTGTCATGTACCTACCTACGATGCCACCACCACCACCAGCACCACTACCATGGCCGCGGCTGCGAGGGTTTTGTCCCGTTTTGCCCGCAGCCTGAGTACAGAGTAGTGATAGTAGTATTAGTATGACTGCTCCAGCCGTGCCGTCTGAGACATGACTGGATGGGACAGCTCGGCTTGGATGCTACTACATATTATACGACACGATGGCTAGCCCAGAGCCCGGGGCTGCACTAGCTCGACGGGCTTCAAGACAGCTTAATCTCACTTGCACGCCTCCCTACATCAAGGGCCCTTGGGATCCAGCATGTACCAGTAAGTGATATGTAAAGCCGTGTTGGCGCCGCCGTGCCTCTTGTTGTTGGTTTTGCTCTGTTGAGTTACCGGTCCAAGGGGGATTTTTGACTTGATCTTGCCTGACTGGTGTTTTGACTCTCGCTGTCACTCTTCTCTTCTCTTCTCTTCCGTCTTGTCGTCGTGTGAGCACCTTTTCATTGTCATTTGTGGTTGTAGCAGTCAAGGATCCAGTGAGAAAGAAGAAGAAGAAGAACGAAGAAGAAGAAAGAGAAGAGGAAGAGGAAGAGGAAGAAGAAGAAAAAGGAACAAGCATCACCACCATGTATCTCCACGAAAAGCAAGACTCCTTCTCCCCCCTGCGGCAGCTACTACACCACGTCTCCCAGCGCCGCTACCGAAACTACGCCGCCGTCGCCGTCGCCCTCCTGCTGCTGTCCATGGTCTGGCTCAGCGGCCGCCTGACGACGCACTACTACTACAACTCGTCCCGGCAGACGTGGCCAGACGGCTACTCCTTTGCCGGCGCCGGCTCGGGCTCTCTGGGGCAGCAGCAGCAGCAGCAGCAGCAGCAACAAAGCCGGGTCGGTTCCGGTGCTGCTGGTGCTCAGGGACGGCATCTGATCCCGCCCAACATCTGGCAGATTGTGCTGCCCAAGGCGCAGCCCTACCGGTGGGATCTCAAGCACGTCCGCATCGACCCGCGGCAGCTCGAGAACACGGCGTCGTGGCTGGCCATGAACCCCGACTGGCAGTAGTACGTTGTTCAGCAGTCCCCCCCTCGCCCGGTTCTTCGTGTAGAACCCTGCTTGGCTAACATATGAATTCTTTGTTAGCACCCTGATCGGCCAGAGAGGAGGCGACGACTTCGTCAACAGCCACTTTGGCGCCGGCTCGCGCATCGCCCAGGCCTACCACAACCTGACCAACGTGGGCATGAAGTCGGACCTGCTGCGCTACCTGGTGCTGGGCGTCCAGGGCGGCGTCTACACCGACACCGACACCGTCGCCCTCAAGCCCGTCGACGCCTGGATCCCGCAGCCCGTCCGCGACCGCGCGCGCCTCGTCGTCGGCATCGAGTTTGACCGCCGCGACGGCGGGCCCTGGGCCGACATCCCGCACTGGCTGCAGTTCTGCCAGTGGACCATTGCCGCCGCTCCGGGGCATCCCGTCTTCGGGAGGATGGTCGACCGGGTGCTGCGCTCGCTGGACGACTTGTCGGCTGCGCATGGCGGCGTGTCCGTCGAGGAGCTGCGTCCGGAGAGCTTCGAGGTGATGAACTCGACGGGGCCGGCGGCCTGGACGGACGTCGTCTTTGAGCAGCTGCAGGAGTACAATCCGCTGCTCAACGACACGCAAGACTTGTCGTTTATGGAGGAGCCGACGCTGATTGGGGATATCTTGATCTTGCCGATTGATGGCTTTGGCATGGGCCAGGATCATTCGGCGAGCACGAATGACGGGAGCATTCCCGAGGCGGCCATGATGCGGCACTTGTTTACGGGGTCGTGGAGGGATGAGTAAGGGAGGGAGGGTGTGGTGTGGTTTCTTTCTTTTGTGGATATATATATGTACTGGGATTTGGATTTGGTGTACAAAGCGCTTTTGGGGGTATTATATGACTTGGGTAAGCATGTCTGGGATTTGAGATTTTGGTTTGGCGATATGGTTTCTGCTGGATATATATATATATGAGCTGTATGATAGGTACGTAGCAAGTATCATGGATCTATTTGAGTACCTACACATTGCCTTCTCTGTCTGACTTGAATGTTCATCAATGAAATGGCATGTGTTGGAGGGCGGAGTGGAAGCAAGCATCCGTACTGCCGCGCATCTCACTCATTGCCAGGCAACATAACCTGGTCGATGGGCAATTATCGATAGCATTCCCTCTCCCCCATGATACTAAGCGTCGGGGACTGCAACCTCGGTGGACGTTTCCCTGACCTTGGTGCTTCGGAAGAGGTCAAGAGGTCAAACCCCCCGAGAATACTTGACACAAGCATGTGTGTGGGACATGTGTCTAAGCTGAAAGAGGCTTCTGAACAGAATGATCATGACAGGCGGCCGTGCTGAAGGCCAAGAGGGGGTCGCCGTTGAGACAAGTCGTCTCTCGGCTTGGAAGACACCACGAGTCAAGACTTCCGAGTCTTTCACTCAACTTCAGCCATCATCGTCAAAAGACTTTGTCGACGCCAGCCGCCACTCAACTCCAACTTCTTCTACCCACAATCCAATTTCCGGTCAGTTAGAGTCGAAGTGCTAGCACTAGATGGTCAGAGAGACGAAAGCTTGTGCGCAGCTTACCAACAGAAGAAAAGTTTTTTCCAAAGGAACTCTTAAGAGAAGAAGACCATTCGAAAAAAAAACAGACCAAAAGCGTCTCAATTCCAAAACTTCACACGTATAGGTTGGTGGTCGACCAGGCGGATATATCACAACCGCAACACACTCTAAAGAAGCTTCAAGATATAGGCGGAGTCAAAAACGGCACCACCTCCCTCTCTTCCCAAGAGAAGCAGAGCAATACATATCTTCGGCCAGTACGTCTTTACCTTGTCAAACTGACAGATGAATAGCGCGATTCCTCTCTCGAACAATCGCAGTAGACAAAAGCTATGAGATCCTCAGAATGCTCCATGGCTAATTTGAGCTGCTACATAAGTCATTCTAGATTCCCCTGAACGTAGTCGTAGGACTGCTCGTGAGGCAGTACCCCATCGAACCCATATTGAGGCAACACCTATGTCCTAAAACCCCCTTTAGGTTACCCGAAGCAAACAGGAATAACATCAAAACACTTGCTGGATTAACCGTCAAACAGGCAAGGAAGCCAACCCCCTGAATCAGCTATAACTCACAGCATATCCACGTGATACCAGTTACAGAGGAGGAATATACAGAGCAGAGTTATAGCTTTCGACCATCCAACTCCCACAGCAAGATCCTCGGCAGCATAATCACTCCCATGGCTTCTTTTTTTCGTTTTTTTACAAGGTCGTATACTTTACTCATGCTGCTCCAAAAGCAAATCATCAGACAGTCCTCTATACCACACCTGTTTTAACAGGTGAAAATAGACAGCCAGCCTATTCTCTCTCACCTCACATCAATGTATGCTATCTCGCAAGGATAATCTAGATCGTACAGATGTGGAGATCTCAGGAGAAGCATCTCGACAAGAATTTGTACCATACTACCATCTATATCACGCTCGACTCTAAATAAATATGCAAAAGCTTCTTTTACTCCAGGTCCCTTGACAGCCTTATATTCGTCTCAATTTACCTTGACAGCAGCCATCGAGGCTCACCCCCTTATCCTTCCACACATAGCCCACTCTACAACACCAGAATATGTCAGCAAACCTATCATATATTACAAGATGTTATGATTTCCTTGTCTGTGCATTCAATGTCGGCCATTCCAGGTCTCTACCACACTAGAAGTCGGTAAACATTCGTCATTCCGAGAGAACGTGATCCTACGACCTCCTCCCCCCCAATTCTACGTGTGATCGGCCAAAAGGCTCGCGGTGCAACATCTTCACATGCAACCTGACCTGAAATCCCGTCAGCGAGCAGGTACATCACCCATGTGATAGAGGGCTGGAGCTCGTGAGAAATACAACTCATCCTGTCGCTTCGTCTCAAACGTCCGGGGCGAAGAGTGCCCACAGTAGCTTACCCTTATGCTTAATGAGACTCCATCATCAAAGACGTCAGGCATCTTCGATCGGTCTATTTACGGGTCCAGTCTGCAGGATGCTGTTCGTTGCATCGGTTGAGCATTCGCTGCTGGGGCGTGCATAAACACTCATCTCTCCTGCGCTCATCTGTTGGTCACCGGCCAGGCTACATCTTTCACTAGGGTTCGGCGCCGAAGGAGCAGGCAGCACAAACAGAGGTCAGCCAACGCAATCCTTCGCATAACCTCACGGAGCTTTCCGCACGCTGCATCTTCATATACGCTCCAGGATAGCAGTAGGTATGCAAGAGCTAAACTCCCTCGGCCCGACCCCATGCGTCCTCATGCTCAAGCGATGCAACGGAGGAGCTCCCCAAGACGACGGACAGGGCACAGGTAATTATATTCATTATTTAATGACGCCGAGAGTAACCATTGTCAGGTAGTGTTCGAGAATGGCGACTTATCAGATCCCATGAAGAGATTGACTGGTATAGCTGTTGGATCGTGCTGCGAACACCTACCTCTTGACGAAGAAGTCGAGCCTGGCCGAGAGGAAACGTGATGAGCCAATTCCCGTCAACGTTGCACGGATGTTGACAAATGTTCAAGCTGCTGGCTCGGCGTGTCGTTTCGGCGACATGAACCGCGATGGGCAAGGCTAGACATCGTGCCTCGAATTCGAAGCTCGATGAGGCTGGGGCTGAGCAAAGGTCCGATGCAAATTCGCACGATCAGCAATGTATACCCTTAGACGCTGGACAAACTTCAACGTCTAATTCAAGAAGAAGAAGTCCCCGGATCACGATATCTCAACGAGACTGGTTTCCCAATGGCAAAGAGCCGTAACGACGATATTCACTTACTGCCAAAAGACGAGGTCTAGGCGTGTTGGCAGATCAGGAGCTCGTCAAAGGACAAGCGGGAGATGATCGATGCTCCGGAATGCGAGGTCTCGGATGAGACAACGGTCCAGCACGAGAGCCATTGTTCGCCACGTGTCGGGGTATCACCCTCCAGGTCGGGACCGTACATGAAGTACTCATGATTTACATGCGTGTATGCGTGTCTTGACCGTGTATCGTATGTAAGTGAAGCTTTGAATAAGCAAACCTCGGCAAACCCACCGTTGGCCACATGGCGTGGCAGCAGGATGAGCTAGCATCCATCCCTGGACAGGCCCGATTGTGGTGTCACTCCCTCGCCGCCCAGCCGACTTGGCCGTGGAGCTCGTGCCGCTTTGCACCGACATCAGGGGCCCTGTTGCACCCATACAGAGCAAACACGCCGGTCAAGCTCCAGGGTCCGGTCCCGACCAAAGCAGGCGCCGCGCCGAGCATCAGCGGCTCTTCGTATCGTGACGCGGCGTCATTGTGGCGGTAATAGCTCTGGCGGGATAGAGATGAAGGGAGGGATGTTGTAGGGCATCGCTTGCGCTACTCGATGCGGCCAAGTCCGCCAACATCGTGGGCCACCAGATGAAGCCGTGGCTTGCCGCTTGCGAGCGATGCCCAAACAGGAGATGCATCGGGCTGGTGGCTTGGTGTGGCGCCCCTTTACCTCCGAGACCAAATGAACGGCGCCATTCTGCTTGACATCCAAGGGCGTGAACGTGTGTGGATGAGCCCGAGCCTGACGATGTTACAAGATCTGACTTTGGCGAGATCCTCGAGGTAACAGCGAGCGGGGAAGCGAGATGTCCATGCTATGCTGCAAGATTGGTAGCTGTACGAATACTGTGTAACTGCAACTTTGGAGATACCTATACTTTGTAAAGGCGAAGTCAAAGGGGGTTGATCCAGAGAATCTGTTGGCTCTGTCTAGCGCAGACATCCCTTCGCATCCATGGCATGATCCAAGCCCACGCTCGCTCTGCGAGTAGACGTGCGGAGACGGCATCGAGAGGGTCACAAGATGGTTGTCATTGGCCGTGTCCCCAACACGGGTGGTTTGGCCACGCGGTTTTAAGACTCGGAAGCAAGCTTAAGGGCGCGATACAACGTTGTACGGTACCAGCCTTTGCAAACCAGGCTCGAGTTTCGACTAGGAGCACAGGCAGCGCGGCTCTCGCATGTCTTCACACCGCAGCTGGTATTTTGTGCAGAGGAGTTTTGTTTTGGTATTTGCCTTGTAAGATGCTCGGTCCACGGAATTACTATTCCATTCTCCTCAATCCATGTCAGTCAAGCTGTCAGCATCATACAAAAGGCCGACGGAAATATCATCGGAAACCCTCATGTACTCAAAGTCAGGAAAGGAAGACATAATATTACAAGAGCGGAGAAGCATCGAAGACTGAAGATCCGCTCCAATGAAACACGGCCCGGGCAGCCAGGATGTGGTGTGCCTCGCCTCGTGTTCGCACAGTTGCAGCTCAAGAGGCTGCTGGTTGATCATCAGGAAACATGATCGGAACTGAAGCTTGTGGCGGCTCATGCCCGTGCACGGTAACCGACGGCCCTTTCGACTGCACCAAGTACACGTATCGCGGCAGACCAGCACTGTGCATGAAATGAGAGAGGGCCAATGAGGGCCCCTGCTGGGCTAGCCGGGGTATGTGCAGCTAAAGGATCAAAGCCCGCGGAGGTATAACTCTATAGAGAAGCGACAGAGCTGCCTCGGGAGTTGATTGGCCGCTCGGCAACATGCTGCTTGCCGTGAAGGGATTCTAGGCGAGGCCAGGCAGTGGTTGATTGCCGTCGGCTGGTGGCCTTGGGGTCTCTGGTAGAACTAGCAAGCCGGTCGGACGAGGCTGGTGTTGGCGACGTCATATAGTCCGAAGAGCGAGGAGTTGTCAGTATGTTGAAGTTGGGTGAATATGTCATGTGATGGGCTGGTGTTGGATTGGAGTCGTAGATGTATTAGAGAGGCGTCGTGTTATGGATCGGTGGTTAGCACAGGTGACAAAGACGATGGGCGATTGGCGAAGCAGAAGCATTCCTAGGCCTGGGGAAGCTGCAGGGCTTTGGCCGCCGCTGGCACCGTGTCAACCACACCGTCCCTAGATGCAAGCATCGCATCCAGGCCATGTGCGACGTCTCCAACCATGACATTGACGTGTCAGAAGTCGTGCGATACTGTGCAATCTTGTGTTGCATCGGATCATCGCGGTGGAGAGAGAGAGAGCTGAATTGGAGAGAGGGATCCAAAGGGGAGCTTGGATTGTGCTCCCCTGACGACTGGCCCTGGTGAAGGTGAGAGAGAGCGTGAGAGCGGGAGCGGATCGGCAAGGCTTGAGCAAGGACAGGCGGAGCGGAGGAGAGAAGGTCGGTCGAATCAGCAATGCGGAGCTGGAGCCAGTGGTGTGACAAACAAACGGCCAAGAGTGAGGCTATACTGAACTGAATAGTGTGTATTATGGATTTGTAAAATATTAGTAGTACAAAACAGAGCAGGACCAGGCAAGGGGGACAAGAACAGCAAGGCCATGGCTGGATGATTGGTTGGTGACTGTAGACGGCTGATGCGTGAAGGAGGAGAAAAGATTCATGCTGGATGTTCAATTTTGGCTGGAGTGAGTCTGTCTATGCCTGGTCATGTGCATGTACGAGTATTGCTTGTGCCTGCCGTTTGAGTGCGGTACTGTGCAGATGGCATCAGCTTGATACTGTGTGGCCTCCTTCGCAACAGGCGATCACTGCCGTTCTGAGTCGGTGATGGACAGAGGAAAGAGCGTTCGCCGTATTTGCTGCGGGGCAGCAGCCTGGGGTTTGCGAGTCAATTTGACGAATAACGCCGATTGTTTAGATGGGGTTTTCTGTTCCTGTTCTTGCCCTCTTTTTTTTGGGTACCTGTATGTAGTACCTGGGGTTTCACTGGGGCCTGAGATGAGATGCCATCATCCCCTTTCACCAGGAACACGGCGGTAAAGACGACTTATCTTACGCTTTACACTCATACTGACGAAAGCGACCAGACTCTCTACTACAGCTCTCATAGACCAGCTGCTACCACTACCGACTGCCGCTCGTCTGCATTGCCGTGCCAAAGCCGGCGGAGGATAATCTGAGCCAGGGCGACGTCATTTGGCCAAAGCCGGGGAAAGTGGAGAGCCCACTAGCCAACCGCCCAGGCGCTTCTTCAGTGGCGCCGAGGCCTAACAGGCCCTGGGCGTCGGGAGCTAGGCCGCGAGCGGACAAGGGCGGGCTTGGGCGAGCTTGAACCTCCATCTTTTGGACAGGCCATGATGACAATACACGTACCTATCTACGAGCAATATGGAGGAGCCAGGTCTATTGTTCGGCTGCTCTTGGGCGTGTATGTTCACGGATTACCCATATGTGCAGACTACCTACGTAGGTGCTATTAGTAGGCGTTAATATTGCTACAATAATCTTACTCGTACTACCAGGAAAAAGGCCCTGCTGGTAGCTGTAGAGACGGATTGAGTATTGAAACGCCGGTACATACCTCTATGGAGGACAGACAAGGATGGAGCGAAAGCGCCCCCAAAACAGCCAGAAGAGAACATAGCACCACACACCACACCGCAGCAATATGCATGCACGTCAATGGGTGCTTGCTCCTCAAGTAATAAGTCTCGAACAGAACAGAGATGCTGCTGATAAATATCCTCGACAAACACCGGCAACTTGCTGCCGAGCGCCCAGCGCAACACTCGTACTCTCACAACAGCCAGTCTTCTTGGCAGACCACATCCTCGCTGAACTACCTACATCTGTATTATCGCCTTCAGGCGACCAGCTTCTAGTGGCCATCTAGACGAACCGAGTCCAGTCCCCCCTCCCCCCCAATTCTCACGCCCCTCCTCCCCCAACGGCCAGACTCTCGGCGACATGCAACCCCCCAGATGACCCCGGGGGGACGCTTGCAATGACCCAAATGGAACCGGCCGGCGATCCTCCAGCATGGGGCTTAGTTCGGGGCCGGGTTGGCACGAGCTTTTCCAACTCTCGCGCCGTGGAAACAGACGTTGAACCGCGATTCTACGTGTAACAGTGATCCGTACCATTGTCTTTCGCGTCTCATTATTGGCAGGACCAGCAATGGAAGAAGCATGCGTAAAACTACTAGTCATAATACATACACGTGAGGAGTCAGAGCTGGAAAGCTCAACAACCGGGGCCCCAAGGATTCAGAAATGGCAAGACTTCGGCCTGTGTGACGGCGGGTGGTGTTACCGGCCTTGATGCCATGTATGGAAGTACATGTAGGGGCCTGTGTTCGTGCTCGTACAAGGACTGCTCGTAATGGCACCACGAATGGCGGAGCTGATGCTTTTTTGCTGCTGTTAGTCGAAAGGATCATGAGCGGTGATGCTGCCGTACGTGACACGGCCTGTTGCTGCATCGATTGGGTTTGCAGGATCGTATCATGTGCAGAATTGCGACTTGATGTTGGGCACTTGGATGATCCTGAAAGCTGAGGCACAAGCGAGAAGATCACCTCAACTGTTGGGAGGTACCTACAGAACAGAACAGTCAGTACACTTGTTGGCACAATCATTCCACCACACTTCTTGTCAGGTGTCGGTCATCGATCCCAGATTGTACTCATCCTCGCACCTCGTACCCCAGACAGCCACACTACCTGAGTATTGAACCAATACTATCCAAGTCCATCCCCAGTCCCAATAATCCTGGGGACACAGACATTGAACCAGAAAATACCAGGTAAAAAGTTGGAGGGGAGGCGGGGGAGCAACTGGCAAGCTTTTAGGCCCTTTTTGGGGAAATGCGATTCTGGAGGTCAAGGGGGTGTTGAGGCCTTGTCCAAGGTACACAACGCCGGATGGGGCAGTACTCGAAGCGGCGCGTACAGGTACTTGCAGGCGCGGGCCATGCAAGGCGAGACAAGGCTTGCCAGCTTTGCTCCATCATCACCTTGCTTTGCCCATCCCGCATGCGACTTACACGCGCTCACCTCCCGACAGACCCCTGCGCGTGCGTGTACCGTTGCAGCAGGGCATCCCGCAAGCGTCAGTACCTGCTACCGCGGCAGCCATGTACTCGATACACCGTACCCCGGATCCTGCAGACGCAAGTGGCTTCAATGCTCCGAGCATCTCTCCTGATGGGACTCCATGGGGAAATCTCCAGGCCTGGGGCCAACAGCCTACAGGTAGTACTGCCTAGTACTACCTATGGACCTAGAGTTGGGCGAGCGTGCAGCAGCAGCAGCAGCAGCAGCAGCAGCAGGAGGAGGAGGAGGAGGAGGAGGAGGAGGAGGAGGATGACAAGGGACAGGGGTCGGGGCAAGTGAATCCGGTCTCGTTGTTGCTCTGCCCACCTCACTTCATGTTCCCACATGCCTGTCTGGCAGCAGCTTGCCCTGCTCTGCCCTGCTCTGCTCTGCCCTGCTCGAGCCAACCAGCCAGCTGCCCGCCATCACTCACTACCTACCTACCTACCTACCTACCTGCCTGTCGATTGGCAGCTGCTCGCACAGCTTCCGGCGTAACAACCACCCGAGCACACATATATAGCCCATCTCCCTTCCTCTCCTCCCCCCCAATCCCACTCTTCCTCCTCTTGAAACGCCCCCTTCCTCTTGTCCTCCCCGTCACCAAACCGCTCATGGTCACGGCCCCTCTCTGCAAGAGTATCAAAGAGTGACAGCCTCAGCCATGCCCATTGGCAACATCTACGTGATCGCCGGCGTGTCCGTCGTCGGCGGCGCGTTGTTCGGCTTCGACATCTCGTCTGTGTCGGCCCAGCTGGCCGAGCAGTCGTACCTCTGCTACTTCAACCAAGATGAGAATCCGCCCACCACCGTCGATGGCACCTGTGGTGGCCCGCGGTCCCTCGTCCAGGGCGGCATCACGGCCTCCATGGCTGCTGGGTCCTGGCTGGGCGCCCTGATCTCGGGTCCCCTGTCTGATCGCCTGGGCCGCAAGTACTCCATCATGGTCGGATGTATCATTTGGTGAGTTGAAGAAGAACCAAGAGGGAAGAGCATCACGATTGCTAACAGATGTCAGGGTTATTGGCTCCACCCTCTCGTGCGCTTCTCAAAACATTGGCATGCTCATTGTCGCCCGTATCATCAACGGTCTCTCCGTCGGTATCGAATCTGCTCAGGTCCCCGTCTACATTGCCGAGATTTCGCCTCCCTCCAAGCGCGGCCGCTTCATCGGCATGCAGCAGTGGGCCATCACCTGGGGCATCCTCATCATGTACTACATCTCCTACGGCTGCTCCTTCATCGGCAAGCAGAACCCTCTCGAGTACAACACTGCCTCGTGGCGTATTCCATGGGGTCTGCAGATGATTCCCGCCTTCTTCCTCTTCTTCATGATGATGCCGCTTCCCGAGTCTCCCCGTTGGCTCGCCCGCAAGGACCGCTGGGAGGACTGCCGCGCCGTGCTCACCCTCGTCCACGGCAAGGGCGATCCCAACCACCCCTTTGTTGCCTACGAACTGCAGGACATCAAGGACATGTGCGAGTTTGAGCGTCGCCATGCTGATGTCACCTACCTCGACCTGTTCAAGCCCAACATGCTCAACCGCACATTCATTGGTCTCTTTACCCAGATCTGGTCCCAGCTGACGGGCATGAACGTCATGAGTGAGTATCCCAGAAACACCCTCCTTTTGGGCTGAGCAAAGCTGACTTGGTTCTCAGTGTACTACATTGCCAACATCTTCTCCATGGCTGGCTACAGCGGCAACGCCAACCTGCTCGCCTCGTCCATCCAGTACATCATCAACGTGCTGATGACCATTCCCGCCCTGCTTTGGGTCGACAAATGGGGTCGCCGTCCCACGCTGCTCGTCGGTTCCGTCCTCATGGCCCTGTGGATGTACGCCAACGCGGGTATCCTCGCCACCTACGGTGAAGTCGTCCCCGGCGGCATTGATCACGTCGCTGCCCAGTCGATGCGTGTCTCGGGCGCCCCTGCCAAGGGTCTCATTGCCTGCACGTACCTGTTTGTGGCCTCGTTCGCGCCCACCTGGGGTCCCGTCTCGTGGACCTACCCTCCGGAGCTGTTCCCCCTCCGCCTCCGAGGCAAGGGCGTGGCTCTGGCGACTTCCGGAAACTGGGCCTTCAACACGGCGCTGGGTCTCTTCACCCCGGTGGCCTTTGCCAACATCAAGTGGAAGTCGTACCTCATCTTTGCCATCTTCAACACTGTCGCCTTCTTCCACGTCTTCTTCGTCTTCCCCGAGACGGCCGGCAAGACGCTCGAGGAGACGGAGGCCATGTTCGAGGATCCCAACGGCATCAAGTACCTGGGCACGCCCGCGTGGAAGACGAGGGTGGCCACGAGCCTCACGGAGCGTGCCGAGCACGGCGACATTGAGGCCAAGATTGGCCATGACACGGAGAAGCCTCCGGTCCACACTCACGAGGAGGAGAAGGCCAGCACTCCCCCTCCCCAGTAGATGGGGATGCGTGATGAGACATCTTGATTCCGATATGTAAGGGGATGTGATTTGTTGATACCCGATGGGAGGTGCTAGCGTTGCCAGATGTGCAGCGCTTAATAGTCGTCTATACCAATACATTGCAATTGCAGTCTATCAGTCTGTGCCTTGACTCGTGATGAACCCCTGAACCAATTGCTACCAATACATGTACGTGACGTGAAGATGAATGGCAGCGGAAGTGCTGTCGTAGGATGAAGTTCTGATATGACTAAGCTGGGACGTTGACATCTCATCGCCAAAGACTCGGCCTCATCCCCTCAAACAAAACAGAGAGACTCGTCTCATTTTCAGACATCTTGCTCATCGGAGAGTATATGTTGAAGGTTCTCATTCTATGTATAGACGCTATGTACTATCTATCCAAGTATTCTCACAGTCTCTGTATCTGTATCTGTATCTCTGTATCCAGTAATCCTTCATCATTGAAAAGCAAACGCCGTGCCATGCCATCCCACGCTCATATCAGCATTCATAACCCGACATCTCGCACATCATCAAATGCTCATCGCTTCTCTATCCCACCAAATCCGCGCTTTCGTTACAAAAAGAGAAAAGATACACTCTCATCGTCCATCATCCCAGCCAACCCACCTCCGAATAATATCATCCACAGTCCGCACCGCGTCCCTCGAAGCCTCCACCTCGAACCACTCCTTGTGCTCCCGCCCACACGTCTCGCACGCGCCCAGATCGGCGCGCAGCCCCATGCCCGTGAGCTCAATGTGAATCAGCCGTTCCACCTTTTTGACGTGCGGCGTGGGATGGGGCGAGGCGGCGCTCGCCGGAGACGGGGATCGACCGGCGCCCTTGGTTGCTGCTGCTGAATGCGCGGACGTGGCGTCGAACGAGGCCGGGTTGGAGGACGAGGACATGTATGGGTAGAAGCGGAGGAGCTGGATCGAGTGGCCGCACTGGCGGGACCATTGGTTCATGCGGCGCTGGACGTTTGCCGCGCGGCCAATCTTGAGGAGCATCGTCTTTGGCTTGTTGGGGCTCCTGCTGCTGCTGTTGGACTTCTTGCCCTGGTTTGCAAACGCGGAGACGACGTCGCTGGGCCGCCTGCTGGCTGCTGCTCCGCCGGCGCCGCGGGGAGGAGGCGCGAGGAGGTCCCTTGCGGCGTCGACGGGGGCCGGTTCCGAGGCGGACTCGGGCGTCAGCCAGAACATGTAGATGTAGCCCGGCTCGTCGGCGTCCGAGGGCGGCTTGGAGACCTCCGTCATGAGGGCGGACGTGGTGACGGCGTCGAGCGAGTCCGGGATGAGCGACTTGAGGTGGTACGCCGTCGGGGCGGAGGAGCTGGACGGGCGCGAGTGCGAATTGCCGGCCGGCCCCTGCGAAGAAGAATTATGAGGGGGGTGCAGCAGATGCGAGGGGCGCGCCGACGAGGTCGATGGCCGGGCGTACTGCGGCTGGACGGGATGCGGCTGCGGCCGGGGCTGGTGAGGCCGCGGGGCCTCGTCAACGTCTTCGTCAAACGAGGGGATGCTGAAGCAGAAGCAGAAGGTGGTGCTGGACTTGGGCTTGCTGGGCCGCTGCTGGTCGCCGAGCTTCTCGGGGTCGTACCGCCCGGGCCGGGCAGCGTTGATGTCGACCAGCCCCAGGCGATCCGCCAGCGTGTCGAGGCTGGAGCGCTCCTCGGCGATGCCTGCGGTGTGCTGCGCCGAGGGCCGCGGGCCGGGGCTCGACTTGCGGGAGCGGCCGGCCTGGTCCTTGTGCTGCCAGCAGTACGAGTCCTCCGTGTCGTCGCCGCCGCCGGGGGAGGGAGACGGCGCGAGCTTTGCGTTGTTGTTCTTCTTGCGCGTCTGCGTCTGCTGCTGGGAGTGGCCGGGCGAGCTGAGGAGGGGGCGGCGGCAGGGACGGCCGTTGGAGGTGATGCCGCGGCATGTTGCTTCGGGGTTGAGCGAGTCGTTGCGGGCGAGCATGGACTCGGGCGTGGTGCCGGAGAAGGAGGGCATCGTGAGGGTATGACGCCGTCCGTGGTGTTGCTCTCTCTCGCTGTGTGTGTGTGTGTTGTGCTTCTGTGTCTTTGTTCGAGGGGGAGGGAGAGAGAGGATTGACGTCCGTGTGTAGTCTTTGTCTCGTCCTTAAGTACGCGAGTATCGGCTGCTGCTTGCCGCCAGCTGCTGCTGCCCTATGATGCAAATCAGGCGGAATCTGCGAGACACGTTTCCCTTGCCCTGGTCAATCCAAACTCTTTGCTGTCTCTTCTTCTTCTTCTTCTGCTTCTTGTTCCGGCCCCTTCCCCCAGGGCATCAACGCATTTAAGCGAAAGAAATAGGTCGGTCGACAAGCAACAACAGCACAAGCCCCGGCCAAAGGCAAAAACGGCTGCGTGGTGAGCACTGATTCACCACCAGCGAGGGAAACCCCCCCTGGCAAGCGCCGACTCGCCCGTTCACCTGGCGGCAAATGGTTGGTGGCACGAGGGTCCCTCCGGCTGCTCTCTCTCCTCTCCCCCCTCCCCCCCGGTTCCCCCCAATGGGCTGCTGCCCTTGTGGCTGTTCCAGCTGCATTGCCCAAGCGGAACCTTGCAGGGACCCTGTCCTGTCTGCAGGCCTGCAGGCCATCGTGGATGCTGCTGAGGTGGCTGGTGGTGGATACGAGGGAACAGGTGAGGATGTTTTCTGTTGGGTGCTGCTGGTTTGTGAGCTATCGATGTTTGTAAGCTATCAGTTTTCAGGGCATTAGTTGGCCTGGGGCTGTTAGGCTGCTACCTAGCGGGCATTGGGACTCCAGAATGACCTCGACGGAGTCCTGAGTCAAAGGCTTGCAGACGTGGAGGATGATGATGAGGATGATGATGATGAGGGACATGGACAGGGATCTGCTGGTTGGGCTGGATCGAATGAAAAGAATTGCATCACGCTCACGCTCACACAAAAAGTCAATGTGTGCACCGCCATCGAACCGCCAGGCATCCTCGCTGCACCGCCACAGGCCGCGGCGTCCCCGGATCGCCATCCACTCACTCCATCTGCAAGCCCCTGAAGAGGTTTTTGTACGTTTTATCGATAGCAATACGACACACGCACATTCTCTCTCTCTCTCTCTCTCCGTGTCTCACTCCCTGCATTCATCGTCAACAGTGAGATTGATGAGCAGTTCGTGAAAAAGCCCAAAGCAGTGCCCGATTGGATCTGCGCGTTGCCCTGCAGTTGGGCGTTTCCACAAAAGACTTTGGGTGTCAGACAAGGCTGGTGCAACTGCATGTAGGTACACGTGCCTACCATCATATGTGGTGCCTCCAGCCTGTGTGACGCCCAATACCCAGAATGAGGGCTGCCCAGTTTCCACTTCACCAGGGACTCGGCCGTCTACAAAGGGTTGAGAGCCTGGGAATGAGATGAGGATCCCGACGATATCAGGAGCTTTGGTTGTCATGATTCTTTTCGTCATTGATCTAGAGGTCGAAGCTCCCAGCCAAGTCTAGCAACTACCTAATAGCTAGCCTGCGTACTTATCCATTGTTTGATGGTCTTTCAGCATTTCCAGAACACTTGCCGACCTCGAGAACAACAAAAGGACATGCATTAGCTTTTATGAGTCAAGCTTTACCTCACCTCGAGGGCCTCTTGCATTCAGGATCCTTCGATGGTCTCGTGCTTGTACTGCAGAATCTGTGCCCTTCAGGCTGCTGTATGCATGCTCTTGTCGCTGTGGAAATAAGCAGCAGGTGAACTAAGCTTCAAGAAGAGGGCTTCCTTTCGAGACCTACCCATACGTACCTTGATAGCCATATTTATTTATTGTTTCGGAAATAATGCCGTCGTGAAAAGAACAGTTCAAAGGATCTTGTCCAAGTCCTGTCAGGTTTTATATCAGAAGACATCGAACTGTGCATATGTTTGAAAACGTGTGTATGTGTATGTTTGACTGTCAACGTCCGCTAGTATGTGCAAAGGCGCCGATGTGTGCGATGGTTGAACAATCTGGTGTGTGCGTATCTGGTTTCTTCATACATGTCTCATCATGCCATTTGTCTGCCTAAGGTATAATGATGCGTGTGCTGGAGGTTCGCCGGTTGACCATATTGACTTTGCCTCAACTTTTGACGCATGCTACCTAGACTACGTTATTTGGTTGACGACTTGGATCATGATAGGCATACACGGTTGATGTAAGGTCATCCATCTTGTTCAATCATGATTCCCACCATCCAGTTAACTGTCCTCAGTCAGGCCATGTAGGTCGACAACACGTAGCTCAAGCAGATACACTTTACCCCATGACAAATACCTAGACAAGCTGGTCCGATAAACATGAGGAATCAATCTCTAATGTCCGTAGCCTCGCTCAGCTCCCCAAGTCCAGCACAAACGATCCGATACTCAATCGTTGCTCCACAAGCACAGCACAGATCATGCCGACGTTGTTCTCTGAGTTCCCTCAGCTTCTGTTCAGCATGGTGTTTTACCTGCCACCTCGAGGTCCATCCACCCTGCGATATCAGAGCCCTACCAACAACTCCTTCTCGCCACTGTACTACCCCTCGAAACCAAGAATCGAACAAGATTCACTCCGTTGGAAATCTGAACAAAGCCTTCGCCAATATGCGTATCCACGCAAACTGTCGGGCGTCTGCATCTCGACACCAACATCGAGGGTTAAATATCCCCCCTTCAACCCGCTTGTCTCTCACTGATCCAAATCACCACTCACTTTACTCTTCATTAATCTACAAATACTACATCAACCACTTCTGCTGCCTTCCAGCTGCATTTAGCAACTCCCACTTACCACTCCTTCACAAACATTTTCTCTCGCTCATCTTCCACCATGGCCACCACTCCTCTCGCCCGCCAAAAGACCCTCGGCTACTCCCTCCTGCTCTTCTCCTGGCTCTGGCACGCCCTCTTTGCCGCCTACTTCGTCGTCTTCTCTGTCTGGTCTCTCAGGGGCGCCTTCCGCACCTTTGACGACCAGTTCCGCGCCCTGCTCAACACCAAGACCCAGGCCGTCGTCATGTCCATCTTCTTCCTCGCCTACACCTTGTTCCACATCGCCGCCGTCTTCCCCAACTTCTCATGGGTCACTTCCCGCGAGGTCGATGTTGAGCAGGCCAGTCAAGCGCAGGGCAAGGCTCGGGTGTATGGCGTCGCGAAGAAGGCTGAGCACTTGTGCCGTGCGGCCCGCTACCTGATTGTGCTCCGAGTGGTTCTTGCTCTTGTCAATGGCGTTCTTCTTGCTGTTGTATGGAGGTGGATGGACAAGTTCCGTGCCAATGGCGACGATGAGAACGTTTTGTACTGCATTGCGATTATTGTTGTGTTGGCTATTGAGACTGTGGAGAGCTTCCTCAGTGCCGCCGTTTTCTGGCTCCCCAAGATTCTCCAAACTGCGTAGAGGTCTTGAGGATGAGCCGAGGCTCGGTCCTTCGATTGTTGAGACGGGTATTTGGGGTTGAAATTGAGCTGGATCTCGGGATCGATTTTGGGGGGAGTTGGCGTTTGGAGGGACATCTAGATGGATGCTGGCAGGTAGTAACTGTCAGTGAACACATTCATTCCGAATTTAATGGATGAATGCTCAGAATAGAGACTTCCAATATGTGGACTACCATGAACTTGCCCATCTTGGTGCGATACCAATGTTTCTTGTCGTTTTGTTGTCTGCTGATTTTCTCTAGGTGTTCTAGGGAGCACGATGACAAAACCTTCCAAGTGCCAAGTTGAGAGGGTGCTGAAGGTCCAGTCCTGCATGCGAGAGAGTAGACATGTATTGTCTAAGAAAATCAAGACGTTCAAACGGCTAAGCTGTGTGGACTAAGCATTATACAAAGAGACGAGTGGACGGTGCTTTGGGAAAGCGACTGAGAGCGCGTGGATATCAGAGTCCTGTGTCAGGAGGGCTTCACTCTGTAGAACAACCGCTTCGACCATGACTTTCAGATTGTCCCCTGCTCCTCGTTCAGTTTTGGGTACGAGTTTTTTCTTGAGCCTCAGCCTCTACGTGAATTTGGCGTTGTCACCAGACCTTTGGTGCCTGGGACACAATTTCGAGATGGGTTGTTCACGTGCTCGCTTGGCTTTTGAACAGGCACCAATGGCTTTCGGTGTGCACAATCTCTCTCTCTTGGTAGGTCATCAATGATTATCGCTGTGATATAAAGTTATTCTCTTGTCCTTCTCTTGTCTCTTCAAGCTATTGCATGTCGAGGTGTTTGTTCTTCGAAAAGGCTCGAGTGAGCCCCTGAGCCGTTGGGCCACCTGTGGAGCTTTTTCCGTTCTCGATGCGTCTTCGATTGTTGAAACGTTCAATATCCTATTTCAAGCTTCATAAACCGTTCAAACACCTTCAACTCATGCCCTGACTCTGTTTGACTCGTCTACAGTACTCAGAGCTCCCCCAGCTCTGTCTTGTCCCCAGCCTCGCACCCAGCCTCCTCCTTTCGAATGAGGAATCAATATCGAAAGCCATTGATATCTTGGCATTATACAAGCACTGCATTCACTCTTCCATTTATATCTCCACCTCCCATAGGCAGTCATAGGCAGCCATAGCAACAGCCCAGCAACTCGTGACCCCCTGAACGATTGGCCCGCCTGTTAACCAGCAACAAATCAGCTGCACGTGGCCAAAGTCCCCGAGAGTCAGCCATCCGCCAGAGGCAAGCGCGATGCATTCTGCTGCCTGAAGAAATCAATGGAAAGTCCCCGGACCAATGGGGTTGCCTCCCAGTTGCTCAGATTCACTCGTCAGGGCTTAAGCCCCAGCGCCTCCCACCTCCCGACGCACTCCTTTTGTTTCCAGGTGTTTCTCTTCCCACTTCTTCTTCCTCCTCCTCCTCCTCTTCTCCTTCATTTTCTTTCTTCTCTCCTCCACCATCCAACTTTCGCCCTCATCATCATGAACATCCTCCTACCCAGACTTCATCCACGGCATCAGCTCCAGAAGATTCATCATCATCCAAAGCTCATCCTCCCCATATTCATTACGATGTTGCATCACGAGCATCCTCGGTCGCAGCCACCCGTCAAACTGTGCTGTTGTCGCTGATCACAAGCTTGACATACGATGGCGACAATCTCATCCCACTCGTAAGCTCTTCCTGATCTTCTCCATCTACTGACACTCGCTAACCTCGTCCAGAACCACAAACAACACTCATGTGTCTCACGCGCTTGAACTATCTACCATATCGGCGACTTGGGTGACGATGGCTTGTGAACGCGAGTGAGCTTGGTCTTCTGCTGGTACCATACTGGTAGAAGACCAAGTTCTTGCAAGTCATAGCTCCCCATTGCCTGATTTACGTCTTTCGTGCTGGTACCAGACCGGCACAGGTTCAGGCCCAGGTCAAGGCCCAGGCTGGAGCTGACCGCTCCGCTTCAACATCGCTGGCTATCTGCTGGTACAAGACTGGCAGGCCGCGCAACTCAGGCCCACCATGTCGCTCTTTGTGCACGGTGAGTTCCCATGAACGAACATCTTTCAGGCTGAACAATGCTGACGAAGTCCAGCACGACCTCCTGAAAGATCTCCCATGCTGGTGCGAGACTGGCATGAAGGTACTTGTTTCGATCTGTTCGATCGGCCCTTCTGCTGGTACTAGACCGGCAGAAGACAAAGATCAAGTCGCAGCTCTCCCTTGTCGTCTCTATGAATTTTGTGCTGGTACCAGACTAGCACAAAGTTCGAGTTACAATCGTCCTTTGAGCTTCCACCTGGCTGGCTTTCCTGCTGGTACGAGACTGGCACAGGAATAGGCCCCGGCTCAGGCTCAAGCTCAGGCCCAGGCTAGAGCTGACCGCTCCGCTTCAACATCGCTGGCTGCCTGCTGGTACGAGACTGGCAGGCCGCCGCAGTCAGGCCAACAATGTCGCTCTTTGTGCACGGTGCACGGTGAGTTCCCCAGTATGGATATGCTTTTACATTTCATCATGCTGACGAAAACTAGTTCGGTTCATTACTGATTCCTGGTCTGTGTCTCGCGGATGGGCAGTCAGCGCACTCAGGGGTCGTGGCCTGAGCGAGCCAGCCCCTGACTTCGTGCCACGACACCAGTTGGACATGTTTCTCGGCCAAGGGCTCCCCTGCTGGTGCGAGACTGGCAGGGTCCCCAGCCTGAGTCTCCAATCTCATCCAACCAGTCCCCGCCGCTTCTCCGCCAAACTGGATCCCTTGGCCAGATTTCTGATATCCCCATGGGGGAGCCTCCCTGCTCTGCACAGCTTCCGGTCCATCCAAAGACCTCTTGCCCTCAACAACGTTTTCGAGCTCGCCCGTTTACGTTGCAAGTTGCGAGACTGGTCTTTCGGCTGGTACTAGACTGGCCGCCCCTCAGACTTCGCCAGCCTGTCTTCGCCAATATTCTTCATTATGACGCTGGCCTCTGGTAGTCGTGCTGGTTCTATACTGGCAGCTCCAGGGCCTTTTCCACCGCGTCTTTCCGACCTGAGAAACTGCAGAACATTCGCCAACTCTAAAGGGCTCGGCTGTCGTGCTGGTACAAGACTGGCCGACACCGAGCCCCTTCGTCACAGCCTTTCCGGTCTGCGAGAAGCTGGAGGAACAGCGACTCTCACTTTGGGCGGCCTGGTTGTCGTGCTGGTACTAGACTGGCAGGCCCAGGGCCCTTTCCATCACGTTCTTTTCTTTCCGCGAACAGGAAGACGTGTCCCCAACTCCGAACGGCTCGGTTGTTGTGCTGGTTCAAAAACGGTGGACAATACCACTCTTTTAATCGTCCCCTCCCGGTCTGCGAGAAGCTGGAGCACACACCCCTTAAGCTCGAGCGGCCTGGCCGTCGTGCTGGTACAAGACTGGCAGGCACCAGCGCCGGCTCATCAACCTGATGCCCGAGCTTTTCGTTTACAGCGTGCTGGAGGCACGTACGGCGGCAGGGTCGAGGAGATGCGGCGGGTCGGTCCTCCTGCTGGTACTATACTGGCAGGACGCTGGCTGCCGCAATCGTCCTCAGACTGCTGCCCCTACCAAGAGGAGCTGCGGGCAGGTTCTTTGACCACGTTGACCTAGCCGATGAGACTTGTCTCGCTGCCCTGGTGGTTCGCGCTCTGAGGCATTAGGGGTGGGGGGTTATTTGTGCGTCGGGGTCCTCTGCTGGTACGAGACTGGCAGAGGATCAATTGTGGTGACGATTCTAGGGGTTTGGGCGTTGGGGGGAGGATTTGCGTGTCGGGGTCCTCTGCTGGTGCGAGACTGGCAGAGGGTTCCCCTCATTGTCACAGTTGATGGAGTGTGGTGAGTTATACATGCTGTCCTATATGTAAAGAATAACGTTACTGACTGGATGCTTAGGCGCAGACACATTCACGTTTGGTGGCTTCGCCACATTGGCTGTGTCTTCTGGCTCAGGGAATCCCTTGGAGACGATGTTCCTTGCGGCTGCGTTCTCTCTTCTCTCCTCTCATCTGCGTCTTCTCTTCTCTCTTCTCTCCTCTCATCTGCGTTTTCTCTTCTCACATCATCTGCGTCTTCTCTTCTCTCAAAGACATGTGGTACACTATTGTTCAGCAACGCCGGCTACCTCGACTCTACAGCTCAAGGCCATCCTCCAGTTTCGGAACCGATCATGAAGCGAGCCTGCTGGAAGTGAAGCTTCAATCAGTTTCGTACGGACGTTTAAGATACGATGAATTGAGCGTTACAATAAGGGCACTGTCGAAGGAGAATCCTGTGGTTTCATATACTTTGAAGTTCGCATAATGACAATACATACTTCTCTCTCATTATACTTTGCTCTTGCTATGTGACAATCAATACTTGTGAAGAAGTCCTCTGCCCCTGCTGACATCATTTTCATCTGTTTCTTACACGTATGTATCTATGTAACCCGTCGACACCACTCGTCAAAGAAGAGGCTCGCACTCCCCTCGACCTTGCCAAACCCCTATGCTCCATTCTCATTTAAGTCCTTCTACAGCGTCCCCTCTACAGAATCAATACAAACACTCCAAACACCTGCCGCAAGAGATTCCTATCCCTCCATTCGAGCAGCCCTCCCCATGAACAACCCTCCCCTTGACATACACCCTCACGATATTCCGATCATCCCCCGTCATGACAAACTTCTCCAGCATCCTCGCCGGCGCATCATCCTCCTCCAGCGGGACATTGACACCACCCACCACCTCATCCCTCAAATCAATCACTAAAGCATCAAACTCCATGCCCACCGCAAACGCACCAACCCTCTCCCCAAGACCAACAACCTTTGCGCCGCCTCTCGTCGCCATGGAAAACACCTCCTCCAAACTCAGCGCCTCCCCTCCACCCGTCTCCATCTCGCCGCTTCCCCCATCATCTCCGCTTACTGCAGCCTCCTCCTCCCCGCCGTCTCTCCTCCTCCTCCTCTCAAACTTTGGATACAGCGCATCTCGAGCATACGAAGCAACAAGAGCATGCCTCATGGCATTCACCATACTCGAGCTATACCCGCCCCCAGAATCCGTCCCCAACCCAACACCCACCCCCCTTCTCAGAAACTCCTTCACAGGCGCCGCCATGAAGCCTCCCCCAACAGTCATATTCGCCGTCGGACAATGCGCAACGCCGCATCCCAGCTCCCGCAGCTTCCCAATCTCATACTCCGTCATGATCGTGCAGTGCGCAAGGATGCTCCTCTGCGTGAGCAGCCCAAAGGAGGAATACAAGTCCGCCTCGTTGCTGAACTCGGGAAAAAGCGACAGCGTGGCGTTGATTTCCTGCGCGGCCTCGTTGAAATGCGTCTGTATCGCCAGCGAACCTTCGTCCTCGCGAGCCATGTCCCCCAACGACCGAAGCAGTTCCGCAGTGCAGGATATCGCAAAGCGCGGCGTCAGCACGGGTCTGATTAGGACCCCTTCCGGATCAATGCCCCGAATATGCCGGATACACGCCCTCGTCTCCCGGATCGACTCCTCGGCAGACGCCTCGCAGTAAAACGCCGGCGAGTTCCGATCCATGTTGCACTTGCCTATCAGCGCTCTCTGGCCCGCCTTGAAGCACGTCGATGCCAACACGCGGGTGGCTTCCCCGTGCAGAGAGGCATAGTACGAGGCCGTCGTGACGCCCTGTCTGAGCATCCCCCTGACAAGCTTCTCGTATACCTTTTCCGCATGAGCGGGGTCTGCGAATTTGGCTTCGTTGGGGAAGGTTATGCCGTCGAGCCAGTCGAGGATGTGCATTCCCTGGCCGAGGCCTCGCTGCATCCATTGCGGCGCGTGGTTGTGCGTGTCGACGAAGCCCGGGATGAGGAATTGGCCGTGGGAAAGTGTTAGCAGGGGGATGTTTTGGATGTTTTGCTGGGCGAGGATGGCGGGGATATCGGAGGGGGAGATGTTGGGCTGGAGAGAGAGGATGGTGCCGGTGGAGGAGATGGTGATAAGGCTGTTAGGGAGGACCTGGAGGCTTGTGGGGGAGAGGGAGTGGATGAGTGTTCCGTGGACTGCTTTGGCGGGCTTAGCCATGGTGGGCTTGGTGTTTATATAGAGAGAGATAAGGCAAAGTCTAGAAGTTTTTCTCTCTTAAGAGTTGATATAATGGGGAGGATATATGTAAGATGAGAGATGACGTTGAGAGAGGCCGGAGCGGGGCGTGATCCTACAAGATCAGAACTGCATGTGCCATTCAAGGCGGGGGAGGCTGAGTCTTGATAAGACTCAGTCTCGTGTTGACCAATATACAGATAGAAAGAAACCTAGTATTTCACATGCTCTGTCTCATTCATCAAGACATGTTCACGCATCGATAAAGACTCGCCTAGCAGCACCGATACGATACAGACATTACTGAAACGACCACAACTTGACTCTTTCATAACCACAACTCCAGGCCAGAGTCAAGCCACACTGAGATACAAACCTTAACCCTTCATATCCATATCACATACAACCAGCCAATCTCACAGACGATGCATCTCAAACACAAAAGAACCAAGCACTCTCAAACGTAATTAAGCCAACCAACACGACTTGGACAAAAAAACAAACAAAGCAGAGGCAAAAAAAGAATTTGTCCTCGGTGAGGCTCGAACTCACGACCTTCAGATAGCCCGGAAATAAAGCCGGATCATATCGATCAGATATGAGACTGACGCGCTAGCCAACTGCGCCACGAAGACTCTTTTGATGTCTTGCTCGCTTGCCACATTGCTACATACGGGCTTCCTTGTGCTGAGCCACAGCGATCTTGATCAAGACCTCGCGATGCTCAACTGCAACTCAAGATACCTATGTAATAAGACGATGGTCAATCTCAACTCCTCTTCGGCCGTCATAGAATACATCACCATCGCACGCCAGGAGCTGCGATTCACGTCTCGAACAAAAGATACACAATTATATCATACGTTTTCATACATGCTATGATGAAAGTGGTCCAAGGGGGTAAATATCAAGAATCATAAAAGTCAATAAGTGCTATCAAGACCATCCGTTCTAATAGCGCAAGCCGCATGACACGCAACCCAAAAGATGCCTCTAGCAATCGAAGAAAGAAAAAGCTTCGTTCCCAAGAGAAAAAGAACCGCTCTAATAAAAAACAGAAGAATGATCAAGAACCAAAAACAATGAATTATTTCACTTTCCTATAAAAGAACCTCCAATCTACATACAAAAAACCCGGCAGAAATTTTTAAAACAAACAGGCCCTCGGACTATCCCCTTTACAGGACAATCATGGCACCACCGGCCAGCATGGCGACACCCATGTACAGGGCAACGGAGATCTCGCCCATGCTGAGCAGGTGGGAAACAGGGCGGCCGGCAACAGCAGCGTTGGTGCTGGTGGCAGCGCCCTTGCTGCCAGAGGTGGAACCGGCACCGACGGGGGCGGTGGCAGTGGCGGCCTGCTTGTTGATGGCGCTGGCAGAGGCCAGGGCGGCAGAGCAGGTGGAGGCGGCCTTGGGGCTGACGACCTGAGCCTGGCCGTTGAAGTCGCAGGCGGTGGAGGCCTTCTTCTGGGACTGGTAGTAGGCGTCAAGGACGTAGTCGAGCTTGGCGGCGTCCTCGCACATGCTGTAGGCGCCGTAGACACCAGTGGAAGGGTCACCGTTGATGCCAGCGCAGACCTCGGGGGACTTGCCGCAGATGAAGCCGAAGATGTCGCCAAAGTCCTTGGTGTCGAGGTCGTCGGCGTGAACGCAGGACAGAGAGCTCTGCATGCAAGTGCAAAGGCTGGCATCAGGGGTGGGGGGAAGGCTGTTGATGGCCTGCCAGTCGTCGGTCAGGGCAGGGCAGCTGGCGGGCTTGTTGGTGGGCTTGTAGTCATCGGCGTCAACACCCTTGGGGTCGGCCTTGGTAACCTGGGTCTGGAGAGCGCTGAAGTCCTTGAGCTTGGAGACGGCGCCGTTGTTGACCTTGACGAGACCTGGGAAACGTGTTAGCGACCCTGCTGAAGTTCAGTCATAAGAATGACCACCTACCATAGTCGTTGTCCTCCTCAAAGTACATGTAGACAATACCACCGCTAAAGACCTTGGTCATCTCGTCAGAGTACAGAGCAGCAGTCTCCTGGAAGATACGGGCAGCGGCGCCGCTGGGCAGGTTGCAGCCGTACTCGGCGAAGAAGACGGGGACAGAGTAGTTGGAGAAGAAGGTGGTCTGCTCGTCGTAGCCGGACTTTTGCATGGAGCTCTGGCCACACCACGAGTAGATGTTGTAGCCCCAGAAGTCGATAGCCTCATCCTGGTCACCGCAGTTGAAGTAGTCGGCAATCTCGGCACGAATGTCGACATCGTCGTTGGCGGCGTAGCCGACACCCTGCCAGCGGTACTTCTTGGACTTGATGTAGGCCTTGGTGTCGCGGACAGCGGCCTTGACGTAGGCGGAGGCGCCAGTGTTGTTCTTGGCGTTGCTCACCTCGTTACCGGCGAAGTAGCCGATGACGTTGGGGTACTGGGACATCTCGTCGACGACGGCCTTGTAGCGGTCGAACAGCTCGGTGTTCCAGGCAGGGGTGTCACGGTTGATGGACAGAGAGGGCTCGCCCAGGTCGGAGAAGACGTAGATGCCGGCATCGTTGAGCAGCTTCATGCAGGCGGAGTGGTCGGCCTTGGGGTCGATGGCGTAGGTTCGGATCACGTTGGTGCCCAGCTGCTTCAGCAGAGGGACGTCACGCTTGCAGTTGGCCTCGCTGGAGAGGGGGTCGATGAAGGTCGAGGTGCTGGAGTCGGTGCTTCCGGCCTGGCCAACATCCTGCTGGTACGCAACACCCTTGATGAAGAACTGGGTGCCGTTGGGGTAGAAGAACTTGGAGCCCTACAAGTCGGAAAGATGGTCGATTAGCGGGCTGATCTCACGGTTGCTGATCGTTTGTTCGATCCCTCGGACAGCTCTCTGATCTCCCGTTCGAGACGAGGGAAACTCTGGGGACGAAAAGTGGCTCACCTTGGCCGTGATGGACGGGAGATCGCCAGCAATGGCGCTGCCAGCCAGTGCGAGCAGGGAGACGGAGAGCTTGGACAAGCTCATCTTGGCGGTTCTGGTGAAAGTAGTCGTGAAACTTGCGGTTCTTGAGTTGATGCTGTAGCGATTGGACGTGTGCTTCTCGTGCTCGGTCAGGCGACGAAGAGATTCAAAAAGGCGTCAAGGAACGATATAGAATGTAAATGATGGTTGTTTGTCTTAAGGAGTGACTGAAAGGCCAGAACTGTGCGAGGCGGCCGCCCTCAAAAAAAAACGATGTCAAAAAGGACTGATGAATTAAGTTGCAAAAGCAAAAAAGAAAGATGCGAAAAGAGGTCTGCTCCTTTCAAGCGGCGCCCTGGAGCAGACGGCGAGTGTTTTGTTCGCTCCCGCCAGGAGAGCGCGGCCCTGGACGGGGAAATTGAAGCCTGCGACAGGCCAAGTCTCGGGACAGGGGTCCCCTGTAAATGGCCCTGTCCAAGCGCTGCTGAAGCCACTGGCCGCTACTGGGAGGCGCAGCATCGCAGCCAATGGCGGCGCCGTTCAGGGGGCTGTTGCAGGGGACCTTGGGGGGGGGGCCGGCCCCCTGGCGCCGGTCTGGCTGCGCTAGGCGAGTTTACGGTGTGCATATCGAGGCTGACGACGGTATTGACACTGTGCAATGCTTGTCTAAGGTTAACAGATCGTCAACAGATCTCTGCATGGACAATCAGCTATGAGCACTAAGAAGCGACAACATTAAAGCACGCAGGGCCATCTCCCGCACTGTCCGCTCAGGTGTGCACAGGTGTGGACCGGTGCCTGTTGCAGCAACTGACAGAATAGGGGCACCAGCAAATGGAACATGGAAGCCCATCAAATGCCTGGTTCGCACATCAAAGAGCAGGGCAAGGGTCCCTCCAATTCTGCTTCTCCACAGGGCCCCAATTTCCCCTGACTTGCAGGCAAAAGATGCGAGGCACGTTACAGGTCCCGCCTAGGCGAAATAAATCAATCAAGTGACATTTCAGACTCGTCACCTTTGCTCGCAGAGGGATCTTCATTGTCGGCGGTCCTTGCATCAATGAGCATGGAGATTGAAGCCCGCTTGGCGGCTTGCTTGATCGAGAGGCGGCTCGACGATTTGATGGACGGCATACGAACACACTTTGTATTACCTCATGCGGTGGACGGAATTTTGCTCAATAGCGTGGAAAGTGACTGATTTTTTACGAGAATTCTATGAATACTACATACTTGGCGGTTTCTGCGAACTGCTTTGGTGTTCCGGCATAGCCTCCCTCTCTGTAACGCGTCAGGGGCCCGATGTGATGCTCTCGTCTCCATCCCCAGGTACTCGTACAGACAGCATCGCATCGCCGCACATGCGACAGCCCGTGCTCGCCTTGTCTTGGCCAGCCTTGCCGGCACATGTTTGCTGCTTCATTGTTGGCCCGTCCACCGAGGTATCGACGCTCCATTCCAGCGCAGATGCCCTCCTCTTCCCTCCTCTACTGTACTACTACCCACTCGTAGCCGAAAGCCTCTCTCAAACCTGTTTCGCCTCGAGAAGCACTAGCCAGGAACAAGCGGTCCACCTTGGTTTGAGGGCAACTCATCCCTCGGGAATACTATCTCTCCCCCCCCTCGCCATCTTGTTCTATTGACCTATGTAATACCTGTTCCTGCATATGCGGCGACGAATGCAGTCAGCCGGCGATCCAACCTCTCCGTTCCCTGCTTCGGGTTCTCGGTGCCGTGGCCGACCTTTTGGACACGGATTGAGAGCGCTCATCGACGGGCCTTTCTTAGAATGACTTGCGATTCATGAGCCGCTTCTCCCTTTTTTTGGCTCGGAGAGCCGGCACGATGGGCAGAGGTCGCAGAGGTCGGATATGCGGCGTCTGAGAGCCGAGTATCCGGGCCTGACTATTGCCCCAGCTTTACTCTGCCTCGTCTTTTCTGTAGTATCTCATTCGCTTAAGAAGTTGGAGAAGTGATGTGGATGATGGTGCTCGTGTCCGGTGAAATAGCTCTGTAAGCTGCTACTGTAAGTAGCAATTGCAGGGACTATGCTCGTATCCAAAACCCCAGCGAAGAGGGCAATACATAAAAGATGCAGCGCCACAGCACAATTTAAATCAAATTATCGCCGGCGCACTTTGTAGTAGAGATCGCCAATGTTGTAGAGCACCTCGTCCCAGAACTTGATGAGGCTCCAGTCGTCGTTGCGCCTGGGACGATGCCGATCGCCGCGGTGGGAGACGTGGTGGTAGTGCCCGTTGTGGTAGACGAGTTCCGCCATTGCCGCGATCTGCCGGGTATCACGGATGGAAATGTGGTTCTGAGTGCTGTATGTATGTATCGTGATGTTGGTCCCTAGACTATATTGTTGTCCAGAGCTAAGTGTTGATGAGCGTTGGACAAACAGTCATCTGTGAGGCAACATGTAGATGTATGATGAAGAAGAGAGCAAGAGAATTGCAAAGAGGAGTACCCGTTACGTGATGGGCAGCGCTTCCATTTATCCCCTCACGAGACACCGATAGACACGCAACCTCAGCCACTCATCTGCGGCTCTCTCTCCGCACTCGCCTCATGCAGCCAACATGAAGTCTGCCTAGCCTCGCCGGCCTGAAGTCATCTGCAGCCGCCACCGGAATCCATCGTGACTTGTCGAGTCGGGGCCGGCTGACCGGATCGGGGTCCCACTGTGCCGATCAGCTGGACCGCCCGAGGCGAAGTTTTGGCGACTTGAAGGGGACTTTTTGGGGTGGTTTGCGGCGCTTGAGGGTTTGTGTACTCGGAGGTATTGACGGGATGGCCCGTTTGATGGATGGGGAGATGATGTTCGAGTCTTACCCGCTGGCTGGCATTGTGCGACGACGACAGTACGAGTACGAAGGCGTGGAGATGAAGGCGGCCAACTTTGCTTGGCAATACTTAGCTTGCTTACCTACCCTAGATTTGAACGAGAAGAAGACATCTTGGTCAACGTGAGGGCAGTACGGTTAAATGCACGTCTCTTTCTGCATCTCATACAGAGATTTAGAAGCCTTAGATAGGAGGTTAACTTGGAATTCGTCTTCCTAACGTCCGCAGCATATGCTGCTGGACAGCCCAACAAGCAGCTGCTTCAATAGCGTGCACTCCAAGGTTCATAACAAGAGCTCAAGAACCCATTATGTCACATACCTACCTACCCAAGGCGGTTCTCTCTCCCCAAGCTGTCTGCCAAGCAGAAATGACAACTACACACATATAACACAGCATGAACCAACTACTATTACTGTTCAGATAAATAATACAGTAATGTTTAAGCGCCCGGTGTATCAGATACAAATTATGAATCCAGCATCTGCAAGTCACTACTACTAGCTGACTACACGACAGACGCCGCCAACCGCTAGAATGCATCTGGCCATCAAATCAATGTCAACCCCACCAAAGCTTAAGCGCCTGCAGAACACCAAAATCCAACTTCTTCACGTTCCGCGCTCTTCAATGCCAGCCTGCAAATTCCCAAGCATCATTAATGGCGCACGCAATCCATTAGAAACATTTCAGTCGCTGTCGGTCTCTTCATTTCCTGCATCTAGACCATCCGACACTGCGCCGCTCTCTCTCGGCCGCACGGGCGCGGCTGCGCATGATTTGAATCGAACCGTTGCGCACACGATTCGCAACTGCGACGATACACACACACACACACGCAATGGGAGCGAGCGGCCTTGAGACGTCTATATGGGCGTCTGCTCGAAGACGGCCGTACGAACGATTTGATTCACGATCACGATCCGTACCTCCAACCTCATTACCTGCCTCAGCCCTGCCGACACAACCAGCCTCAAATTCCGCAGCTGTCCTGCCTTCGTCCAACGGCACGTCATCATCACTATCGCCCATCCAGGCTTTCCACAGGTTTGAGCAGGCATGCCAACGCCTGCGGTGGAAATACATCGATCTGCAAACGTCCTATCAGCGCGCCCTATCACCTCATGACTACGGCTTCTCTCCACACGATGCCGAGGTCAACTTCAAAGTCGACTTCCACGAGTTCTACGTCCGCATCGAACAGGCCATCGTCTTCGCCCTGCTAGTCTTTGGCATAACGGTCCCGCGAGGCACCGGCGGCCCGCGCAGCCAAGCGGCGCATACATACCACCACAACGTGCTCAAGGCGCTTGACGAAGAGGACAATCCGCTGCACGCCGCGCTGGGCGAGGGCAACGTCAATCACGCGCTGTGGAAGGCCAAGGAGCTGCGCAATCGGTGGAAGGATGCGGCCGAGGGGAGAGAGACGCCGCCGCTCAAGATGTACGACTTGACGTGGATCGTGGGCCAGATCCTCGGGGGCTTGGAGGTGTCGTACGGCATTGCGGCGGGGAGGATCGAGCAGTTGCGGTTGGAGGGGGATGAGCAGGCGGCGAATGGGGGTGCGATTGATGATGGCGATGGGTGGGAGTGGATGGTTGAGCCGATGGATTGGGAGGCGTAAGGAGCTTTTCTTCTTCTTCTTTCTTTTTCAATTTCGAAGCTGAGCCGGTTGGGAGTTTTGTCTGCGTCTTAATACGATACCCGGGATGGAGGCTGGATATTGAGATGGGGAGGAGTACATTGTACTGCGATATGATGCGGTCCACAAAGGTATATATAGACGAGCGGCCTATTAAATGACATACATGACAGCATCTTTTAAAATTCCTCCTCCTTCTTCAGCTTGTCTATGATCATCGAGTCATCAGCACCAATCGCTTTCCCTCTTCGAAACGCCCTCCGCAAAGCACACTTGCCAGCATTCTTCCCCCTAGCCTTACACTCAGCACACCTCTTCCCATGCGTGACCATGAGGATATGAAGCCCGTACTTGTCCTCGTCCGGCACCCTCGCTTCCAGATGCGCCTGCGCCTGCTCCCTCGTAGCAGAAGGAGGGATCCAGCCCAGCAGGGACGAGATTCTGTACACATGCGTGTCCACCGCGAAGCTATCCCGCCGCAGACAGAACAAGAGGACGCAGCTCGCCGTCTTGGGGCCCACGCCCTGGAAAGACAGCAGTTCGCGCATGGCCTCGTCGTCGGAGGCGTCGAGCAGGTGATCCAGCGAATACTTGCCATACCGGGCCTTGGTCTGGTGTAAAATGTCCATGATGACTCTGCTCTTGACGACGCTCAGTCCTCCCGAATGGATCGTCCGCTGCAATTTCTCCGTCCCACCCTCTACGATGGAAGCCCAATTGTCGCTACCACCGTACGTCTCGTCCATGGCGCGTTTCGCACGCGAACTGTTCCTGTCGCTGGTGTTTTGCGAGAGAATCGTCCGGACGAGGGCGTCTAGCACGGAGGGCGAGTTTCCGCAGCCGGCGACGGATGTCGGCGCGACAATGGCTTCGGGGCGCTTTCGCTCGCCGTGGAGGGAGGAGAGGATGCGGTGGGCGAGGGAGCATTCTGTGGGTGTTGGATGGGGGAAGGACGGGAAGGGGGAGGAGTGCGAGTGGGTGGTGAAGGACTTGAGTTTGCGGGCTTGGAGGAGGGCGGCCTTGTCTTGCTTGTTGGGGGGCTGGGAGGGGATGCTGGATGTTGATTTGTGTGGTTTGGATTCGGTTTTGAGAGGAGGGGTTGTGGGTGTGTCTTTGAGGTTGATGTCGATGCTCTCTCGCTTGATGCGGAGGCTGCGCCTTGGAGGGGTTGTTGTTGTTGTGGTGTCTGCTTTCATGGCTGAGAGTATCGATTTGGAGGTGGGCTTGATTGGATGGTGGAAATGAGTGAGAAGCTGGTTTCTGAAGGAAATGAACATTGTTTTGCTCAAGGTTGAATAAGATCCTGTTGAGTGTTGAGGTGAGACTGGAGTGATGAGGTCAACGACTTCGAGATGACTAAGATCTACAGTAACACCGATCCATCACATGCCTGTCCCAGTCCTCCCCCGAACACAAGATGGATTATTGATATTCAAGTCTCTGGCAATTAATTAGTATAGTTCAAAGTGTATTAATCTTACTATAATGACTTCTCTCAGAGACGTGGGCATATGATGAATGACATTGCATGGTGAGGAAGATATCGAAGCGGCCGAGGCCTTGACTCACCCAGAGAACGCGACCATCGCCCTCCTATGCCTTCGAGTGCTCAAAGTTAACATATATCAATTGTTTGCGCGAAGAGACGGATTCTTCCACATGACATGAGCTAGACTCGTCGCAGTTCTGTTTGTAGTAAACTTGGAGAGGATAAGAGTCCTCCTATTTGAACCGTAGCATATCTCTATTTGAACCGTAGTGGTCTGTGCCACCAGCTACACCAACCCCCCAAGTAGAATATCCCACACCCAAGCACCAGAATACAGTGTTACACACTGGAAGTCATTACCGTTAAGGAGATATCGTGAGGTAGAGGTCATACAGGATCAACACCAGAGTATGGATCTGCTAGTGCTGCCTCTACTGCTGCCTCTGCTGCTGCTGCCTCTGCTGCTGCTGCCTCTGCTGCTGCTGCTGCTGCTGTAGCCACCTCCTCAGCCATATGGCGATTTCAAGCGCCGCCGTCAATCTCGCGCTGTCAAAAGGTGGTCGGCCGCGATAGTTAAATACCTATAGAAGCCGTGACCTTGTGTAGTGTTGTTGTGTGAAGACAAGCCTGCCATTAGCTCACACTGTAATTGGGTGTGCAGTGATGGATTTGACGGTGTGTGCGCAGGAAGTTTACCCTGTGCACAGACCACTACGGTTCAAATAGAGATATGCTACGGTTCAAATAGGAGGACTCGAGGATAAAGGTAGGTAGCTATAAGCGATCAATTGTGAGTCCCAACTTGAATCAGCCAAGTACATACAGGACATGCAAGGGCTGGATTGCATGCATCATATATAGCCTGCTGATCATCGATGCATGTTGATATTTCCTTTCCAGCTGCTGGAGCGTATTCTGAACATTGGGAGCTCAGCGTCGAAGTTGCCAAGGTTGATGTTGCTGTTCTTCGTTTGCACCTGTTCTTTCATTGATGGTTCGATAAGATGTGTCATGTCATTCTGTTTGAGAACAACAATCTCCGTATAGCATTCATGGTGATCTCAAGATGACTCCCATCTGAATGGCCTTGCGCATGTATTCCCTAACATTCGGTACTACCCTTGTAGGTGGAAATGTCCAGAACTGCTTCTAGATCCTCTTTTAGTATCAGGGTGCTTCCAAAATACTGTACTGGGATATGGAGTTGGGACCTAGCGATCTCAGTATCCTACCTAGGCACTCTATGTGAGTACAGAAGTACTTCTTCTTTCTTCATGCAGCTACCTGCCTATTATTCAAGCATATATCTGGCGAATTAGCCGTTTAGGAGTTTATAGAAAGGCCAACTTGCTCGCCTCAGCCCCAGACGTGCGGAGAAACATGTCATGAGCAAGGATCATGCCTCTTGCAGGATCGAGCCCGCAACCCCGGATTTTCACCATGTGCTAAAGTGCCCGTTGGCATGATGATTTGACGGCCTTGATCTGCAGCTAGAGCCATTCTAACAAAGCTCAGGGATCGATAGACATGTAATGGAGTCTTCAATATCGAACCTATGCGCAGGTTTTGATCACGCGCAACTCGCTCGCAGATCCTTCCGCTGTACTGCCGATTAATTGAGGAACTGCGTCACCATCGGACCGAAAACATGGTCAATCTAGCCGAGATGGGGTCGGGATATGCCTGTTCCATGGACGGAAGCAACTCCGAAAGAAGAGAACACTATCTCGACACGATGGGCTACTCATGGACACATAAGAGCGGTCGACGTCCAAGCCTCAATCATGGCTTAGGACATGATCCGATAAGCCGTCATGGTACCTTCAAGGAGAATCCTCGTCACTCTTGCGCTGGTGGCAGCTCCCTGGCCTCCTCAAGTTCTGGCCTCGTCAACCGATTCATACGACTACATCATTGTCGGCGCCGGAACATGCGGACTTCTCTTGGCAAACCGCCTCTCGCAAGATGCCAACTATACCGTTGCCATTATTGACCCCGGCGCCGATGAGCGCGATAACCCAAATGTCGTGGATCCGCTTGGATGGCTGGGCTTGACTGGGACGTCGGTGTACTGGAACTACTCGAGTATTCCTCAAGAGAAGCTTGGTGGAAGGGTGCTTGAGTACGATGCAGGTAGAGGTATAGGGGGGACAAGCTTGATAAATGGTGTGTGAGTACCTAATCCTGCTCAAAGAAGCAAGAAATACTGATTCAATCGCCAGGAATGACCTACATCCGAGGCGACAAAGCTCAATTCGACGCCTGGGAGCAACTCGGAAACCCAGGCTGGAACTGGACCACCATGCTCAAACACTTCAAGAAGATTGAGCAGTTCTTCCCCCCTCTGCCGTGGCAAGAGACTGCCGGTGCTCTCTACGAGGACGAGTATCACGGGACCTCTGGCGAGATGCACGTCGGATTCAACCCGGCCCTCCTCAGCGGCTCATTCTACGGCGACGTGAAAGCGTCCTGGGCGGCTTTGGGACAAACCTTGAATAGAGATGCGAGCAGCGGAGACACAGCTGGGTTCGACGTTTGGCCTCAGACGCTGGATCCCGTCAAGAATGTACGGTGGGATGCTGCTACAGCGTTTTATTGGCCTGTGCAAGATAGACCAAACTTGGCACTGCTCAATGGCACGGTTTCTAGGATTCTGTGGAAGAATGACGAAGCCGACGTGCCTGAAGCCTCAGGGGTAGAGTACCTGACTCCAGACGGGAACATCAAGACGGTAAACGCCAGGAGAGAGGTCATCTTATCCGCAGGGGCACTACGTACGCCGCTGATTCTGGAACTATCTGGTATTGGCAATCCGAGCATCTTGAACGGCTTGGGCATCGAGACGGTTGTCAACTCTCCAGGAGTGGGCGAGAACTTGATCGACCAGTCCAACGTGGCCTTGACGTACTCGACGAAAGAGTCGTTCCCCGGCTATGCACCGTATGCCACGTTTGTCAATGCCACATCTCTCTTTGGCGACGGTGTCGAGGCTCTGGCTGCTTCAACCAAGAAGAGCCTTCCCATCTGGGCCCAGCAGATTGCCGCTCAAACGAATGGAGTTATAAGCGCCAGGGCCATTGAGCATCGACTCCAAGTCCAGCACGACCTCATCTTCAAAAAGGGCGTCACCATTGCCGAAATCCTTTCCAGCGCGAGCGGCACCACAGCCATCTCAGCATACTGGGACACTCTCCCGTTCAGCCGCGGGAGCGTCCACCTCAGCTCAGCCAACGACATCAACACTCCCGCAATCAACCCAAGATTCTTGTCCGTCGACTTTGATCTGGCCGTCCAAGTCGCCGTCGGCCGCCTCGCAACAAAGTTCTGGACCACGGCCCCCATATCCGCCGTCATCGAGGCCAGAGTCGATCCCAACTCCACGATCCTCCCGGACAACGCTACCGACGCTCAGTGGGAGGACTTTACGAGGAGCAGCTTGATATCGAACTCTCATTCCCTGGGGACGGCGGCGATGATGAAGCGCGAATGGGGCGGTGTGGTGGACTCGCAGATGAGGGTTTACGGCACGGGCAACGTGAGGGTGGTGGATGCCTCTGTGTTACCGATGCAGGTCAGCGGACATCTTACGGCGACGCTGTACGCGGTTGCGGAGAGGGCGGGGGAGATGATTGTTGGCGATCGCAGTGGTTTGTGAGATATTGCTGCCTGTGGCACGGAGACGTAACGTGGGCTATACTAACTGGTCTTTTGATTGTTTGTTGCTGGCTTCGAGTATCTATCTATCTGGACGCTATCTTATATTGTGACTCGAGGATTACTCAGATCGGACTCTAATGTTGATTGCTGAGAACTCGCTCGCACAGTGTATCGAGTATATCAGACTGGTATCTGGTCGATGGCGTCGTCAGCCCATCCCTTGCATCACGACAGGCGTATCCGCCCGCCACGAACACGAACAGTCTGCTCACTGATATACGAAGAAGAGGCGTATTCCCCCTTGCATCAGCCATGGCACAAGTCGCCCGGAACAAACCAGTCAAGCTTATTATCTGGAAAATACCCACCGCCCCCCCCCCCCCCCCCCCCTTTCTCCTCTTCCCCCCCAAAAGACGACATCATCCCCCAAGCGGGACACGGCAGAGCAACTCAGCAATGCGTGTAACGACGCGGCACAAACAAGCCACGCAGCGACAGCCCGCGAATCAAGACCTTTTGCAGCTGAGCCGCTTTGGACTCGTGTCGAGCAGATCGTCTCTCCGGTCTATGTGCTTTCCGAGTCTAGGTGCAAGAAGCTATAGTCTGACATGTCAGAGGTTAAAGGCCATTAGCCCGGATGTTCAAGCCCGTCATCACGTATAACATTTGGCGATAACATGTCTCGGATCAGGTTGCGGGGAAGAATGCCAAAGTATAATACTAGTAGTAGGTAGTAGTAGTATTTGTGAGATGAGACAATGGCGTACATGTATATAAAGCACGGCGTGATCCCCGTCTTTGGCCAGAGGGAGGGGAGGGCTGCTGAAGGGATACATACCTACATACATGTTGTAAAATACAATCTTCTGTTTCTTCTTCTTCTTCTTCTCCTCCGCCCTCCCCTTTGGCACACTCAGCTTTCCATAAGATGGGCTTCTTCAAACTGTCTACGCTTGCTTCGCCCCAGCAATGGCCCGCCAGTGCTCTGATACTGGTAGCCGCCACTCTCATCGTCCTCCTCATGCGGCTCCTGAGACGGCCTGATCTTCCATCGGGCGCGTCGTGGACGGAAAAAGGCCTGCCGCTCTTTGGCTCATTCAACTTCTTCACCAAGAGGGGCGATTTCCTGCGAGAAGGCTCAAGAAAGAGCCCAAACGGCCACTTTAACTTTTACTATGGATCGTATCCCATCATCGCCCTCTCTGGAGAGGCCGCTCGCGCTTCGTATTTCACCACTCGCGGCCTAGATCTGAGTGCTGGGTAAGGACCTCGTCTTCCCTGGTGGGACATTTCCCCCAGCCAGCATGTTGTATAGCTGAAAAAAACGCAAGCTGAAAACCGTGATGGATAGATTCAGGAAGCTCTTCTCTGCTGGGCCAGACATTGACGCCATGCTCGGCTGCAACATGAGCGCCTACTTCATCATCCTCTTCAAGCGCCTCACGGGAAAAGAGCACCTCGTCAGCTGCCTCCCCTACCTCATCAACGATGCCAAGGCATCCTTTTCCGCAATCGACACCGCCGCCCCCATGGACCCCTTTGTGGTCCTCTGGAACGTCCTGTACAAGATGACCCATCGCACCGTCGGCTGCCACGAAGTCGCAGACGATCCGGCCCTTCAGGAAAAGACGATGCGGTACTATGAGAAACTGGACAAGTCGTCTGCCATCCAGGTCATGTTCCCCTGGCTGCCCACCCCGACCAAACTGAACAAGCTCTGGGCGGGCGCCAAGCTGCACATGCTGTTTGGGGACATTATTCGGGAGAGGAGGAGGACGGGGCGGAAAGCGCAGGACACGATGCAGATTCTCATGGACAGGGGGGAGAGCGATTTGCTGTCATCGGCTGTGCGTCCAACCCATGAGACCTCGTCTTTATATTGGAAAAAGCTCTTCTTGTTATTTCCTGGTACACTTTTAATGAAGCTGACAAGTTTACTGGTTGAAACAGTTCATCATCGGCGCATTGTTCGCAGGCTTAATCAACACTGGCGTCCAATCCGCCTGGATCCTCTGTTACCTCGCCCACGACCCCGTCTGGTACGCAAAGGTCAGAGAAGAAGTCGACTCAGTCGTTGCCAAGTACCGGACTTCCAAAGAGCAAACGCCGGTCGACGTCCTCCGGGATCTTTCCCTCGAGGCCTGGGAGTCTGAGTTTCCGTGCATCGACTTGGGTGTTCGGGACAGCATCCGGCTGAATCTCATGGGAGCCTCGATTCGCCAGAACACGTCGGGGAAGGACATTACCATTGGTGATACGGGGGTTGTCGTGCCGAAAGATGCTTTTGCAGTGAGTTCATGGGTAAATTAAGGGGGATTGAGCCTTTTGGTGCTGATGGCGTCGAACAGGTCTACAGCGTGGCAGACGTACACATGGACGAGACCGCTTATAGAGATCCCCTGAAGTGGGATCCGGCGCGATATCTTCCAGACAGAGCAGAGGACAAGAAGCAACAGCACGGATACATCGGCTGGGGAACCGGTTTGCACCCGTGTTGTAAGCACGCCCATCACCCAAGCCTCTCGAAGCGCATGACAAGCTGACTGGATGGAAACAGTGGGCATGAGGATTGCCAAACTTGAACTCTTTGTCTCGACAGCTGTCTTCTTTGCCATGTTCGACTTCAAAGCGGTGGACAAGACCGGTAACCCGACGACTGAGCCGCTGCCTCGGTATGACGCAAACGCTCTCTCAGCCAAACGCATGGTTGATACAGTCTTTTTCAAGTGCGAGCGCAGATTCTAGAGAGTCTCCAGAGGGAAGAGAATTTGGATCGTGCTCTCTTGCACGGCAGGATAGTAGTAGTAGGGTTCAAGTCTGGCGTTTTTCAATTATGTGGACAATGACTATCTTGGACTATGGATTGCCTCATCATCGCGTCCCATTACTCATGTTTTGTCGTGGGTACCTTAGGTGGAAGACCTCTGTTGCTGTTCATATTCAATCTGTGCGGCGAGCGATGATGGTGTTTGAGCACCCGTGTTGTGAACTCTTTCCTATGAACAGAGTTAGCCATGTTTTCCTCGAGACGAGAAGGGCGTCTTCTTCTTCTCACCACTAGGACCTCCTTGTCTGCATCTTCCACGGGCGCCGCGTTCTGCTCGTTCGTCGGATCGGTGCTCGCCGTCGGGGAAAGGTTGCGTTGCTTCGCGAGTAGGCTCTGTGGCGGCTCTAGAATGGCCATGAGCATTGTTTTCCTGTCGCGAATGACGCAGATGAACTTGACTGACACCGGCGAATATACCTTCTGTCGTGCTCGTGACTGGGCCTGGGCACGATGGAACAGGATGCGATTGGGAGATGAGAGCGGCAACTTCGCGGGTTGTCATTGTTGGTGGATTGGGGTAGAAGATTTGCTTTTCGTAGGTGGACTTTTGGTGTGTAGGATGCTTGTTTTGTAGGGGAATCGTATGTACGGAGAGCTGATGATATGGAGAAGAAAGAAAAGAAAAGAACAGGAGGAGGAAGAAGAAGAGGAAGAAGAGGAAGAGAGAGAGAAAGGGGACAGAGATGTTCCGGGTCTTGGATTTGGCAGTTGACATGGCAGCTTGGGGAAGGTGCACGTTGTAATCGCACTGCAAAAGTCCCGTGATCTCGATAAGGCCAGCTTCGTCTTCCTTCACGTCCAAGGTACCTATTCATATTGTCTTCCTCTTCTTTGTTAGGTACCCAGGGTTAGAACCGGCTTCATCCGTCTGGTCTCAGCTACCACCCGATGCCGCGTACAGGAGCTGATTCAGGACCGGATGCGCGATATGACCCCAGTCTGTGCGAGTATCTATGGAACACAAATTCACTGCGCTCCTGGTACCGCATATTGGTATGAATGACGACGTACCAGAAGACGGAGCTGGGAAGGGATGGTTTCAGCGCATCAGGTTATGCGATCTGTGTACCCCTTTGCTCATCCACGAGCCACACCAACACTGAGCCCATCGACCACAATCATACAGGCGAGTTTCACCTCTGATCCTGGCCAACGTGGCATGCCCTGCCTACAAGAATTATAAGGAAGCCCTTAAGATGATTAGACAATATGGAAGTTAAGATGATGAGCTGTTAGCCAATCAATCCCTCCTTACGTCGAGATTGCCCAGCTGACAAGTCCATCCCAAAGGTCAAACTCCGGCCCAAGGCCAAGACAATCCAATGATCCATGGTTCCATGGATGCCCATCATCGTAGAGTAGGACGCAAACTTTTAGATGGAAAAAGCAACTACTGCATCTGCGGCCGGGATGAATCGATCTGTTCAACACCGCTATCTCAATTTCTTTCTTTTTCCTTTGTCCTCCCCGACCTCCATATTTCTGAGTCTCTGGATTGTATTCTCCCTTCCCCTCTTTCTTTGACGGTCCCTCGCAGAAGCTCCTTTCATTCTTTCATCGTCCTGTAGACCCCGAAAGAGAATACTCTAGCTCCTCTGCACCTTGGTAGCCAACGACAGCTCGTGCACGTTGACTGGCGGATAAGCAACCATGTCTAAGCAGAAAGACGAGAAAGCAAGCCCCACGATGCTTCTGGTGGAGGCCCAGCACGTCGAGGGGCTACTCTTCAAGACCTCTACGCCGCCTGTGATCAAGACAATGACCAGGAAGCAGGCAGAAGCCGTCATCCACCCCTTGTTGGAAAGGCTTCCTTCTGGCGGATGGCGCAACGACGAAGTTCACCAGACACTTGCATCAACGGTGACGAAGCAGATGGTCATGGTTCTGGCTCCGGGTTTAAGGGCGACGCTTCGAGAATGGGCGAAGAAGAGAGATCAGCCAACGATCTTGAGGTGGACCGAGGAATCAGCGTCGTTGAATATCCAGCAGATTGAGTGGACAGAGACACCAGCGGGGGAGGTTTTGGAAGACATGATGAAGCTGTCGGATGACCCCAAATTAGGCGAGACTGTCAATCGGCAGAAGCTCCAGAGCTTGATATGCCTCTTGAAGCTTCACTTGGCCCAGAAGGGACCACACCACCTGGAGTGGGTGACGGAAGATTCAGATGACGGCAATGCTGGCGCACGGAAAACCGCCCGGCAGCTATTCCAACAGGTCAAGGCAGAAGTCCGTCAGGAAGTCAAGGCTGGTGTGATGAAGCTTGTGATGAGTGGACCTGAGAGGAATCTAGCAGAGCCTCGACGTTGAAGAAGCGGGCTACGATGCTGTGTCGAGGGCAGTTGCAAGTTTTGGTGGATATCTTGGGGCTTGGGCAAGACACACGGCAAGGAGGCCTTGTCAGGAGTGATGGAACTGGTGCAGCTTGCCCTGAAGAAGACAATAAGCAAAGATGATGGTGGTATAACGGATTAGAGGTGTCAAGGTGGGGATTGTTGGAAAGTTGTGTTGATGGGCGTGAGATGGCTCTGAGTGATGGAGAGAATGAACCTGGTATCGTTGTGTTTCATCACTTGCTGATTCACTCTTGGATCGAGGCAACGCCCAACAAAGAGTCTTGTAACAATGTTGAAGCTTCGATAGATTCGGCAGCGCTGTGTAGATGTTAAGCGATAGGGACGTGGTCTAGATGGCCTCAATGTCAGCATGTCGGCACCTGGAAGCCATCGATATCATCTTTGGCGGACGCAGTGCCATACTCCCATTTTCCTGAAGCCTCTACATAAACAATGTTACCATTAAATACTTTCCATTTTGAAGGCTTTGGCGAAAGAAGCAGCGAGAGGCACCAGATACGTGTGGTTTACACCAGACAAGGCGCAAAGGTTCGGGATCCCATTCTTGCACCTTATCGAGGGGGGATGCTGACACAGTGCGTCTTTGCACCGTGACGTGACACAGCCCACGTGGTTCCTTGGCGACCAGGCTTGGCTCTATGAGAGTGTTCCGCAAGGGAGAAGAGGAAGATGAATATCGGTCTGTCAAGTAACATGTGTAGCCTTACGCAGATAGATGTGAAATAGTATATACACCTAAGAGGCGAAGAAACAGACCTAGAATCCAGGTAGCGGGCTGCGACTGCGCGCATATACAAGGCGAGTGTCTTGCTGCTGTTCTTGTGGCTTCGGCTCTGGCTGTCGAAGCCTGTTGATTCACGAGGAACTACAGCAGCTGGACATACCGAGAGACGGGATCAATCATGAGAAAGACACCAATCCTGGTTGCGGCCCTTGCTGGCTGCGGCGCTGCGGACGATGTCTTGTATAGCAGCCGCCTGCTCAAGCGGGCGATTGACGACCAAGGGCACTTCAACATGTGTAAGGCTCCCAAATCTCCTCACCCGCCTCTCATCCTCAAAAAGCTCACTCGCCACAGCCTTCTTCCACGTCAACGACATCCACGCCCACCTCGACCAGTTCGTCAAGGCGGGCACCGACTGCCTTGATCCCTCCAAGGGCTGCTTCGGCGGCTACGCTCGCATCAAGACCAAAGTCAGCGAGCTGCGATCCGCCCACCCGGACCATCTGTGGTTCAGCGCCGGCGACGAGTTCCAGGGCACGCTCTTCTACTCCTTCTACGGCGGGGAGAAGATTGCCGAGGCGATGAACGAGCTCCAATTTGACGCCATGACGCTGGGGAACCATGAGTGGGATGGCGGAGACGAGAAGCTGGGTGTCTTTTTGAAGAACCTGACGTTTCCCATCGTGTCGTGCAATGTGAAGAGCGGGTATCCCGATCTCAGGGACACGATCAAGAACTACCACGTCTTTGAGGAGTACGGGCTCGCCATCATCGGGGCTTCGACGCCGACGACGCCCACGATATCCCACGTTGGGCCGTTGACGACGTTTCTCGATCCCGCAGAGGAGGTTCAAAAGGCAATCTGGGAGATTCGCAACACGACAGACATCCGACGCATCGTGGCCCTGACGCACATTGGCTACGACGTCGACGAGCAGCTCGCCGCCCAGACGGAGGGCCTCTCCCTCATCATCGGCGGCCACAGCCACACTTTGCTGGGCGACATGGACGGCGCGCAGGGCAAGTATCCGACCATTGTGCGGGACCTGGCCGGCAACGAGGTGTTTATCGTGACGAGCTACCGCTGGGGAGAGTATCTAGGCGAGATCTCGCTCACATTTGACGACGACGGCAAGGCTCTTGCGTATCGCGGTGCGCCCATCCACATGGACAATACGACGGAGCTGGAGCCGCATCTCCAGGCAGAGGTTACGGCGTGGAGGAAACCCTTTGACGACTTTGCCAACGAAGTGATTGGTACGACGGAGAACACCCTTGATCAGACGGCCTGTCAGAGTGGCGACTGTCTGCTGGGCGAGGTCATGGCCGATGCTGCATTCGAGTATGCGTACAACCTCACTGCGGACGCTCCCGAGGACCACCAGAGGCCCGTCTTTGCGCTCATCAACGCGGGAGGTGTCCGGGCGACGATTGACGCGGGCAACATCACGCGCGGCCAAGTCATTACTTCGTTCCCCTTTGGCAACGCCGTGACGATGCTCAACTACTCTGGCGAAGACTTGCTCAAGATCCTCGAGGGGTGCGTCTCGCGCGTGAACCAGTTTACGAACCAGAAGCTGTCTTCGTGGGTCCAGGTGTCTCGTGATCTGCGCGTTCGATACAATCCCTCGAATCCGCCTGGGTATATGCTTGTAGACGCCAAGATCTCGGGACATGGCATTGATCCTGAGAAGCAGTATGTCATTGTTACGGTGGATTTCGTTGCGGGAGGAGGCGATAACATTTTACCAAAGAGGGATGATTTCGTCGTGCTGGATACACTGGACGAGGTGCTCGTCGAGTATATCCAGGCCAAAACGCCGTTGAAGAATGCGTTGGAGAAGAGGGTTGTCAAGGTTGGCAAGTGCACCAACAAGATGCAAAAGGTGTTTTCAGCTTGATTCCTCTGTGAGTCGTTTTGCATGAAACAGCGGCAGATAGACTCCTTTGATACTGATAGCTTTTGTATCCTTTCCTCCAAATAGATGCCTTGAGACCGTCATGCATACTTTCATCTTCTCAAACCGACATGTCAAACATAGTCTCCTCCGCCCCTGCGTACGCATACCTCGCCGGATTCTTCTTATCCCTCTCCCTCGCCGGCGGCCGGATCCCCCTCGGCGCAAGACCACTCACACGCTCCCCCTCACGCACATTCACATCCCCCTGCACACCCATCAAAGCCCTCTGCGCCGCCGTCGGAGGCCTCGACACCCTCCTCTCATCAAACGTCTCCCTATGCCGCCGCAAACGCCCATCCCCCCTCAAGCCGTCTCGATTCAGGAACCTGTTGGGAATGACCAGCGAGCTGTTTCTCCTCGCAGGCCGGATCCCGTCGTCGTCGTTTTCTCCCCGGCTGAAAGACCGTTCAAAGGTGCGGTATACTTCATCGGGAGAATCTTCCCTCGCAGCATTGTGGCGTTCGACGAGGATGCTCACGACGGTGTAGATGAGGCAGGCAAAGATGCCAATGGTGACGAGCAGGGCGAGGAAGAAGAGGCCTGGCCAGAGGTAGTCTGGAAGCACTGTGCTTCTCCTATTGCCAGTCATGTCTTGTTTTTTTTTCTCGTCTTGTGATGGCTTGTGAGTGAGGCACAGGACATGACTGGGCGGAAAACGAGTGCCTTTATGGACGAATAGAGATCAAAATATCGCATTCGATGTGACTAGGTGATGGTCATGTATCACCATCACTGTTGCAAGCATGTGTGGGCAAGATTGTACTTGTATCATAGGAGACGCAAGTTTGTCCCTCCGTCACATACACCCAATATTCCTCCAACTCACTCCCTCCCTCCCCCCCAAAACCCAAACTAATACGTGTATCGGAAATCCGGACTGGCATCATCCTGTGTATCCTCAAAAAGAAAACAAACGTCAGCGAAAAAAACCGCCCCCCTCATCCCCATCCAATCTCATGTGGAAAACAAGCTGAATCGCATCAGGAGCACTTACATCGTGAGCCTCGAGCAAAACGCCCTCCCTATCCGCCCTCCTATTCGCCCTCCACAGCCCAAAATCACACACGGCGGCCAAGACAATGTTGAGCGCCGCGCACGCAATCACCGCATACAAGCCGGGCTTATACCCATCCGCGGCGTCCTCCTCGCGGAACACCAGGCTGCCCGCGATGCCCCCCAGCCCGCCGAAGCCGACGAGCGCCGCGCTGCCAAACGCCCGCTTCCACTGCCCGCGCACGTTGTTGGCCTGCATGGCCATGACGGCCGGCACGTTGCTGCTCGCTCCCGCGATGACGAGGAAGACGCCCAGGTAGCGCACGCCGGCGGTCGGCGCCCAGCCCATGACGGGGATCCCGACGAGGCACAGCGCCGAGTTGACCATGACGACCGGCCCGCGCAGGCGGAACCTGTCGCCGACGCAGGCGCCGCAGAACATGAAGACGCAGGCGAAGGCGTACGGCGGCGCGACGAGGCACTGCGCTTCGGCAATGGAAAAGCCGAGGCTGCGCTGCAGGATCAGGGGCAGGGTGTATGCCAGCGAGTACGTGATGGTGGCGCTGTTGAAGAGGATCATGCCGTTGATCCAGATCTTCCAGTCTTTGCCCGCGCTGAGGAACTTGCCGAGATGGAACGGAGGGACCTTTCCGTCGCCGCGGTCGTGCTGGATGCGGTGGACGACCCAGCCGAGCTCCTTTGGGGTGAGGAAGCTCCATGTCTGGCGCTTGGAGTCGGGGAAGTCGACGAGGAGCCAGTAGCTGGCGATGGCGATGGCGCAGGTTACGGTGCCTTCGATGATGAAGATCCAGCGCCAGCCGGAGCGGCCTTGCTGGCCATTCAGTTGCATGAGCTGTGGGTAGAAGTTTGCGATGTTATGAATTACATATTTCGAAGGCAAGGGGGAGGGGGGGGATATGACGACTTACACCGTAGGCGAGGATGCCCGAAAACCCCGACGCCATGCAACTCAGAAGATAGAACACAGAGTATCTCTTCCCAACTTCATCTACATCAACCCCAATCAGCAATCTCGCCCTCTCACATCAGAAAAGAAACACACTACTTACATCGAGTGTACCATGTACTCAGCAAATACGTACACGCAGGAAACAATCCCGCCTCCATAACCCCCAAGACCATCCGCAGCGCCACCAGCTGCGAAAAGCTCTCAACAAAGCCCATGCCAACCATGACGGCGCCCCAAAACAGCGTAATCAGGGCGAGATGCACCCGGGGCCCAATCTTGCGGATGAGGATCGTGGAGGGGGCTTGGAAGATTGTATACGTCGTGAAGAAGACGAGGTTGGCAATGTTCTAGAGGGAAGAAGTGAGCTTCTCTTCTATAGCAAATAGTCGGGGAGCGGAAATGGAAAGATGGACTTGCATATCGGTTCTTGACCAGATCGAGCTCTTTGCTCATACCGGCAATGTTGGCGGCGGACATGTTCGTCCTATCGACCAAGCACACGCAGTACAGCAGTCCCACCGTCACCACTAAGCGGACGTCGATGCGGCGGATGATTCGCCGCTGCTGTTCGGGCGTGAAGCCAAAGTCATCTTCCTGAAGCGTCGCTGCGCCTTGGTCGTTGCTCTCAGAGCCGTTGACCGGGTCAACTTGCTCACGCTTCTCGGCTTCAGCCATTGTGAAACTCTCTTCGTTGATTCAAGAATGAAGATACATAAAGGCATAAAGCTCATGGCACAAGGTCTGTAAGGCGGGAATGAATATTCTTATAGGCTATAGGAAGAGGGAAAAAGAGTCAAGGGCGCACGTATTACTCAGTGTTAGACACAAGGAGACAAGACTCACGATATAGATCAATCTGTGTATACTAATTTCCTTCTCATGGTGAAGGTGCTACTCGGATATGAGTAAGTTGGCAACCTCGCCGAGCCTCACTCAGACGAGTCGAGGTATATCGTCAAAGCTTTTGAACCCCGAGACACATTGTCTCAGTCTCAGTCTCACCAGAGACGCCTTGAGCACCGATATGTCGGTTCCAGCCTGCTTGCCATCTTTTTTTTCCCCATGGCAAATTAGAGGCAATCTCACCAAGTCTCACTCAGGTGGCCTAGTCGCATCGAGGCTCTTGATTCTACACAGACAATGTCTCAGATTCGGCACCCGCCGAGAGCCTGGATCCAAAGTGCCAAGCCTGCCTGCTGTTCTCTCCCAATTTGCGCATTCATGTACACAGACTTGAATCGGGAAGCGCCTCTCCCTTGGGGCACGGTGCTACTCTAAAGAAGTACGCCGTTCTCGCGCATAAGTGATCATTGTTGGGAAAGCGATTACGGACAGTCATTGTAACGATGTTTGGAATTTATAGTAACATCAAGGCTTGGTATCTATACGAAGCGCCAAATATCCGATATTTACTGATATATGCTATCTTGAAGATACCTCAGGTGCATGTGTGTAAAACCACATGCCAGCAGCATTGCATGAGAAGCTTGACACACCTGACTTTTGAGAACAAGAATGCTTTGAGCGTAAAACATCCATCATAGGCCTAAGAAAATGATGTAACATACAGCTTGAAGTTACTCTGACTGACTTCATGAGGTGCCTACTCTGGCAGCACGCATACGATATATGCGCCCCAGACTCTCAAATGCCACCCGACCTTATTGCAACACCATGTCCCTACGCCCCTCCTTGTCCATCGAAAGGCACGAGGGTTTGCTCTGCCAACTACAGCCGTCTATTATCCATCATTGCGCGACTTGGACCCTTCACAGCATTTTTAACTCCCACCAAGGCCTGGGTCGATGAGCCAATAACAAAACACTACGAGAAGCCCCCATTGCGCCCCAAAGTCTCTTCACAGCATTCTTAAGCCTTGGCTATTCTCTTCACCACCTCTTGGGAAACGCCAGTTGAATACTCCCCCATTCGACTCCAATAAGGTAGGTTACCTTGCTCAGCCCCCCCGTTCCGATCTCGTGTATCCAGAGTTTTATAACCTACGTACCTACAGCCTAGACAAATTCCTTCTCGTCCAAGCATGGACCTTGCGCTTTACTTGAAGCGAAGGCAAGCGAAGGCAAGCGTTAGTGTCCAATTCACTCCCCCCAAGAGAATTCCGTACAAACCGCTCACGGAGGAGAAGTGGCTCGTCTCTCTAGGGGCGGATTGCAATTCTATATGCTTCATACCTTAGTTTTGATTCAGCCATCCATCCGTCTTAACCAGGCCTCTCATCACCTAAACCTCTTTCATCAGTCTTTTGCCGTCCACCTCATCGTGGGCTTCGTATCCGCGCGCTCGTCACCCGAAATGAGACCATATGCAGAATCCGTCAAGTACGTCTCATTGCAATATTGATGCCACTAACAAAATGCAACCAATCTCAAGTCCTGTCAAATCCGATGATACTGCGCGGTACCTCGACATCCAAGAAAAACAAAGGAAAAGAAAAACCCCTTGTCAAACTCCACACCAGCTGAATGTCATTACCATGTGTGCTATTCGCCGCCTTGATGACCCTCCTTATCAACTGCCAAATACCCAGAAAGCAAGAGAGAGGGAAACAGAAAAAAAAAAAAGAGACCAAAGGATATCCCTTCGCCAAACCAAGGCATGCCATGAAAATGCCGACGAACTCTGCTGCAGCCATGCGAACAACAACCCCATCGAACGGGGGTGTGCAACACTGTGATGCTGAAGGAACAATCTTCTGATGCTTTCGACAGGTGCAGCACCTTCCCTGACAGCCCAACGCTTCACATCAGAAGACCGAACCTGTTGGCGACCACACCACCAAACTTCTGCACATTGCGCCAGACAAGGCCCGTGATGCCGACAATGGTGAAGACCTGCAGAACCTCGAGAGGGGACTTCGTCCTGACTTTGGTTTCGATGAAATCCACCTTGGATCCCGCCATGGCAGGGAAGCGTCCAGTCGTCAGGTACTGCTCCATCAGAGCATCCTTCTTGTACCACTCTTCGCGCAGCCAGACATCAAACTTGCCGGCATCGTCGAGTGGGATATCGGATAATTTGAATTTCCGCCAGTAAAAGTTGACTGACTTGGGCGATCGGCCCTGGAAGTAGGTGCTAGAGAGGGTAAAGATGTTTTCGCCATATTTGCCTCGCCTATGACACCAGTCAGCCGTTGCTCATTCGAATTCTCTTGATTTTTGATCCAATGAATGCACTTACTCAACTCCCTCATACGCCACTGTACAGTCGTAAACATAGTCGACCGTTCCCTTGAGCTCGTTGAGACAAAAGAAACTGCCGGTGCTGCGGGGCAGCAGCACATGCTCGGGATCCTTCCACCCGTTCTTCTCCGCCCAAGCAGCAGATTTCCGACGACCATTCCCAGAGATATTGGTGCCTTCGGGAAAGAGGAGAAGCCACATGGGCACGCGATACTGCTTCCCGCTGGGATCCGTCTTGGTCTGCTTGAGCTTGCCCAGTCGGTAGGCCATTCGAGGCTGATCTGTCGCCATCTTTCGTGACATGAAAATGAACCCATAGAACTTCATGCCCCAGCCGATGATGGGGATATACTGCAGCGACTGCTTCAATATGATGTAGATGTGGCCATGCGCCGCAGGCTTGTTGACATAGCCAACCCACCACAGATATAACCAGTCGGTATAGATCTATCGTGAGTGTCAGCAGTCTCCAAACAGTCTCCTCAAACCGAATGAGCCCTCCATTGCGAGAGCACTCGAAATCTCACATACCTGATGGTTCGCTATCATGACCAAGCGCTCGGGAAAACTAAACTGCACTCCACCGTCCTCAGTAGGACGAATCTCTCCCGCTACAGACTCATCGCCGCTGATGCGAATCGTCGTCGGACCCCAGACCTGCGTCACGAAGGTTGTCGTCACGGCAAACCATCGCTTGGTCATTGACATGTAGTCATAGTAGAGGTCCCGGTTCACAAAGTACAACCAGCTGCCAAGGACTTGCGAAATGACGATACTGGCTACGCATTAGCACTGGTTCCAACGAAGCACAGCTCAAGCGCATCGCACGTACGTTACGCAGCAGGTGAAGAAGTAGACTCCCAGGGCCAGCCCTCGGAGTACCTGGACTGCTCGGCCATGCGCTCGCTTGCCCGATGGATGGGCATCGGCCGGGTACGCAGAGCCCTTTGCGGACGTCTGCTTGAGCCCCATGGCCACCCCGAGAGTAGGAAGGTTGATGTCGGACCCCTCGGCAATCTTGTCGACTGCCATAAGCGCCTCGATGATTCGGTGTCAGTTATGTTTTGGGTAGGAAGGTATATAAAGGTAAGAATGTTGAGCACGGAGCCTCGACTGATGGGCAATGAGGCTGAATCCCAGCAGGCAGATGGAGCAACTGCTGGAGGGCGGCGGTGATGTGGCTTGTTGATGGTGAGTTGTAGACCCGCGGCAGCGATTGGACGATGTCGGAGATGCTTGGTAGGTAGCTCAGCCCGCCAGGCAACACCTTGCCTGATATGAGAAGGGCACCCAGATGCTAAATGCCGGAGCTCGACAGCTTGCCTTGCCTTGCGGAGTTGAGCAGCTGAGTCGCGTCCCGTGGCCGCCGGGCGCCAGCCAAGGTGAGCCAACAGCCGCCGAAGACGGCAATTCCTCGTCCCAACGGTTTGGTCGCGCGCCACGAGTGCTTGTGCCAGCTTGTCCGCTTGTCCGGCTCGAGGTCAGACAGTGCATGTAGTCTCTGTACCGACTTTGCAAGGTCAAGGTCAAGGTCAAGGGAGGGTTGGGCGAGCTCTCGAAGCGCAGCACATGATGACGCAGGTGTCGCGGCTGCTTATTCGCTCCCTGCTTCTGCCTAGCCCGACAGCTGTCTGTCCTGCCGTCAGCGCCATTGGCCCATCCAATTCAGCCCTGAGACTTGGCCCCAAGGTGCACCGTTCCGGGGAGGCTTAGCGGGAGCCTCGGGCTTTTCCAGCCCCCCGTCAGGCGCTGTGCTTGTCACCTCTTACAGCGTGCAGCGCTGCGTTCCATTCGTGGCAGAATAAAGTGGCTACAGAAATGGCATCTTCGGAAGACGGATTTCGGAAAACGGATAATACATAATGGAGGTTGGCCGTCTCCATCCTCACCTTACATAATCTGGGCGGTGACTCAATGCAGCACAAGGTCGGGCAAATGGACTGTGATGAACAGTCATTCGGATGCATGCAGATGACCCTGAGCTCCCCAACAAAGGCACATCTGCTGCTTCTCACTCTTGTGCGAATTACGCGCCCATGCGCCCATGCCTTGCCCCTTCGACCCCAGCTGTGAGACCTGCTGAGAGGGACATGATCACATGCTAGCAATATCCCCAGCTTCGTATCCCTTGATGCAATGCGACAATGCAACCCCTCCTGCCAGAAGCAGTAGGCGGTGACGGCCTGCTCGGGAGCTTTCATGCTGTGGGGGCCGACAAGTCAAGTGTCTTAGCGACCAAGATGCATCAGTGCTCGGGTGCTTTGACTTCGATCAGGGCCGGCAGTAGACACCTGAGGTATTGCAGATGAAGCTTTGTTACCTAGCCGGTATACACAAGCTCATGAAAGGCAAGACGAGTTGATGTGACGTATAAATGAGCTTCACAGATGTGTAGTACCTGGATAGGTGTTCCGCTGTGAGCTGTGAATTTATAAAGTCAGCTCAGCGAACTACAGTGCATCATTCGGCTCGATTTCAGATTATAGGCGCAGCCGAATATGTAGTCTTACACACAAAATTGTTCAGCATTTCAAGAAGGACCTTGAGATCGAATAGAAACATCAATAACAGACATATAGAGCTAGGTAAGGTGTGACATGTGCAGTGTCGTCTTTAACGGATAGTCGAGTAATTTGCGCTATGGCAATATGCCACCTTCTTTATGTAAATAAGAGTCGGGCTTCTTCTACAACGGAGCCCTGGATTGTCCGGACGCTAAGAATTTCACCTACCTCACAGGAGCTCCATCATCATGACCTGCTGCCTCGACTTGCACGCTGCTCCAAAAGAGCCGAGCTCACGACCTTGATACCACAAGCGTGACGTATCTTGCTGCTGCAATCATGATAAATCCCGCTTGACTCCAGCCATGTCTACCTACTTTCGAGCATCTCGAGGACCATGGCGCCGCATTGCTCAAGCTCGGCCTCTGCCGGCCATGGCCTCTGCCTCTAGCCGGCGAACCCTGTCCACGACTCATCCGCTCAGACTCGCTCAATCGCGCAGTGTCGCCGAGCTGCCGGAACGAATCATCCCACGCTATCTCCAAGTCTCAAAGCCAGGCTCGTCCCTGCTGTCGCTCAACTGGCCGCGGCCGCCGCGCAACCTGCTGCTGGTGCAGAAGCTCTACTCTCCCGAGGTGACCGAGTCCGTCGTCCAGTTCGCCAGACACCTCCGCAGCGACTATCCCGACGTCAACATCGTTATTGAAGCCCGCGTCGCCGTCCCGATCCAGCAAGCGCTCGACTTCCCCATCTTCGTCGTCGACAACGGCACCAACATTGCCGACAAGATTGATGCTATTGCGACGTTTGGCGGCGACGGCACCGTCTTGCGCGCCGCCAGCCTGTTCAAGCTGCATGGCTCCGTCCCTCCCATTCTGTCGTTTAGCATGGGAACCCTCGGTTTCCTAGGCGAGTGGAACTTTTCAGAGCACAAGAAGGCTTGGAGGGAAATGTACATGAGCGGGAGCGACGTCAGTGCGGCGCGCAACGCTGCCGTGCCGCGGGGGCGAGACGAGAATGTGGACGGGAGCAGGGCTGCGGGTGAGGGCTGGGAGCGAGTCAAGGGCAAGAGCATGGGCATCAACAGGGCGTCGCGAGTCCTGCTGCGGCATCGGATCAAGGCGGACATCCTGGACAGGGCCGGCAACAACATCAACCACCAGGTCTCCAACACCTTGGCCAGCCAGCCAAAGTCGGGCATTGCCAGTCCAAAGGAGATCTCGCCCCCTCTGCGTGCCATCAACGAGATTTCAGTCCACCGTGGCTCGCACCCGCACTTGGCCATCATCGACATCTACCAAAACGGCCACTTCCTCACGGAGACGACGGCTGACGGCATTCTCATCAGCACACCCACCGGCTCAACGGCTTACAGCCTCAGCGCAGGAGGGCCCATTGTGCATCCTCTGGTGAAGTCGCTTCTCATCACACCCATCAGCCCTTGCAGCCTCAGTTTCCGGTCTCTTGTGCTGCCACTGGATACAAAGGTGACGCTCCGGATGAGCCCCAAGAACAGGGGCCGCGAACTGGACCTCAGCATCGACGGCAAACGGTGTGCCGGCGTCCTGCCCGGGTCAGAGATCCACGTCGAAGGCGAGTTTGTCGGGCGAGCGGGGCCCGGCGAGGAGTGGCATGGCGGCGTGCCGTGCGTGATTCGCACAGAGGACGACGATCCGTGGGTGGGCGGACTCAATGGACTTCTTAAGTTTAATCACCCCTTTGGCAGAGAGCCTCCGAACGAGGAGTTTTCTGACTAGTATAGGCCCAGGGCCTCTGTATGACTATCTTGGATAATGTTCAGGCTACGAATGATACCCTATTGCTGCTCATTTGAGCTGAAGCGAATTATGTCGAAACACTTTTGCAGGACATGTAAATAGGCAACAAATGCCATGAACAATCATCACAGACTGTTTGATATCCACCTCTCCTTGCCGTCAGGAACGTGAGACATCCAATGATGAAGGGGACTTCAAGTAAGTGACTCGGTAACACTCTTCAAAGGCGATGTTAATTCGTGCTCTGCTCTAATTCGCAATCACAATCATCTATAAAAGTTCATATAAAGTCAACCTCACATTCCATAAACCATTCCATGACAACTCCCGTCCGCCCTTCAGTAATACTTGCTAATAGCATTCAAATAAGCCTGCCCCGACTCCGAGAGACTCCCATCCCCCCTGACAGGCGGCCACGCAGTCCCCAGCCCCAAGCCGTCCGTATACGCATACGCAAGCACATGCTCATTCGCCTCGAACAAATCCACCACATCGCCAATCCACTGATCAATCTGCCCCTGATCCGAGCAAGGCGTGAAACCATCCTGGTCAAACACGCACGCAAACTCCGTCACCCACAACGGCTTCCGGTACGTGTTCCAGTAATAATCGATATCCGCCTGCACGCCCGCCACGTCCGGCTTGAAGATGTGCACTGCCGTAAAGTCCCAGCTCCGCGCCAGCGCCTGCTGACTGAACTGCTTGAGCCAGGACTCGTCCTTTTGGCGACACATGGCCGGGCTGCCGAGCACGGCGCCCTTGTCGCCCATCGGCGCAATGAGGCCGTTCCAGAGGTCGACGCCCCGCGGGACGTCAATGTCGGCCGAGACGTCCTCGCCGGAGCAGTCGGGCTCGTTGAAGCCCATGACGTACGCGGGCGTGGCGGTGAGCTGCTCAAACTGCTCGAGGCGCTGGGCGTCGTGCGGGCCGTTGCCGCCGCCGCCCCAGAGCATCGACACGGGGACGAGGCCGGCGCCTTGGGGGCTCGAAGGCGAGGGCGTCCAGTCGTGCCACCAGCCGAGGTGGTCTCTCCAGAAGGCGAGGGCGGTGTCGCCTGCTGCGCCGGCTTTGCGGCCGTTGGGCGTAAGGGGGTGCTGCTGCTGCTGGGCTGCGGCGGAGGAGATGCCTAGGAGGAGGCAGTAGGTTGGCAGATGCATTGTGGACTGTTGTCAGTTGTGGCGAGGAATGTGCTGAGTTGATATTGTCTGGGCAGGGGAAGGTAAGAGTTGCGAAGATATGAAGGACATACCTACTTATACCTGGTCCATTTAGTTCCTTTCAACTGCCGGACCTTGCGGCAGTAAGCTGAGTCGAGTTACGAGATGCAGGCAATGCAGACGTAGGCAGCCATTGCTGTATTCGGCAGTTGTTTAACAGAGACAAGGATTTAGGAAGACGAATCAGCCCGCAACTCGAGGATTGGAGGCGCACCTGCATGTACTTGAACAGACAAGAGTGAAGGATTAACCGTATTCGAGAAAAAACGCCCGTTATGACAATCATTGAGTTGGTGAGTATTCCTAGGAAGAGACTTTTGCTTCAACACACTTTGAACCAGAAGCCGAGGAGAACATGAAGAATTCAAAAGCCCTCGATTGTGAGTCATCCGTTCACACCGATGATTAATAGACGGCCGTATTGTAAACAAAAATTGTAGACAACGATTGAAGTGGAGGGCCATCTCTTTGTCTACATTTCGATACTATCAGGCAATCGTCGATCGCCTCAAGGCTCAGGGGCTGTCAGCACGGGTTCTATTTTCTTAGCGCCACCATAAAGAGAAGCTTGTTTCTTGAGATCGGCATTCGGTCCGAATGAATTGCTTTGCCTTTTTGTCTTGAAAGACTATTCCACCATGAAAACAAACAGGATGAGTTGCCAGCACAGTTATATCCTGCTTGTAGCCTATCTGAGGCAAGTTTCAACGGGTGCAGCTCTGTGAATATCAAGGTCAATCAATGTATGCGAATACAAAGCTCAAGAGGACCAAATCTCTGTGGAAGAGCTTCTGGAATGTTTCCTTTTCGTTGACTTCTCTCTTCCTCTTCTAGTAAAGCAGGACATGACAGCTGAGCTACGAGGAGCCAGTCTGCTGGTTTCAAGCCCAAAGATGTTGTCGTTGAGTCTGGATGTATGGTGACCTCAAGCAGCTAAAAAATTATTGGCTTTCTGAACCTTGCATTCAAAGATCTACGCTATCTGCTGCTGATAACTCGACCCTTTGCCTCAATATTGCACTATGACTGTCTTGAAATACCTCATCACACCGTTCTGTTCCATGCTCTCGGCCTGGTCTCTGTACGTTCTTCTACCTAATACATGCGTGGACTTATATGCAACCTCCGTTTGTTGCTTCGAACCACCTTTCAGTTCTCGGTGTCTCAGCAGCTGGTCACCTATTGCTTGCTTCGTGATTCAGGGGGGGTCAATGGAAGCGCATTGCAAACGCGCATGCCTGATCAAATGATTCAAAGTGTACGATTCGACTTCCATACAGCATATGGGTCATGTATGTGTGCCTCTCACAATGACTTCCTGCTCACAATATATCGAGTCGACAAAGATATAAAACCCCTTCTTCTCTTCTTGTTCTCGCATCCACAAAGCAAGCTATTGCAAGCATTGCCCAGATAGCCAAATCCCAGCTCCCCTCTTCAACTCCAACATGACGAACACAAACAACATGAACGACACAGGCCAATCCCACCCAACCACCACCGAAACTCCTTCCACCACCTCGTCCATCACCTCCCCCCCTCCCTCATACCACTCCCAAAGCCCTAACATCAACCCTCTCGAACCCACCCTCACCGACATCCACACAACCGGCACCATCGTCCTCCCCTACGACAACACCACCACCTACCAGCCTGCCCCTAAACCCAACATCATGAAGGAGTCGATAGACGCATGCATAGAATTCTGCTGCGTCCCCAGAGTATCTCCATGGGACTGGTCAAGCGACTACTCCACCACAACATATCCGTCTTCGCTATCTTCGCATACCGCTGATTCGTACCGCAGGACGGAGAGTATGCGCTCTCGAGACACGGTGAGCGATGCCGAGTCCGAATCACAGGTAGAGCATGCGAAGAAGAAGAAGAAGGATGTTGGATATGCAAAGCAAGAAGGGATGTGTGCGACAAGCCATGATAGCGCTGGATCTTCTTCGCAGCAATGTTGCAGACGATGTTGACGGTTGGTTCGATATCTCGTAGCAGCGGAAAGGAGCCCAGAAAAGATTAGAAAGAAAGACGATATATTCGGTAGCGCATCGTACGTGTGTAGCATATAGCCGTCAAAGTCTATCAATTGTCGCGTTTCCGATTTCCTCCCGTTTTGCGCCGTGTAAAGTGTATCCCATTGTACCAGAAATGCTAAGCAAAACAGAAAAAAACCTTTTGAATCTGGATTCAATTAGCTTGCCATCCTTCCTTGGGTGTACTCCGTATGCCCTGTCAACTTTACCTTGATGTTCCCGAAATCACTGAATCTCCATCTCCTGCTCCTCCTGCACCTTCTGCTCATCAACAACAGGGGCATCTATAATCCTCAGGTCAGCAAAAAAAAGTCCCCAACAAACCCTCCATCCCCTCATCATCCTCATCTCCAGTTTCCCTAAGCATCCCCGAGCAGCAACCCCATATCCTCAAGACTCTAACGGAGACAACAAAAACGTACCCTTCATAACCGCCTCCCCCTCCGCCTCCATCCTCCTCTTCAGCTCATACCCCATCTTCTTCTCCAGCTTCCGCGCCTTCTTCTTGCTAATCGCCTTCCGCGGCCCGCTCGTCGGCAGCAGTCCGGGCCTTGCGCCCCGCGTCCGATCCGCCTTGGCCACCTTGTCCTGGTTCGCCGGGTTGCAGCGCTTCAGGTTCGCCTTGCGAGCTTTGGCGGCGCGCGCGGCCTGTCTGTTCTTGGAGATGCGGTTGGGGTTCTTGACGTTGGCCATTGTTGACTTTTTTTTCTTCTCTTTTTTCCTCCCTTGGTAATGGATGTTGTAGGTATTGGGAGAGGGGTGGATTGGCGAGCTTGGTGAGAATTGATGATTGTCAATTGGAGGTGTTTTGGTGGTGATAGCAGATAAGAGGAAAAAAAAAAAGTTGGCCCCGCTGAACGTTGAAAAGAGTGCCGTATCGGCAGCTACTAGTACATGTATTACTGCACAGCTGCTAAGCTGTTTCTGGCTGGAGCTTTAGACGCAGGTACTGTACAGAGTTGAATGCATTTACACCACATGAGCATGCACTGCAACTTCGGGATTGGCAGTAGGTAGATAGCTTATTCAATGTTTATTTGCTTGATTGATCTTTCTATAGGCATGGTTCATGTCAGAATCACTCGTCATCTTGCTTCCCGGTATCGTATACAGACATTATGCGTAGACAAATTCCAAAACGCGCTCAACATACAGACAGCTTCCCAGTAGCATGCTTTCCTTCTTGATAACAAATGCCACATCTTTTTCCTTTTCCAGTATATCATATTTGGGCTGCGGCAGGTCGCTTAGGAGCAGCTCCCTCGCCTGCCAGCATCCCTTGCCTCTCATCGTCCTCGTCATCCGTCGACATGCCTTCGAGCTCAAACTCCTCTGCTGCGCGGATATGGCCATCCTCAACAGCACGTCCGTTCAGGTGTGTATGGCCGTTGGCGAATCCCTTCGTGTCCAGAGGGGGGTTTGACAGGCGATCGTACAGGTGGATGAGCATGTTGGCGAACAAAAAGACCAGGAAGGCGAGGGAGTATAGAATGAGGATGTACGAGATGACGTCCATGCTGGAGCTGTCGATGAGGGCCATTTGCTGTTCGGTTGCACCCATGAAGAGAAAGCCGGCGGCATACAGGAGCTAGCATGTGTTAGATGCGCTGCAGCTTGGGGAGAAAAAAAGTCACATTTCATGCCAGACAGCGTTGTCTGAAGGGGTGAGCATTCGCAGAGTAGCAGAACTTACGAAGACAGGAATGTACTGGAAGCTGTTCCAGGATCGGCCGTCGTCGGACAGCGATTGAGCATCCTTGAGGATAAAGGCAATCTCAATGATGCGCGTAGCGCCGGCAGCCATCAGAGTGTAGCCAAACATGGTGTGCGTCATGGCGCTGACCATGAGCTCCTGGGGGTGCGCAGACATGCCCCAGCCCGTAATGAGGATGACGAATCCCGGGATGAAGTTGCGCTTCGGGTTGCCGTCGCGATCTCGGCTAAGCCAGATGCCCGCCAATCCCGCGCACCACCAGATGACGCCCATGGTGGTGTGCTGCCAATCGTTCTTGACCCAGTCGGTGCCCCAGCGATGCTCCGTGAAGGTGTTGATGCAGCCCCAGATGGCGATAACGGCGCTGTCGTAGAACTCTTGCGATCTGCCCGTGCGGCGAATCCAGACCTGTCCGGCGAGGAGAATAATGGTCAGGATGATGCCGTAGGCGATGAAGGCACCACCCATGATGAAGTGGGCTGCGCATTGGCCAACGTGGTCGCCCTGGCAGAAGCCAAGGGTGGTGATGCCTCCAAAGATCATCTGCACCCATGCGAGAAGAGGCATCGCCTTGCCAATCACGGAGTGGAAGGGTCGAACAAATCTGCGAATCATGCCGAGGGCGCCCTTCTCCCAGTGGAGCTTCAAGTATAGGCCCAACACGACCTGGCCGACGAGCAGGAACTGCAGAATGTTGGCGAAGAGGGCGTGCACATTGTTGCCGACAAACTCGCGCCCTTTGTGCGCATGGCCGAGGAAGAAGCCGACAACGGCGAGGATGGAGCCTAGGATCTGCGTCGGGACGTGCCATCGCGACTTTGTAATCTGCAAGTCGCATCAAGTCAGTCGCTGCCCTGCTTGGATGGGCTAAAGAAGAGCCGCCTTACACCAAAGACCATGCCCACAGGAAAGATGACGCCGTATGCGAGCATCTGGATGAAGATGTGGATCCAGAGAATCGAGTCCTGCGATTCGTGTTAGTTGCTTTCGCTATTCCTTTCGTCTCTCTCTTCAAACAGAGAGCGGCTCACAATGGGTTCCAATGAGATGGCCTCGCCCTCGGGAATGTGGCTTTCGCCGCCTTCGTGGTGGTCGTGGCCCTGCACCAGCGTCGCAAACGAGGCGATCGCTAGCAGCGCCGCCTGCGCCGCCTGCCGAGACGGCTGCATCATCTTGGCCGTAATGCGAGGATGAAAGAAACAAGTGAACAAAAGTGAAGAAGTAGAAGGAGAACGAGGCCAGGTCGATACCAGAAATCCCTTCTCTTCACCTCCAAAGCCGAGCCGGGTCGCCAGTCACGTCAAAGAGAACGGACGCCAGAAAATCCTCGGCTTGGGTGTTTCCTCCAAACGAAACAATTGCTGGAGCGGCTCGATCGGAGATGAAAAGCCACGACTTGCATCGACCTGCAGGGAGGCCCTGTCCACCGACATTCTGCCGGGCGAACCAGGCGACTTGCGTTGCGGCATTACGCATGCTGGGTGACGAAGTACCGGCGACGTGGGCGGGAGCGCATGCAGTGAGCCGGGATGGTGCCCCGCAATGGAACGACGGCGGGAGCTTCAGTGGTCTGAGCGTCAATACCTACTGTGAATAGACCGGAGGGACAAAGGATGAGGAATTCATCAGAAACAAACCTTGAATGTGCCATCTTGAGGTTTGCTTCGATCTGCTGTTGTCGAGAGCACATAAACGCAGTATAGATCCATGGCCGTAATATCGGAATGACATAAGCTAGGTATTGGTACCTACCTATCAGTCGAGACACTCAACTGGCAAGTACGAGTCGACGCACGCGTTTTGAGACCATTGAAAGCACTTTCCAATGGACTCGGAAACTCCCCGGGCTACCACTGCATGTCATCCCAAAACGGCTAACGCGGCGCGAACTCGCCAAAGTCGTCGCGACTCGACGAGCCGGACATCTTCGGTGAATGATGAAGAAAATTGCTTGGAGTACTATCCCAATTGGCAGATACGACACGGTGCTCCAAACCACGGGAGCAGCGCCCTTGCTAAAGCACCGGCTTTATATACGCGAACCATGCTTATGATACAGTTAAAGGTTCCCATCATAGATTCCTAGCGGATGACCTTTGATAACATCATTTTCATCTGGTACCTTGTAATACTAGTAGCTGGCAGGTGCACAGAATGGGGCGTGTGGTGCTTCCTGCCACGAGCAGAGTAGACTTGAGTCTAGAGCTTCGGCATTCGCATGCCTCAAGAATTAATAACGAGACATGTCAAGCAAACGGCAGTGGCTCAAGTAAGGTAGCTGCTTCCTTGATTTGCTTGTTAGAGGAGGCCGAACTTGGAAACGACGATGCCATGACACGGAACATGAAATAGCTCTCATTCTTCTCTTCGACACAGCCAATCGGATATTGAAGCAGAACCAAAGTCGTGTCCTTCATCCATCACAATTTGCCAAGTGTCTGTCGCCAACAAGGCTGCAATCGACCATGCTTCTCGTCCATCTTCTAGAGGCCGCACTCCTGGCCGTCGCCACCACAGCCTCTCCCCTTCCCGACCAAGAGCTCATCCCCGACGGCCAGCGCCCAAGTACAAAAGCCTGCGTGTACGGCACCCCGAAACAGTACGACCAGTGGACCATTCACTACCACGAAGTGAAGCCACCACCTCAGTTCCCCAGTCGCTCTCTGCTCGATCAAGCATGGGTCGCGCGCCATCAGAATGTCGGTGATGCCGATGTATGTCCCCCTCTCTTAGTTATCTCAAAGACGGTTGGACCGCTAACAGACCCAGCACTTCTCCTTGGGCAGTACTTGGATCCCCTGGGCGGAGAACAGGTGCCAATACACGTGCAACGCGAGAAAGAAGTGTGTCTCTTGGGTGGGGTATCAGAGTAAGCGTCCACTTCACCCGTGATTCATATCGTTGCCGCAGCTTCCCGTGGTCTAAACCCATCAACCAGCCAAGCACTCGACGCCCGAAGAAGGAAGATTTTCCTGCTTCTTCTTTGACGCTCTGTAAGTGCCATCCTTGGTTCGGACTCGCGTGAGCTGACGTCCTGATAGCATTCAGCCCGAGGACATTGTGCCCCGGGCACCAGACGAGCTGTTCAAGATAACGCATGCTTATAACAGGCTCTGCGATGACGCAACGGAACCCTGAGGGCCAAGCTGTGCAGACGGACAAGAGTGCGATAGGCTAGCTATATACGAGGGGTGGTCCTAAATATGGCGTCAGTATTGCAATGACGATATCAGCAAGATGAAATAGCATACCCTTAGGCATGTGGAAATGATGGAAGCACATTGCCATCGTTTGTCAAGGAACCAACATTTGGTGCATTCACTCCTTCTTCGTGTTGTCTGCGTCCTTTTCGAGGAGCTCTTGCGCCCTTCTCCACAACTCCAGCTCCATGTCCCGTTCAACCTTGGTACTGCGACTGTTGAGCCAGCCAACGTCCAGATTTCCAATGGCCCCCATCCCGTTCGGCTTCAAGGACGCCTTGACAGTCGTGTTGTGCCCCTGACGAGGCCCGCTGGACAGATTGACGATGCCTGCTTCCTCCAAAGCGAGAATCTGGCGCTTCATGCGCACGTCAACACTATGCAGAGTCTCCAAAAACGTATCGGTAGCTTTCTGAAATGCCTCCGTTTGCGCCGCTGCCTCGACTGATGCTGGGGGATTGCTGTCGTCGGAAGAGACGGGCGTGGTGAGGGCGCCAAGTGCAGTGGCAGTGTGCGTCATGAGCTCAACGATGGACCGGTCAATTTCATTGAGCTGCTGGATGTTTTCCTCGAGCGTGAATGGGACAAACGGCTCTTGGGTTTGAGTGTCTTCTTTCTCGTCGCCCATGACGATGTCCTGGGGTGAGGCCATGGTCGAGAAGGTGAAGAGAGGGTAGTTGGATTAAAGCAGGTAGTTCTCGGCAGTGTAAACGTGGCCTCTTATTGTGAGTTGTCTCTAGTGAATCGAAGCTTTTGTCCAGGAGCGAGATACTGCCAGTTCACAAGCTTGGATGTGATGGTCCAGCAAACATGTGGTGATGCGTTAAGCGCATGTGCCGCCAAAGGGCATCCATGGCTTGAACTACCTACTGTGGGTCCAGCGAACGCGCCGCGAAGCTGATAAGATAACGCGCTTGTATGCTGTGCTGTTTCGAAGAATACAAGACGAGATGTAAGCTATGAAGTTGTCATCAGAATATCAAGATAGCAAAGTGCTGAATAGCCATTGTGTTTCTATTGTATTCATTTATGCAACCGACCGCAGTTAAAGGTTATGGAAATAAACGGCCAGCTGATTGCTGAATCTGAGCAGCTGGTGAGAGGCGCCGCTTAAACATCGGCTACGGCAGTGTAAGGCGGCTCGCGATTTCCCAAGCCACCTCAACTTAAGCTTTCAACGTCAACCAACCGTGTCACCCATCAACCAACTCCTCCTCCTTCGTCTTCCGCGCCTCAATCTTCCTCTCAGCATCGCATATCATCATCTCAAACCGGATCTTCCAATCTCAATTAATCTCTTCCGGCGCATTACCTGAGCAAACCTCACTCTCCATACCGCCACACGACAAGGGACTGAGATCTACGCAACTCGGCCTCACTGAGAGAACCTCAGCACGAGCTACATCGAGCCTCACCTCACGCGGGACGGACACCTGCTATGAGACTGGACGCCGCTTCCAGCGAACACCAACACTCATAATCATCCACATCAGCATCATTCATCTCTCGGCGCCGTCTCTCTCATCACCATGTCTAATCAAGCGCCGGCTCCAGGACCAGGCGCGGCTGGCTCTTATGCAGGGCAGCCAGCAACATCACCAGCCGGCCCGCCTGCTGCCGCCACGACTGCAACGACCGCCACTGGGGGGGCCATGTCGAATCAGAATCTCAATCAAATTGTACGTCTTGAATCTCCAGCTCGTTCACTCGCTTCCGTTGTGGTGGGCGCACATCGCTCTACTATCCCTGGCAGCCAGCCTAGCTCTCCTCCCTTGCTGCAGTACTCCAACATCTTGCGACAACTAGAAAATGCCACAACATGTTACAGAAGCAGCGGCATAATCATGTACCCTAATTGCTGTTCACGGCGCTTGTTCTCAATTATGTTTCATACCAAAGTTCCCTCCAATTCCCATGTCCCCCGTCTCTCATTGCCCACCCAATATTTCTTCACAAATACAATATCGAGCCGCTAGTCATGGATGCCATGTCGGTTCTTCAGGATGCCCTTAGCTAACACTTGACCAACCACTAGGTGACAGATTACCTGCTCAAGAGAGGGTTCAACAGGACAGAAGAGGTGTTCCGCCAGGAGTCGAAACATCTCGGCACTGATGGCAAGCCAGTCCAGCAACTAGCCATCCTGGGTCCAAAAAAGTATGCAAGAGCATTCCGACTTTTGAAAGACTGGGTCGAGAACAATCTCGAGATTTACAAGGTTTGTGATCCTTTCGTGCTGCCCGCCGTGCTCATGCTGAACAAGGTTGTGTGTTAGTTTGAGCTCTCGAAGCTTCTCTGGCCGATATTTGTCTACTCCTTCATCGAGCTGGTCGGAAATGGATATACGGAGGAGGGCAAATCGTTTCTTAAAGAGATCGGCCAGAATTTCCAGGCGACTCATGCAGACGATCTGAAGACGTTTTCATTAATCACGCTCCCGCAACATGTCAACGAAAACTCAGTGACCAAGTTGTACAAGGAGAACAAATATCGCATCCCCCTGAACCAACACGCCACTGGCGATCTCTTCAACTTCCTCGAGCGCGAGTCTGACCAAGGCGGATCTGTCATCCGACAGCTGCTCGTCACATATTGCCAGATCGACTCCACTGCCCGCGGGCCTATCACGCCCTTTAGCTTTGAAGCTGTCTTCAGGAGGAGTAAGAATCTGGAACTGGAGGAGGTGGACGCAAAGGAAGGTATTCCGGGTGTCAACATCGGCCTGTCTAATAAGGACATTCTGGACCCAGCTGCGCCTCTCAACCTTGGCCCTTTGCCTATGGACCCCGATCTTCGCGATGATCTTCGAGCCGAAATCGAAGACGAGGAAAGGCGGAACCCCCCCAGCGGCCCCAGCCTAATAGAGGAACTTGATCAAAAGATCAAGAGAGAAGAGAGCGCAGACGCCCCGAGCCGATCCGATCTACCATTGCCGCCATCACGCCCACGAGACATCATGCTCGAAATGCAAAAGCTGCGGGAAAATAGGGACAGGTTCAAGATCGAGGGTCGGACAGGTGGTGTGGGCGTGCCCGTGAGCGCTTGCATGTTCACCTTTCACAACACACTCGGAAGGTGAGTAACCTTGCACCTGTTGTCCACTTGTAAGAAGACGACTGACCTTGGGAATAGTGTGTCCTGCTTGGAGTTCTCCGACGATGGACAGCTCGCTGCCGTGGGCACAACTGAGTCCTACATCCGCGTCTGGTCTCTGGATGGCTCTGCGCTCCCGAGTTCAAACGCTCACGAGAAGGGCGCCAAGTTCAACAGTCGGAAATTGATTGGACATTTTGGGCCCGTATACGACATTTCGTTTTCCGACTCAGCCTCAGGACCTCCGCAGAAACTGTTTGGTGACGAGGGCCGGCAGAACCCGGCGATCGATGGGCGGCCGAAGCTGCTACTGTCATGTTCGGCGGATGGACAGATCCGGCTCTGGTCACTCGAGTCTTGGACATGTCTATGCGTGTACAAGTCGCACGATGGACCTGTCTACAGGGCCCAGTGGAGTCCCCACGGGCATTACTTCTTGAGTGGCGGCTACGACAAGGTTGTTCGGGTGTGGATGCAGGACCATGCCTCGCCTCAACGGCTGCTTGTTGGGCACGACACATCCATCTCGGCTATTGCATGGCATCCTAACGGCATGTACGTCTTTTCGGCGTCTGATGAGACGGACAAGACAGTCCGCATGTGGTCAGTGGTGACGGGAGCGTGCGTTCGAGTGTTCACAGGCCATACCGATCACATCAGCGCACTGCGATGCGCGCCGAACGGCAAGATCCTAGCCAGCGCCGACATTGCCGGCAACATCTTCTTCTGGGATCTCGTTAAGGGGACTCGCATCAAGCGCTCTCGCGGCCACGGCAAGGGGGGCATCTGGTCGCTCAGCTTCAGCGTCGAGTCCAACATACTAGCCTCCGGAGGCCAAGATGGCACGGTCCGGTTGTGGGATGTCGAGTCACCGGCGGACCCTCATAAAGCCGCTCAGCAGAACGGTCTCGAGGCTGCGGCTGCCGGCACTGACTTGGCCATAGCCGGCGCCAACGGAGAATCATCAAGGTTGAACACAGCTTCGGGGCAGCCGACCAGCACGGGGACAACCACGGGTACCAAGAAGAAGAGCAAAGAGGTGATGATTACTCCCGACCAAATCTCTTGCTTTCCCACAAAGAAGACGCCTGTGATCAATGTCAAGTTCACTCGGATGAACCTCGTCATGGCCGGCGGATGCTACGACCCCGAGCGATGAGGATACGGTAGTTCTGAGGAAGGATTTGTTGGTCTTGAGTGGCGACTTGCTTGAGTTTTGGCCACCGCGAAGCTGGCGGGGGTTTGCAGTTGAAAACCATGTGTGCTTCTGAGATACCAATGAAGATTGAGGTGATGGAGAGCACATCGAGGAAGGTAGTCAGGGGCAGCATGACACGAAGGGATACGGGACCGGTATAAACATATAGGTAATTCTTTAACTAAGGTACATCCGCTTGGAATAACGGACAGCGTCTAGAGCAGCAACCACCTGATGACTATTCAGTGAAGCACAGTTTCTGTTGAGTGCGCTGTTGAGTGTGTGTCAAGATGCCGTATTGAGTCATTGTGTCTGCAGCAAGTTACTGGACACCAGATGTGTCGTTTCACATTTGTTGGGTAACTGAGCGTCAAGATCAATCTCCATTCTAGATTTCCTCGTTCTTCTTCAATTGATTCACTTTGGTTGCGTTGATTCTCCTCTGTTACCATCACCGAGGCTGGAAGAACCAAGTGGGGTGTGTCATTCGCTGGCAGCCTCGCCGGTACAGGTACGCAACCGCTGACGTTGAGCAGCTACCAAAGCGGGTACCGGTGTCCTCTGCCCGCCGCAGCTCGATGCACTTGCGCACTTGCCCAGCAGCCACGAGCCTCTCTTCCCGTTCCGCCTCGCAATTCAAACCACCTCCCATCATCTCCCGCCCCTCACCAAAACCGCCCGCCTCTCGTGGACGAATCGCCGCCTCGCCCCAAATGGACGTCGAAGAGTCGCCATGGGCTGATTCCAGCCAGACCCCCCCTGAGCCGGTCGCCGAGAGCGAGCCCGCCGCTTCCCCGCCGACGACATCACAGGCCTCGACGACGACAACGACGACGACAACCTCCTCGTCAGCGCCTCGCCCGTCCCGCGCCCCCCGCCGCATCGTGGCCCAACCTACGAAGCTCGAGGCCGTCGACGATCCGCTGGGCCCGCTGAGCTCCGGGCCGGGCCTCGATGCCGCGGCCGACAGCCCGCCGGTGCCGCCGCAGAAGGAGCAGATGGTGATTCGGACGACGATGGCGCCGCAGCAGCAGCAGGCGAGACGGTCTCTCGATCCGCATCTTGTCGACGACGATGACGGCCTGGACAGCCCCCGAGGCCCGCGGATGCCGCCGCCTGTGGATGCTGCGCGGCCTAGCAGTGTGAAGAGCAGCACGCAGCCCAGCGTCAGCGTCGAGGAGGCGTCCAAGCCGACCTTTTACATTACCGTTGGCGACCCCGTCAAGATTGGTGATCTCACGAGCTCGCACATTGTCTACTCCGTGCGGACCAAGGTTAGTGCACTTTCGTGGCCGAGAAGCACAAGCTTTCCTTTGCTAACAGAAGCTTCGATTTCCGGTAGACCACATCCAGAGCCTACAAGCAGCCCGAATTCGAGGTCAAGCGTCGGTACCGAGACTTCCTCTGGCTCTACAACACCCTGCATGGCAACAATCCCGGATACGTGGTGCCGCCGCCGCCCGAGAAACAGGCTGTCGGCCGCTTCGACAGCAACTTTGTGGAGAGCCGGAGAGCTGCGCTGGAGAAGATGCTCAACAAGATTGCCGCCCACCCCGTCCTCCAGCATGACGCCGATCTCAAGCTGTTCCTCGAGAGCGAGGCCTTCAACGTCGACATCAAGCACAAGGAGAGGCGGGATCTGCTGCCCTCGGAGAGCAAGGGAGTGTTGGGATCTCTGGGCATCAATGTCGGCGGAGGCAGCAAGTTTGTGGAGCAGGACGACTGGTTCCACGATCGCAAGGTGTACCTTGACGCCTTGGAGAACCAGCTCAAGGGGCTCCTCAAGGCGATGGAGACCATGGTTAGCCAGCGCAAGATGATGGCCGAGGCCGCGGCTGACTTTTCGGCCTCTCTCCACGCGCTGTCCACTGTCGAGCTGTCGCCGTCACTATCCGGTCCCCTCGATGCGCTGTCCGATCTCCAGCTCACCATCCGCGATGTGTACGAACGCCAGGCCCAGCAGGATGTCCTCACTTTCGGCATCATCATTGACGAGTACATTCGCCTCATCGGCTCGATTAAGCAGGCGTTTAGCCAGCGCCAAAAGGGCTTCTACGCCTGGCACCAGGCCGAGTCGGAGCTCCAGAAGAAGAAGGCGACGCAGGACAAGCTGCTCCGTCAGGGGAAGAGCCAGCAGGACCGGCTGAACCAGATGAATGCTGAGGTGCAGGAGGCGGAGAGAAAGGTACACCAGGCCCGGCTCCTGTTTGAGGACATGGGCCGCTCGATGAGGGCCGAGCTGGACCGATTCGAGAAGGAGAAGGTGGAGGACTTTAAAAGTGGCGTTGAGACGTTTCTCGAGGGTGCTGTCGAGGCTCAGAAGGAGGTAAGGTCACACAAGTCACTGCAAGAAGCCAGGACGATGCTAACACTCTTGTGACAGCTGATTGAGAAGTGGGAGACGTTCTTGATGCAGCTGGATGCCCAGGACGACGAGTCTGCTTTTTACCGACCGCCTGTTTACCAGCCGAAGCCTCCTGGCAACACCGTCGTTGATCGCGCTAGGGCAAGGATAGATGAGGATTCAGACTAAGAAGCGCGCATCTATGACTACCTTACTCTCTTTCCATCTGCTCTCGGCGAACGGGTTCAGGAGGGGAAAGGTCTGGGGGGGCGCTTTACTGTGTGTCACTATTCGTACTTTGACTCAAAACACTCGTAGAAGCATTCTTTTTTGTTATATCATACAGGCCGCCGGGCTTAAAGTGCTGTACATACTGAACAGATCGATCCTCTAATCCATGCGTTCGTGCTCTGCCCACACGTTCCTATTATACCTCTTTCATCTTGGGAGCATATACAGCCACCTCGCCATGTGCCACTCGTACCAGTCATATCCCTCATATCATACAATCGCAAATCAGTCGACTATTTTCTCCGTGTAGGCGCCTTCTTCGGACCAGAGTCCTTTAGGGCGCCCGTATCCTGCGGCTTAAACTCCGCCAACAGATCCTCAAAGTTCAATCCCGCATCCTCCTGCGCAGCAGCAGCCGCCTTCTCCTCCGCAGCGGCAGCCTCGCCCTCAGCCTGCGCCTCGCCCTCTACCGGGGCCGCAGCAGCAGCAGCAGGCGCATCAAACACGCGTCCGAAGCGCTCTCTGAAAGCCGCCAGCTTACCGGCCTCGTCGAGCTCGACGTTGCGCAGGCTCTTTTCGCTGGGCTGCCAGAGGAGGGTGTTGCGGGTGTCCTTTGCGGCGCGGTAGAGCGGCAGCGGGGAGGTGGTGCGGGCGGTGTAGGTCGAGCCGTCGGAGAGCTGGACGAGCTGGGTGAATGTGTAGGGGCGGCGGGGGCGGGGGATGAATGTCGCGTGGCGGACGGGCGAAGAGAGGCTGTTTCGCAGGAAGGAGGGTGAGGCTGAGGCTGAGGATGTGGAGGTCGTTGGGCGGAGGGGGGTTGTGAGGAGGGTTGTGGTTGTTGTTGTTGAGAATTTCGCCATGTTGGCGGTTGTTTTGGTCGTGGACTCGCTGATTTAGTTGTCTGATTGCTGAAGTAAGAGGGGTGGTGAGATGGTTTGCTTCAATTGACCGGCTTCGAGGGAGAGATGTTGCTCTGGTGGTGTGGCATGGTTTGGCGATGGCCAAGACGCTTTTCGTTGGTGTTGTCGCAAAATTTCCCGGCCCGCTGGGTTGGGAGTGGCAGCACGGGCTTATCGATAAGGACATTTGCCGTCGCAATACTCTCGACTATCGGACTTGGACCAACATCGCCAGCAAGCTGCCTCTTTTGCGGCCATTGTCGACTTTTTTTTTGTCCATCTTTACTTCCGTTGGGCTTATTGTCTGGGTCTTTGCTGAGGATCTGTTGGAAGAAAAGGCCGTATGGGACTTGATGAGGGCTGCTAGGGCGGCGCGACAGGTGTCGCGGCTTGGGTGCTGCGGCGCGAGGCGGCGGAATGCGGGCTGTGGGCTGGGAGATGCTTGGACGGTGCAGAAGAGGGCACTTTGGGGGCTGAGGCTGTTGAGGGGCGTTCACGATGTCGTTGGGCATGCGCTGACTATGGGGGAGACTGCGGCTGGTGTGCGGCCACGGGGAAGTGCCAGCACAGCTTCACGAGATGCTCCATGTAAGTGTACTTGACGCAGCCTTGCCGGATGATTTTTTTTTTCTTCTTCTCTGGCTAACAACTAGAAGCAATAGAGTCGAACGCGACGAGCTTGCAAGAGCCCAAGTCGATCCAGAGCCATGCTTCATGGCATACTTCATCGCCCTTACCGCCGACAGCAGATCCCACCTCGCCGGCCGGTCTCTCAGAACAGATACGCTCCATCATGCGCCTGCTGCCGCACTCCGTCGTAGTCTGCACCTCAACGCACGACCGAGCACCACGAGCAATGACCATGTCGTCATTCACATCCCTCACACTCTCCCCAACGCCGCTGATATCCTTCAACATAGCGACACCAAGCCGAACCCTCGACGCAATCACCCAGAGCGGCCACTTCAACATTCACATCATGTCGGGAGACGAGCTGGGCGTGCAGGTAGCCGACAGATTCACGAGGGGCAACACGGACGATGTTTTTGAGGGGCTGGACTACGATGCGGGCGGCGAGACTGGGAGTGCGCCGCCGCTGTTGAGGGGGGACGGGGTCATGTATGCGCTGAGGTGCAGGCTGTTGCGCGATGAGCCGACGGGGGGCGTGATGAGGGTGAGGGATCACGTTATCGTTGTGGGAGAGGTGGTGGAGATGATTCCGGGGAGCTGTGGCAAGGAGTTTGGGCTGGCGTATGCGGATAGGAAGTACCGGCAGGTTGGGAGGGTGATTGCTCGGGACTGACTGGTGAGATGAGAAGGTCCCTCTGGATCATCATCACGGAACTGAGGCGTGGACAAGGGGAACATGTGAGGAACTGCATAGAAGCGGATGGATGGATAGAATTGTACGATAATGGGATACATGCGGGGGGGGCGATGCAAGGCGTCGGATGTATCAAGAGCTTACGAAGGGGGCCTTTTCTTTGTCTTTGGGTGTTATATAGAGGTATCACAAGGGGAGGGGGGGTTTAGATTGCATGCAAGGGGCCACAGCGGCTGCCTTTGTGGCCGAGGCAGACGGGCGCTAATAAGTGGTGAGCCTTGGATCGACCGATAGAGAGAAGCAGCTTCAGCTTTGAAGCAGGAATGCCTGGGTTGACCAGCTTCAGCTCCCTTCTGTTGCCTTCGACGTCGCCGCAAGGTGGGATGTTTTAGTTTTAGTCCAGGGCGATAAGATACCCATCAATCGCTGAAGGCTAGCGAGATTCGGTGGCTCTGCCCCTGGTCGAGGCCGCTGTAGTCGGATCCAGAGGGAGGGGCGGGTAGCAAGATGGGGCGCTGCAGTCGGGTGCCTTTTTTTTTTTCTTCCTTTGATTTTTTTGGGGTTGGGTTTTCCCCCTCATCGTCAGCCTCGTTGGAGGGGCCCGAGAGGTACCTTAGGCTGGAGGGGGGGTGTGGAAGTTTCTAGCAGGAGAGAGGCGGGAAGACGGAAATGGGTGAGACATGGGGTGACTGACTGATGGGGGCGGTTGAAAGAAGATTCGTGAAAGGCAGCGTCTTTGTGGTCTTTTGGGTTTGCTGGGGCTTCTTTGTGGTTAGTATTGCTTGTTTGTTTGTACCTCGAGAGATGCAGATTTGATGGTTGTTGAATGTTACAGTGGTAATAGATGGCAAGTACATAGCACTGAATGTAAGGTAGCTATAGGGGCAGTAGCCGGTATCAACAGCCTCATCTTCCAGTAATAAGGTAGTAAGCCTAGAGAGCATCACCACTGGAGAGCGTCAATACAGAAGCACATGTCCAGTCACAACCACACTACACGCCTAAGTGATTCGCCTCTCCTCACTAAAAAAGCGGGCTTGTGCCGCCTGAAAAAAGAAGCAATAGGTAATAGAATCTCAACTGGATGGCATTTGATGCAAATTGCCAGAGAAACGGCATCAGTTAGTTGCTCAAGAGGCGCGGGCAGATGCTAGAAGGCTCCAGGCTGGCGCGGCGGCCAATCAGACGCTCGGGCGCCTTTGCTGGTGGACGGGCAGCGGCCATAGAATCCCATGGAATCTCTCGCAACTTCCGCAGCTCTCAAGTCGCAGCCTTTTTTAGACGGGCCTCTCGTCCCTTCCTCTCTTCTTTCCCTTCCTTCTCTCTCTCCTTCTTCATCCGCATCATTCTCTTCTCACAAGGTATTTCTCTTCGCGCGTTTTCTTCCTTTTTTTCTCCTTCAACCACCAAACACTCTCCCAAACAATCTCCTTCACACAAACACATAACAAAATAATACCCCGTGATCGAGAAATCAACACCCCTCTTTTCCCTTTCCTAGCAAAAGGTCAGCCATCTTATCATCCCACTTTCCCTTTCTAGCACCGTGCTTTCTTGCCCGTTATCACCCCGCCATTGCCTGCCCTTCTGGAGGGGGGGACGATCCCAGATCTCGGCAGCCTTGCCGTGAGCTTGATTGGAGAGCTTCTGCTACTTCTTGGACGGTCCCTTGCAAAAACGCCTGCGTGCGTTTGCAGGATCGTGAAGAGAAGGAGGAAGAACTCGCCAAGCACTGCGATCTTCTTTCCCCCCAGCTTCCCATGTACCACTTCCTTTTATTCCCCCTCTCACCATCACTACCAGCATACGCTCCCAGTCAACTCGAAGAACATCCAGCTAACCCTCCACAGTCACAGATTTCCGTTGATACCCGCAACCATGGCCGAAACTTTCGAGTTCCAGGCTGAGATCTCTCAGCTTCTCTCCCTCATCATCAACACCGTCTACTCCAACAAGGAAATCTTCCTGCGAGAACTTGTCTCCAACGCCTCCGATGCCTTGGACAAGATCCGCTACAAGGCGCTGTCCGACCCCAGCCAGCTCGACACTGGCAAGGACCTGCGCATCGACATCATCCCCAACAAGGAGGCCAAGACCCTGACCATCCGGGATACCGGTATTGGTATGACCAAGGCTGTAAGTTGACCCAAGAAGTCTAGAGCTTTGTGTGCTTTGCGAGCTCCGTACTAACAATTGCCAGGACCTTGTCAACAACCTGGGTACCATTGCCCGCTCCGGAACCAAGCAGTTCATGGAGGCCCTGACTGCCGGTGCCGACGTGTCCATGATTGGTCAGTTTGGTGTTGGTTTCTACTCTGCCTACCTGGTCGCCGACCGCGTCAGCGTCATCTCCAAGCACAACGATGACGAGCAGTACATCTGGGAATCCAGCGCCGGTGGCACCTTCAACATCACCCTCGACACCGAGGGCGAGCGTCTCGGTCGTGGTACCGCCATCGTCCTCCACCTCAAGGACGAGCAGGCCGACTACCTGAACGAGAGCCGCATCAAGGAGGTCATCAAGAAGCACTCCGAGTTCATCAGCTACCCCATCTACCTCCACGTCAAGAAGGAGGTCGAGAAGGAGGTTCCCGATGAGGAGGCTGCTGAGGAGGAGAAGCCCGCCGAGGAGGGCGAGGACAAGAAGCCCAAGGTCGAGGAGGTCGACGACGACGAGGAGGACAAGGAGAAGAAGAAGAAGACCAAGAAGGTCAAGGAGACCACCATCGAGGAGGAGGAGCTCAACAAGCAGAAGCCCATCTGGACTCGCAACCCCCAGGACATCACCCAGGAGGAGTACGCCGCCTTCTACAAGTCCCTGTCCAACGACTGGGAGGACCACCTGGGTGTCAAGCACTTCTCCGTCGAGGGTCAGCTCGAGTTCCGCGCCATCCTCTTCGTCCCCAAGCGTGCTCCCTTTGACCTGTTCGAGACCAAGAAGACCAAGAACAACATCAAGCTCTACGTCCGCCGCGTCTTCATCACCGACGACGCCACCGACCTCATCCCCGAGTGGCTCAGCTTCGTCAAGGGTGTTGTCGACTCTGAGGATCTGCCCCTCAACCTGTCTCGTGAGACTCTTCAGCAGAACAAGATCATGAAGGTCATCAAGAAGAACATTGTCAAGAAGTCCCTGGAGCTCTTCCAGGAGATTGCCGAGGACAAGGAGCAGTTCGACAAGTTCTACAGCGCCTTCTCCAAGAACATCAAGCTCGGTATCCACGAGGACTCCCAGAACCGCGCCACCCTGGCCAAGCTCCTGCGCTTCAACTCGACCAAGTCTGGCGATGAGATGACCTCTCTGACCGACTACGTCACTCGCATGCCCGAGCACCAGAAGAACATCTACTACATCACTGGCGAGTCCCTCAAGGCCGTCCAGAAGTCTCCCTTCCTGGACGCTCTCAAGGCCAAGGGCTTCGAGGTCCTCTTCCTCGTCGACCCCATTGACGAGTACGCCATGACCCAGCTCAAGGAGTTCGAGGACAAGAAGCTGGTCGACATCACCAAGGACTTCGAGCTCGAGGAGACCGAGGAGGAGAAGAAGGCCCGCGAGCAGGAGGAGAAGGAGTACGAGACCCTGGCCAAGGCCCTCAAGAACGTGCTCGGCGACAAGGTTGAGAAGGTCGTTGTCAGCGACAAGCTCGGCCTCTCCCCTTGCGCCATCCGTACCGGCCAGTTCGGCTGGTCCGCCAACATGGAGCGTATCATGAAGGCCCAGGCCCTCCGTGACACCTCCATGAGCAGCTACATGTCCTCCAAGAAGACCTTTGAGATCTCCCCCAAGTCCCCCATCATCCAGGAGCTCAAGAAGAAGGTCGAGGCCGACGGCGAGAACGACCGCACTGTCAAGTCCATTGTCCAGCTGCTGTTCGAGACCTCGCTGCTCGTCTCGGGCTTCACTATCGAGGAGCCCGCCGGCTTCGCCGAGCGCATCCACAAGCTCGTCCAGCTCGGCCTCAACATTGAGGAGGACGACTCGGCCCCCGCCGAGGGTGCCGCCGCTCCCGCCGACGCCCCTGCCGTCGAGACGGGCGACAGCGCCATGGAGGAGGTTGACTAAGCATGTGCATCCAGGATCGGGCTATTGGGCAAAAAGTTTGATTTTACACGATGGAGTTGAACGGTTTTAGAGCATTGGTCTGGACGTGGTTTGTTTTATTTTGCTTTTGCATTTCAGTTAGTCCCAGGTTAGGGCAGATGCTGCTTTTACTCGTTGATGCCCTTGATATCCCCTCTGTAGAGGCGAGGGAGAGTAATTTAGCCAGTCTATGAGCAATGAATAAACGGAATGGACATATTCTGTGCAGCAACATGATATTGTATGTGACTGTGATTTACTTGTCAAGGTACAAGTAAAATGATGTTCTAGCATTTATACCTACAGACAATTACAGACTTGAGGCATTCTGAGGTTCATACATAGATAGGTACTACTGTAGACTTGAGGTATACTGATATTCACACATGATACTACATGTTCGAGACCTAGTATTGATGAAACATCGCGAGATGTATATTGATGCCTGTAAAATCACAAACACGCCGCCGATTTATATCAACCAGAATAAAGAAGGAAATGACAGAAAAAAAACCCATGCGAAAACTGAGAAAAACAAGTAAAGTGATACTCGTCAGAACCAGTCTGAACCTATGTACGGCATGCTATGTAAACCTAACATAAAGAAACAGAAAAGAGGAAGATGACTACAGTATAAGAGGAAAATGAAGGGCATGAAACGAGTGTATGGGAAACGTTTCGGATGGAGGCTGATTGCTGTATGTTTCATGGTGTGTGGTTATGTCGAGTTTGGTTGATGTGTGTGTGAGAGAGATGCGGTTTTGAGGGGGTGGGTATATATATATGTGTGTGTGTAGAGAGAGAGGAGAGAGAGAGAGAGTTTGAGGAGTGGGTTTTTGGTTATAGGAGGACGTAGAGTGCGCAAATCTAGTTCATGTTTGTTAGCTTCCATTTTCTT